GTCGCCGCGGGGGCGGTGCGGCGCAACCTGCTGCGGGAGCTGGCGGCGCGCGAGGAGGGGCTCCGCGCCGCGGCCGGCGCGCAGCCCCGCCACCGCCCCGCCTCTCTGCTCGCCCGGCTCAGTCTGCGTGCGCGGTGCTCAACCGACGCCGGCGTGCGACGCGGGTCCGCGCCGGCGCCCGGGAGCCCGGCGGAGCGCGCCGCCGGCGCCGCGTCCGCCTCCCCGACGCACGCCCACGGGCTGTTCGACGTGGGGTCCTACCTGGAGCTGACGGGGGAGGCGGGGCGGGCCGACGCCGCCGCCGCGCCGCTGTCCCTGCCGCGCCTGTCCTCCTGCACCTCCGCCGGCAGCGAGGCGTTGTGCCCCGTCTGCATGGACGCCGCGCCGGGGGTGCGGCTGGCAGGGTGCGGGCACGCCTTCTGCGCCGCCTGCCTGCGCCAGGTGGTGGCCGGGGAGAGGGGGCCCGTGCCTCTGCGCTGCCCGCTGTGCAGGGGCGCCGCCTACGCGCTGGAGCCTGAGCAGGGCTGAGGGGACTTTGTGGGGTCCCACCCAGCAGGCATGGGGCAGGCGCGGTGCTACGGGGTCAAAACCTGCACGAGCTCAGGAGTGCCCCCTGAACTATCCAGTCGAAAGGGGAGGAGCATCCCTTCAGCCCCTTGACTGCACACCGCCATTTCCCCCAGGGCCTTGGAGTGCTCGTGCGTCGCAGCGTCGTCGTGTCGCTCCTCGTTTCGTGCTCGGCATGAAGCAGTGGGTGTTCCACTGAATTTTCCATGTGATCGCACCGCCACGAGTCCGAGTGGTTCCGAGCCGCCGGCAATCACTGCATTGACAATCTCGCAAGCCCTGCCTGGCCGTGGCCTCAGTCCCCTGGGCAGATCAGCCAGTGTTTGCACAGCCAGGGGGCCGCTGGCCCATCCTCACGGCCACCCAATCCCCTGTGCTCTGGGTCTTCTCTCAAGCCAGCACCATCACATACCGGTTTCAAGCTGGACAGGGAAGGAAGTAACAAGGGTCCGGGGGAGGAGCAAGTGTAGCACAGTAAAATAATGGGTTGTTCCCGGGTCAGGAGGTCAGCGCCGCGCCACGGGCGTGGCCTGGCCTTCCAGACCCGTCTCTCGTTTCAGGGGCCAGAGCGGGCCGGGGTGGGGGACGCTCCGTGCCTCTGCCCCTCAGACGGCGCTCGCGGCGGCGGGCGCAGGGGCCGCCGTGCGGCCATGGGGAGGGGGCGCCCCGGCCCCTGGGCGGGGCCGGGCCGCGCCACAGCCCCCCCGCGGCACACGGCTCTGGGAAAATGACAAGTGACGTGGTAAGCTTCCAAGAGAAAAGCGTATCCGATGGCGCGAGCTGGAGCGCTCGCGGGGTGTGCAGCCGGGACTGCACGCCCGGTGTGGTCTGTTGGGTCTTCAGACCCCTTCCTCAATGGCTGGGGGTCTGTGTGGAGTATCTGTCAGGAGCTCCCGGCTGCGCGGCGGGGGGTGGATTCTCTGTCTGCACCCCGGTCGGGCGTCGAGCCGGGGTGTCGCTGCGCGCCCTCCGCGCCTCGCCGTGGGGCCGTGCCTCCGCCCTCCGCCGGCGCTCCTCCTCCACACGCCGGCCTCGCCTCGGCCCGGCCTCTAAACGCGCAGCACCTGCGCGTTGTTCCCAAAGGCAATGGCCACCCAGTCCGGCTGTGCGGCGGACCACTGCAGCGCCGCCACCTCCGCGCCCGCGTTGTAGGCCAGGATGGGGTCCAGGCCGGGGTCCTGCGCCGCGCCGCCCGGCCCGCCCCCGCCGCCCAGCGCGCCCACATCCCAGATCAGGGCCGCGCCGTCGTCGCCCGCGGAGCAGAGGTGGCAGGCGGAGTGCGGCGCCCAGGCCAGCACGTTGGCAGGGGCGGTGTGGCGCGCCAGGCGCGCCAGCGGCGCCGCCGGCCGCCGCACGTCCAGCACCACCACCTCGGCCGACCCGGCGGCCAGCACCGCCATGAAGCGCGGGTCGGCGCGGTTCCAGCCCAGGCGCACCAGCGCCTCCCCGCCCCGCGACTCGTAGGTGATGGTGCTGTGGTCGCGGTCGCGCAGGTCGAACACGCGCACCGAGGCGTCGGCGGAGACGGAGGCAAACATGGTGGCCCCGCCCCAGGCCAGGTCGTACACCTCGCCGTCGTGCGCGATGAGCTGCGTGTCTACACACCCCCGCTCGATGTCCCACACCGTGCAGGTGGCGTCCAGGCTGGCGGTGCCCAGCCGCCGAGGCTCCAGGTGGTTCCAGTCGAAGGAGGTGATGGGCTCGCAGTACTCGCTCGTCTTGGTCTGTGTAGGGTTTTTTTTTTGGGGGGGGGGGGGAGGGGGTGGAGAGGGGTCCATGGGTATAGGTGCAGGTGTGGAATGTGGCGCTGGGGATGGTGCAGGGCTGGCGATGAGGACAGCCAAGTCAGGGAGTGCGGGAGCCCTGAGGGCCCTACTAGGGCCTCAACTTGGCCTCCACCAGTGGCCCATCCCACTGCCCCTCAGACCCTTCCCCCCACCCGCAAAATGATACGCCTGAGACCCCAGGGTCCAACAACCCCCTCGAATGCGGCCGCTCACGTTGTTCAGCAGCTTCTCCAGGGCCACCCCGTCCTCGCTGATGGACCAGATCCTGAGGAAGTCAGAGGTGGTGGCCAGCAGGTCTGGCTGGTTGGGGTCCTTCACGGGCAGGAACATGAGCTTGGTGGCCGGGAATGGGTGCACAAAAGACAGCCGCGGGTCGGCCTGGAACTGCTCCCGCGCCTCATCCACTGAGGGGTGGGTTGGGCGGAGGGGAGTTGTGAGACTCAAAGAGAGGGTGTCATTGAGGCGGACGTCTGGGCGAGGGTCAACAAACCCTCGTCCCGCTGCACCAGCTGCGCGCCGCACAGCATGCCAGCCCAGGGGAGGCCTCCGGCTGCCGGCTGGCCCTGGACCGATACAGGACGGCTCCCCATGTAGAAGATGCAGGCAGGAGCGGCACCGTGTGCCTACTCAGATCCACCCCCTAGCGCAGAAGTGGGGGCTCTGCCAGGATTTCCCCCACCCCCACCCCGGATTCAGCACCCTGGCGCCCGCGACTCACAGACTATGATGTCGATGTGGTTGTTCTGGTCCTCGACATAGCTCCCGGTGGCCAGGCGGAAGGGCTTGTCAGTGCGCACCTACAGAACCGGGAGGGAATCCGGGCTGGGCAAGCCTGTGAACCCTGGTGCGCGCCGGCACCGGCACGCGCCCCGGGGACCCTCCCCCGCCCATACTCACGCTCCAATTGAGGGCGTAGATGGGGTCCGCGGACTCATGCGTGTAGATCTCGGCCCGCTTGTCTCCGCTGGGCCCAGACATGAACACTTTTGGGCGGGTCCGACCCGGTCTGGACAACCGCCTGCTCCCTCTGTGTGCTTGTCTCGAGGGAATGTCCAATTACTTGGAAGGCCAGCGCTGGACGGGCGTTCGGGAGTGTCTCAGGTATTGCGCGACTCGTGTGGAGCTTACGGTGTTGCGGTCGACGTCGCGGCCTGCAAACTGGTCACGAATTTGTCCCGGCCCCTCCGACAGCAGGCGCAAAGGATCTCTGGTGTGTGCTGGAGAGCCACCCGTATTGCACAGGTTGTGCGGGGCCTGCCTGTGCCCCGGCCGGCCCTGAGCTGTTCCCCTTTGGGAAGAAACCGCGTGGCCGGCGGATTGAGAGGGGTCACAGACCACCCCGGCCATACCCAGCCCCAAAGGCATATAGTCGGTACATTAGGGCAAGATGGAGCGTGTTATGGCCACCATGAACGCACACACAATCGTGTCGGGATGCTCTGCCCCTGGACGGGTTTCCCACCCCCGGGCCGTCGCGCCCCACGCCCCCACAGCGAATCGACGCGCATTACTGGGCATGCTGGGGGTGGCACCACTTGCATTGAGCATCCCTCGTCCCGCCTTGGCTCTCATCCCTGATGACGACGATGAGGAGCTTGTTGCCAAGGCCAAGGCCAGCCGGGCCGAGCGACTGGCTAGGGATAAACGCCAGATCGGGCAGTTTGTAGCCACGTGAGTCATACCCACCGCTGGGGTGTTGCATGCACTTAATGGAGCACACGGGAGGATGGCAGCGGTTCTGAGGCATGTAGATTATGGCTTCCTGACTCTTCTGTCCCGCCGTTGCTTCCCCACAACAACAGCAAGCCATGCATGCGCACTCCCAGACCGGCGAGGCCTCCACATGTCACCCCTGCTGACATGTAACCCCTACCTTCCATTTGCAGGGCCGATCCCGTTGCCGCTCCAGCCCAGAGCGCCATCAATGCCCTGGCAGAAGTGGGTGAGCAGCTGGAGGCCGGTCGCCTGGAGGGCCTGGGGGATCTGCTGGGAGACTCTCTGCTCTCCGGCGTGAATGGCGCGACCAGCGGTGAGTCTTGGCTGTGAATGGCCGCAGGATTTGGGGGATGTAGACCCCTCTCCGTGCATGGTGAAGGCTTGGCTCCGATGAAGGGATTGAAGCGTCCTTCACGGGTTTCCATGCCGCTGGGACCTGTGCCTGTATGGCAATGATTGCCATCATCACCTCACCCACCCTCCCCCCACATCCTCCTTCACCGGGCATCTCACACCTGCAGTGACTGACAGCCTCGATAGACTTAGGTCCACGGCCGCCTCTGGATCCCTGAGGGAGACCAAGATGCAGTACATCGAAGCCGTGGAGAAGTTGGAGAGCTGGGCGAGGGACTCTGGATCCGTCAAGACCCTGAAGGGATTTTGATAGATGGCAGCAGTGCTCTTGACCCTTCAGATTGCGACTGATGTGCCTCCTTTGTCCTCTCCTCAAATATGGGCTGCCAAAGTTCCCAGCCGTATCGGTAAAGATACACAGGTTGTGAAAATTCAATGATCGGCTGTGCTCGATCTCCTCAAGCAGAGATGCGTGTAAATGGTGGGCATGGGTGACATGCCACTGTCACTTGTGATGTCCTTCTTGCTGCATCAGGGGGGGTACTGCTCCCCTCATTCATTTGGAATGTGGCCTTCGGGTGAGCCCCTCCCGCCGCCTCGGCATGCGACCCCGTGCTGAGCCGTGCTGAGCATGCAGGCCTCTGTGCATACGTCTGCTCAGGCTATACCGTGCAGCTTCATGACGAGCTCCAAAGAACCAAGCTTCTGCTCTATAACAACATCAAGGTTGTATCCATCCAATGGCTCCGAAGAACAGGTCTGCTCGATCGGCGGAGGAGGCTGCTGATCCCTCGTTTGAAGTGACCCCAGGTACGGGGAGGGCGGGAAATAGGCCCACAATTAACCCCTCCCCGTTTGCATATCTAACAGTCAAAGTCGTGACATGCAGATACGCTGCAGCAGCTAATGGCCAGTGGGAACACCGAACTGGTCGGAGCTCTCCAGGTGTGTCCTGGGCGCTGGCAAGACCGTCACAGGGGGACGCCCCCGCGAATTTTTGTCCTTACAGCTGCCTCACATGATCCTATTATTTCTCCCTGCCTTCCCAGAAAGCGTTGGGAAAGATGGTCGGGTCTTCGAGCGGCTACATCGAGTCCCTGCCCGAGGCTGTGCAGAGGCGGATTGAATACCTGGGTGACATCGATGAGCAGCGGTCCGACCTCGAGGCGGAGTTCGATGCCAAGGTCAAGCAGCTGGAGGAGGAGTACAGCGAGAAGTATGGTGCGCAGATTGAGCTGTGATGCCACCAGGCGTTGCCATGCCTGCATGGGGTTCAACACCGGGGAGGTCCCTTGCCTCCGTGGGCCTGGCAGACACCATCATGATCCACCAGCCGAGATTGGCCCTGTCCCTGCCACGCAGCCCCCTTGGACAAGGAGCTGCGTGATATCGTGAATGGCGTCACCGAGGCCCCAGGTGGTGACAGGGAAAGAAAGTGTGTCCTGGGTCGCTTGGGCCACTCGGTTGAACATACTGTGGGAGCCAGGACTGGCGCTGCATGCATGGAGGCCGCATGCTCAGTCTCCTGCCTGCAGCTGCAGACTCTGTGTCGTCTGCGTCCAACACAGGCGTGGTGACCGAGGAGGGCGCTGACAATGTCCCCAAGGGCATCCCCGACTTCTGGATGATTGCGCTTCGGAACGAACCCCACCTGGAGACTCTGGTGAGGGCGGTGCTGTGCTCCAAGGGGGAGGAGCTCCCAAGGCATCTTTGGAGGCCCTCACCCTGCTTGAGTGGGTGCAACGCTTCAGTGCAGAACGTGGTGCTGCAGTACAGAAACGTTTTCAGAGTGCACAGCCCAGCATTTGTTGGTCCACGGCACCCGCTCACCATCCATGCATGCTGCCTGGACTCTTTTGGTTCCAGGCCGCCTCAGCCAGGGCCTCATCAGTCCTCACATGCCTGACCTGCAGCAAACGCTCTTTCTCTTGATGCAGATCACGGAGCGGGATGTTGAGGTCCTGAGCTACCTCACCGACATCTACGAGGAGAGCCTGTCGGAGGAGGAGGAGGAGGAGGTGTGTGCCGCTCGGCTGGAAATTTAAAGGGATGCCTGATGCTTGGGTCCAAGTCTGTGGATCGGGGTCGGTGTGTCATGCTAGGCAGCCCCCAGCGAGCAGGCCGGCCTGCCCGTGGCCTTGGGGTGCCAACGGAAGGACGATGGTGGCTGCATGCCCTGCTTATGGGAAGGCAGTGAGGGGCATTGCCGGACTTTCCCCAACCCCTTCAAGGAAACTCCTCTTCCAGGGCCCCCCTCCCCGATCACTACCCATGCAGAGCTTCACCCTGGTGTTCAAGTTTGCTGAGAACCCCTTCTTCAAGAACGAGACCCTCTCGAAGACCTACTTTATGGGCGATGACGAGGATCTTGTCATCCGTGACATCAAAGGTGGATTGGGGAGGGGACTCGCCATTGCTCGCTCATGCAGCTGGCTGCGCTGCCCTCCCTCACTCTTTCTTCGCCCATGCACGCGGTCCCCTCCTGCATAGCCCCACCTGCTTCCCCCCCCCCTTCTCCACACACAGCCACGCCCATCGAGTGGAAGTCGGCCAGCAAGAACGTGACGGTGAAGGTGCTGAAGAAGAAGATGCGCCCCGGCCAGAAGGGGACCCCCCCCACAAAGCAGACCCCCACCGAGTCCTTCTTCAACTGGTTCACGCCACCGCCCATCCCTGAGAACGAGGAGGAGATCGAGGAGGAGGAGCTGGAGGGCCTGCAGGCCGCCATGGAGGACGACTACGAGGTGGCCGAGATCATCCGCGAGAAGATCATCGACCACCCCTACCTGTGGTTCACGGGCGAGGCGCTGCAGGATGACGAGAGCAGCGAGGAGGACTACGACAGCGAGGATGATGGCGCAACCCCCGGGGGCGAGACCGACGATGAGTCCCCTTCCGATGACGAGGTGGGTCAGGGCAGGGCGCGCCCGTTGGCGGGATGGAGGCCCGGGGGGTGATGGATGTGCACACGTCAGAGGATCACCTCCTGGCCATCGACTCCTGCTGATCCCTCCCTCCCCACCAGGACGACAGTGAGGACGACGATAGCGAGGGAGAAGGGGAGGAGGAGACCAAGCGATCCAAGTCGACCGGGAAGACCGGCCCCAAGGCGGGGGTGAGCAGACCTGGAAGTGATGGAAGCTGGGGTGGAGGAATCGTGCACCTCCTTTGGTGACTGAAGGCTTCATGACATGGAGGCTCCTTTGTGCATGAAGGTCAAGACGATTCATCCCTCCTACCCTCGAATGCCGTGCAGGCCGTGGACAGCCAAGCACAGCCGCAGGAGTGCAGGCAGCAGTGATCACTGATCGGTCCCCCCCGCCGGGGAAGCGTGTTCGGTCGCCGACTCCCACGCATGCCCGTGTCGCGTACAATTTCTGCCATGGATACGATCCCCCTTGTACAGTCGAGTCACGTCGCCGCATGCCATCGAGCCAGGAGCCCGCCCGGGCCGTGTTGCATATCTGTCGTCCCGTGCTCCGCCTGCGATGCCAGTTTGGATCTCCTGTCGAATGCGGGGTGCGCCAACGCAATGCGACCGGTTTTGGGGCCCTGGATGCGCGCCAGTATGCCACCCAGCCAGACTCTGTATTGGGATCGAGTCAGGATCGGGCCGGCGCGCACCCCTCCTCTCTGCGCCGACGTGGTTCCGCTCTGGGCACCCTCACTCTCCTCGAGCCCAAACCCACCCCCCCCCCCTCCCCCGCGGGGGTCTGCTTCCCTCGCGGCCCGGACCCTGCGCACCCCTGTCTCTCGGTATGGCGTCCCACATGGCCCAGATCTCCCCGGCCTGCCTGCCGGCCCGGCCCGGCCCCCGCCTGGCGGTGGCCCGCACCCCATCCCCCCACCCCCGCTCCGTGGCCGCGGGCGCCGGGGTTCGCTTCGCCGGCTCCGGCTCCTCCACCCCCGCCGGGGTGCTGAGCAACGCCGATCTGGAGCGCCTTGTGGACACAAACGACGAGTGGATCGTGTCCCGCACCGGCATCCGGCGCCGGCACATCCTGGCCCAGGGCGAGTCGCTGGCCGATCACGCCCTGCTGGCGGCCCAGCGTGCCCTGGCGGCCGCGGGCGTCCCCGCCGCGGACGTGGACCTGGTCCTGCTGGCCACCTCCTCCCCTGACGACGGCTTCGGCACCGCCTGCGCGGTCCAGGCACGGCTGGGCGCGGGCAACGCCGCCGCCTTCGACCTCACCGCCGCCTGCTCCGGCTTCGTCATGGGCGTGGTCACCGCCGCACAGTTCCTGCGCACGGGGGCATACCGCAACGTGCTGGTCATCGGCGCCGACGCGCTGTCGCGCTACATCGACTGGCGCGACCGGGGTACCTGCATCCTGTTTGGCGACGGCGCGGGTGCCGTGCTCCTGCAGGCGGGGGGGGAGGGGGAGCGCGACAACCTCCTCGGGCACGACCTGAGATCAGGTGTGTGTGTTGGGGGGTGGGTAGGGGAGGATGACGTCGTGTGTGGAGTGGGGTTGGGAGATGATGACAGGCTGGGGGAGGAAGGGTTCAAGCACATGAACACTCGATTCCAAACCCACCGCCTCCCTCCCCCCCGCACAGACGGCAACGGGCAGCGGCACCTGCACTCCAGGTTCCTGGGCGCCGGGGACAAGGCGCTGAACGACGACACCGCCTCCTCCCACCCCGCCTTTGCCAACATCGCCATGAACGGCAGCGAAGTGTTCAAGTTTGCGGTGCGCGCCGTGCCCAAGACGGTGGAGGCCGCCCTGGGCGTGGCGCAGCTGGAAGTCAAGGACCTCGACTGGCTGGTGCTGCACCAGGCCAACCAGCGCATCCTGACCGCCGCCGCAGACCGGCTGGGGGTGCCGGCGGGTGAGCCGGCGGGCGAGGGTGGTGCTGGGGGGCGATGTATGTATGTTTGTCTTTGTGTGCATGCCTGAAGAGGTAGGGGGAGGGGCACCGATGGGGGGCTGCTGAAGGGGGCCCATGCATGGGGAGAGATCTTGTCGGTGGCGCCACTGCTCCACTTCTTACCAACCCCTGCCCCAGCAGCAGGCGGGGCAGGTCTGTCGCGGACCCAGGTATCTCTACCACCGCTCCCCAACCCTGCCCTCCCGTCACTCCTGCTCAGATCGGGTGATCAGCAACCTGGCCGAGTACGGCAACACCTCGGCGGCCTCCATCCCACTGGCTCTGGACGAGGCGGTGCGGGCAGGGACCATCAAGCAGGGGGACGTAGTGGCCATCGCGGGGTTCGGGGCAGGGCTGTCCTGGGCCGCGGCAATCCTGCGCTGGGGCTGATGACAGCCGCCGCACCCTGTGAGGGACAGGAGCGGGCCCGTCTCGTGGCGCGGGGGACCCATCTTCCCAACGCAGTGCCTGGGCTGCTGCACACCCCCGACGCGCTGCTCTGGGACCTGAGCGCCAGCCCTGTGCCCGCCCCTTTCCCCCTCGTGCTTGCTTCTCCTTACTGTTGCCAGCTAAAAATACCCACCGCTCAGGGGCATGTCAGGTCTGGGAATGGGCGGGTTCTGGCAGCGCGGTTTGTCTTCTATACAGGCTGACAAATTCTATACAATGGCATGGGTATATCAAGCATGAGCAAAAGCCCAGGAGAGCGAGAGCCCGGTCACATACAAGATATGAGCAGGGCTATATACTACGAAAGTAGCTCCCCTCCCATGGTTCGTTCATACCATCCAGAACACATCCGATCCCATTAGACCTCGGTAATTAAGCTGGATTGGGCGGGAATAGTACTGCGGTGGGTGACCACGTGGGAAGTCCCCGTGACGAACTGTTTTTGCTCTTCCGCCTTTCAGCTGTTCTGCACCTTGCCCACGAAAAGGACGCCTCCTGTTGTGTTTTGTGCTAAATTCCCAAGGGCGATGCAAGTGCCTATGAGAGGAGGAACAAAAGTTGCATAAATGATCCTGGGAGTAGCAATGCTAGGCTAATGGAGGGACGCATACAGACTTAAGTGTAGAACTCGTAACGAGCCTTTTGTCTTCAATCTCCTTGAATGTCTCGAAAGGTCTTACAAATACAGCAGTTGTGTGCAGTGATGTTGTCAATGCAAACCCTTCTCCCTCTCCATGGCGCCCGATATGAAAATCTTGCACCTGCGCCCGATTCTGAGAATGGGGGACTGGAGGAAGACCGTAGAGCGGGCATGACAGAGGAGTTGTTCAGCCTTGGGACTTGGATTATATAACGTCTCCATCTATCTCTACTTGATCAAGACGTGAGATCGGAGGTTTGTCCACCTCCCTTCCCCTCGCCTCCACCTTCGATGCATGGTCGGTTGCAGCTGCTTCCGGCCAGGTCGATCAGGCAGGCGATCGCTTGAGGAAACTGTATCTCCAGATCCACAGACTGTACCTGAAAGCAATCCAGCTGGCGCACAACCTCCTGCGATGCTGGGTCGCATCCTGGCAGGTGTCGCCTGGGTCCTGGCAGCTCGTCCCTACTGTGCACCGGTCCCCCGCTCCAGCAACCCCCCCCCCCCCCCTCCCCCTCAACCACCAACCGCATCACATCTCTGCCTTCCATATGGTCGCAGAGCTGACTGGCGAGGACCCTGCCCCCGTCCCTGCCACCGACCCGGAACGACTCAAGGGCCTGTCCAGCCCTCCTGAGGAGGACGAGGATGAGGGCTCGGATCCAGGCCTGTCCGGGGTCTGGCGCGCCATCCCCTTCCTCCCAAGCCTTGTCGAGGCCATAGTGGGCACGCCCTACGAGGAGGAGGAGGAGGAGGAGGCGGCCCACGAGGATAGCAGGAGCCGGCGCCGCGCCGACGAGCAGCGGGCGGCCGAGGCCGCGGCCGCGCACGCCTCCGCTGCGGCCCTTGGTGCCGAGCAGAACGAGCCGGTGCCGCTGCGAGTGGACCCGCGCGCCCGTGACCCCCTGGCCGAGCCCAGCTCGCTGCTGCGGCCGGGGGAGGCCGCGGCCCTCGCCACCCTCTGCCCCACACGGCACCGCCTGGCGCGCTGGCAGCTGGCCTACAGCACGCTGCGGGACGGCATCTCCATGCAGACCATGCTGAGGATGGGGCATGGCAGGGCACCCACCGTGCTCGTCGTCCGAGACATGGACAGGTGCCGACGGGTTGAGTGCTAAGTCCATCTGGGCGCTGGGGGTGGTGGTGCCGGTGCCTGCGTGTCTGGCTGCGGGAGCGGAGGCCTCTCGAGGGGGAGGCAAGGATGCCACGAATAGGTGCTGGGACTGTGCCTCGTTTAAGCCGTGGCACGAGAGGAGGATGGTCGCCTCCCTGCCAACAGGTGCTTGGGTGTTGCTGCTCTGATGCCATCAAGTACCCCATCCTGCAGGAATGTGATGGGGGCCTTCTGCTCCGAGCCCTGGCGCACATCCACCCGCTTCTATGGAACAGGCGAGACCTTCGTCTTCCAGCTCGGGACTCAGCAGGTGCGGGGATGGTGCGGGCGCGAAGAGTGCCTGCTTTCTTTTCGGCAATGCCGGGCCGAAGTTTGCAGGCTTGCGCCTTATCGTGCGGTGCATAACAGTTTGGCGCGCTGCCGTGCTCCGGAGCTTTCCTCTCCCCAAACCTTCTTCCTGAATCCCCTCCGTTCCTTTTGTGTCGAGTACCAGCGTGCATGGCGGTGGTGGACACAGCAGAACGCCCGAGCCTCCAATGACTACTTCATGTGGGGCGATGCGGAGGGCATCGCCGTCGGCGGCTCTGGCGGGTGAGTTGCTCCCCGACGACAGTCTTAGACCCAGGCCCAGGGTCATGCACTGCAATACATGGCCTCGTGCCCTGTGCTGGGAGCTGCCCTGGCTGACAGCTGCAATGGTTCTCCTCTTCACCTACGATGCCACCACACCCTCGTATGGCAGGTATGCCATCTGGCTGGATGCCGACTTTGCCAAGGGCCTGTCCCGCTCATGCCTGACGTTTGGAAGTCCTCCCCTAGTCCCAATTGAGGAGTTTGATGTGGGCGCTGTGGAGTTGTGGTGGCTCCGATGACACTGGGTGGCTCCCTAGGACCATCAAAGCATTGCACCCAGAGCTCTGAGCTGGTGATCCTGCCCTCTGCCTCCGAAGTGTCGAGCTATTTGTATCATATCAAGCACCCTGAGAAAATGTCTTATTGTCTGTACCGCACTGTTCATGAGCTTGGGAGGCGGGTCAACAGCTCGTCGGCTGTGGCGCCCTCTTCCAAATCCACCAGGACATGCTGAGGGACGACGGGGGCGCGAGAATGGGCGCAAAGGTGATTTGCAAACAACTCACGTACTGCGAGCAGCTCTATCATTCAAGGTGTCCGATTCTATATACAGGCTCCGCCAGACCACATCTGCGTGTCGTTTACCGGAGCACTCTGGCCGTGCATGTCGCCCCAATAAGGCAGGGCCGTCGTATTGCGTACACAGACGACTGTGACGCTCGACAGGACTAGATATGACGGATGCGGTAGATGCTGCGGCCCCCGCGCGGGCCAATAAGTCGAGGAAGAGGAGTGACGGCCCTAAGACGGGGGTGGCCAAGTACCGGCGAGGGGAGGAGGTCTCCACCAAGACGGTGCGCGAGTGTGCTTCCTGTGACGAGAGTATCTATTGCCCTTTCACGACTTTGGAGTGGCGATGTCATTCCAGTTCCATTCATGCATGCGCGCAGGTCAAGGACAAGAAGCTGAAGGGCCAGCTCTTGTACACAGAGCGGTGTGTGCCACGGGCTCTGGGATGTGTTGCCAGCTGTGGAGCGGTTGTGAATACGCAGCAGACTGTGCTTGCGGACACCCGGCAGCATGCACTGAATCTCTTACCTCCGTGTTCCTCTCACCCTTCCCCCTTCACTTTCAGGGTGTTCAAGGATGCCCAGAAGGCAGCTGCGCGCGTGGATGACTGGCTGCTGCCGGCTGCGGCTGGCGGCTTGGAGGCGGAGGGCATGGAGCAGACGTGGCGCTTCCACCAGGAAGACATCGTCCAGGCAAGGCTTTGTGATTTTGGAGGGTGGAGGCGGGGAACGATGCCCCTCACATGGCCAGTCCCGAGAATGAGAAGCCTGTGTGCAGGTCCCAGTCACCAGCTCACTCATGCTGCCCTCCTCTGCCTGCCGGCTTCGCTCATGCACCTTGGGCCCATCCACTCCAACCCATCCAGCCCCACCCAATCTCACCCACCCCCACCCCATTCCCCTCGCTGTAGGCGGTAGAAGTAGGTGCCGGGCCCAAGGCCTTTGACCTCTCCCTCCCTTCCCTAGGCCCGTATGCGCTGGCCACCACCCGCGCAGGGCGGTACCTTGCGCTGGGCGGGCACCGCGGGCACCTAGCGCTCATGGACCGCTTGCAGTCGCGCGTGTTGTGCGAGGTGCAGGTCAAGGAAAGCGTGCACGACGTGTCGGTACTGCACAGCGAGGCGTTCTTCGCCGCCGCGCAGCGCAAGTACGTCTACATCTACGACAAGCGGGGCATCGAGGTCCACTGCCTCAAGGTGAGCGCGGGGTGAGAGGGGCCTTTTGTTGCAGGAGGGTGTTTTCAAGAGGGGGAGGAGTCGCCTCGTCTCTCGGCACCTGCGTGCATGGTCTCCCCTTGGTCGCCTGCGCCTCCCGGTGTGCCCTCGAAGCCCAGAGACCATGAAACAATGTCTCGTGCCCTTCCCTTCTCTCACTCCCATCACCTTTAGATGACTTCCACCCCCGCGGAAAACCACAACCCCCCTCGACAGGCGCACACCAACGTCTGGCGCCTGGACTTCCTGCCGCACCACTTCCTGCTGACCTCCGTGGGCGCCTCGGGCGTGCTGACCTGGCAGGACACCAGCACGGGGCAGATCGTGGCGTCGGCCAAGACCAGGGCTGGCCCCTGCCGCGTGCTCACGCATGACCCCTCCACTGGCGTGAGCACGCTCGGCCACGGCCGCGGCACAGTATCCCTCTGGACGCCCACCTCCCCCGTCCCCGCCGCGCGCCTGCTGTGCCACCACGGCCCCGTGCTGGCGGCCGCGCACGCGCCGCGCGGCGCCGGCGCCGGCCCGCTCCTGGTCACCACCGGCGCCGACCGCGCGGTCAAAGTGTGGGACATGCGCATGATGCGGGCGCTGCACGCCTACAACGCGCCCGCCCCAGCCGCCGCGCTGGACATCAGCCAGCGAGGGGCTCTGGCCGTGGGGTGGGGGCGGCGGGTGCAGGTGTGGCTCGAGGCGCTGCGGGACAAGGCCGCCGCGCCCTACTTGAACCACACGCTGCCGCACGCCGGGCTGCGCGACCTGGTGTTCTGCCCATACGACGTGAGTGGGGGGGTGGGGATTGGTCATCTGTGTGTGTGTTTGGATGGCTGGGAGAGCGGAGGGGCGCTGTCTTGTGAGGGGCAGGAAATGTGGGCCTGAGGGAGGTGGGTGATGCGATCCTCACCGCTGCCGCACATGCCTTTGGGCGAGGAAACGACGCGGAGGCCTGCGATGTCTACCGATGCCCCGTGCTGAGCTTGCGCTCGATGGTGGACGCGCCGCAGCCTCGAGCGAGGGACTGCAGATTTCAGGGTTTCCGCCGCTCCCTGTGCCGCCTTCTGTACTACACGTTCTCCCATACCTTCCTCCTTGCACACACATCCTCCCTCCTCACCCTCAACAGGATGTGCTGGCGGCAGGGCACGGCGGGGGGGTCAGCGCGCTGCTCGTTCCCGGCGCGGGCGAGCCCAACTACGACAGCCTGGTGGCGGATCCCTTCCAGCGGCGCAAGGCGGCGCGCGAGGCGGAGGTGGCCTTCCTGCTGGACAAGCTGCAGCCGGGCATGATCGTGCTGGACCCCGACTCCATCGGCGGCCTGGCGCGGGAGCCCAAGGAGGTGCAGAAGGAGCGCGCGGAGGCGGCGGCCGCGGCCAACGCGGCGGCCCTGGCGGCGCAGCGCGCCAAGGCCGACGCCAAGACGCCGATGAAGGGCAAGAACAAGCCCACCCGGAAACGGCGGAAGAAGCAGCAGAATGTCATCGACGACAAGGCGCCAGCGATGCGGGCGCGCATGGCCGAGCAGGGCGTGCTGGGCGGTGGCCACGCTCGGAAGGAGAGCGAGCCCATCCCGGAGTCGGTGCCACGCGCCCTGCACCGCTTCGTCGTCCGGAAGTGACGGCTGCGGGCCGTGGCAGGCAGTGTGAGGTGCTGGGAGGGCCGGGGACTTACTGCAAGGAGCTGGAGTCATCGGCCTGGGGCGGGCAGCCCAGCACAGTGGCTGTGGACGGAAGACCGTGCCAATGCACTCTGGCCAATGCACATGGCCAATGCACATGTGCACTTGGTTCCCTCAAATTCTTGATCGATTCCCTTCAGAGTCTCTGCTTGCCAGCCGTGAGCACACCCACTTCAAGCTCCCTGGTAGACACTGGATCAACCCCCACCACCCCTCTGCTTGCCAGCCGATGTACCACGCACCTCTGACCCCTGTGCATGTGTACGACCGCAGCATGTTGCCAGACTGCACTCGAACAAGGAGCATGGCTGCTCCCCAGCAGTGCAAGCACGGCACAGACAGAGAGTGCCCTCACATCTCGGCGCCAAACCCGCCGCTCCCGAAGTGGTCCTTGCTGTTCCGCCCTGCGTCCCTTGTGTCGCTGCGCAGCTTGGGGCAGTCGGCGATGCGGTGGCCCAGCCCACCGCAGTACACGCAACCCCTCGTGCCCGAGGCCGCCTCCAGTTCCTGTGTGAGCGGGTGGTGGCGTGAGGGGAGGGATCAGGGCGTGAGGGAGTGGGGAGTTGGATGAAGCACCGACAGGAAGGGGCTTCATGTGGGCGCAGCATCCCCGTGGTTTCTCCATCCCTGCCTGCCTCGAAGCAGCAGGCATTCAGAATTCCTGCTTCTGGGTCCTGGCAGATTTCATCGCTCAGGACTGTCATCCATCAGCAGGCCTCGGCACCCCCTCCCCCTCCCCCCTTTCCTCAACCAACCCCCTCACTCTCCCTCACCCGCAGCTCGTCCATGGGGTCGTGCAGGGCCTGCAGGACCGGGGGGATGCGCTGCTTGGCCTCGCGCAAGAGGTGCTTCAGGTCCAGCAGAATGCTCTCGCTCTGCGCCTTGTTGATGAAGGTGGTGGCCAGGCCCGTCTTGCCGCGCCGCCCCGTGCGCCCGATCCGGTGCACGTAGTTTTCGATCTCCTCGGGCATGTCGTAGTTGATCACGTGCTGCACGTTTTGGAAGTCCAGCCCCTTGGACGCCACGTCCGTGGCGATCAGCACATCCTGGAACGTGGGTGTGGGGAGGGCGGGTGGGTCAGTCATGTGCGTCGAGGGAGGATAGTCTAGTGAGAGAGGTGGGAGGGTGTACAGCGGGTGCAGGGTCTGCAGGACGATTTCTGGTGGCATGTGCCGGGGCAGATGGCACACTCCAGACCAGCACCCCGTGGCCAGAAGATCAGCACCGGACTCTCCCCACCCCTCAAACTCCACGTCTTCCTACCTTCTGCCCCGTCTTAAAGCTCTGGATGGCCCACTCCCTGTCCTCCTGGTCCTTGGAACCGTGGCTGGCCACCGCCTCCACGCCCTTGAGGAGCAGGAACTGGTGGATGGTGTCCACGTCCTTTTTGCCCTCCGCAAACACAAGCACCGGCGGCGGTGTCTTCTGCAGGCACTCCAGGAGGTAGGCCAGTTTGGCCTCCTCCTTGACGTACTCCACCTCCTGAATGATGTCCAGGTTGGTCGCCCCTGCCCGGCCCACGTTGACGGTCACGGGGTCCACCAGCGCCGACTCGGCAAAGGCCTTGATCTTCATAGGCATGGTGGCGGAGAACATGAGCATCTGGCGCTGGCCGGTGAAGAAGGACAGGATCTCGCGGATGTCCTCCTCGAACCCCAGATCCACCATGCGGTCCGCCTCGTCCAGGCACACGTAGCGGCAGGCGTCCAGGGTCATGCGTCGCTTGGCCAGCAAGTCCTTGAGGCGGCCGGGGGTGGCCACCACCATGTGCACGCCGGCGCGGATGGCGTCGCCCTGGGACTTCATGTCCACGCCACCAATGGTCAGCAGCGTGCGCAGCTCGGGGGCGCCGTCTGCGGCAGAGTTTGTGGGGTGCAGAGTTTTTGGAAAGGTTAATCGGTGGGGACGGGGTTCCACAGGCAGGGGTTCAGGTTCAGACAGAGAGCCGCGGAGGGAGCCTATACCAGCACGATCCTGGTAAAGCAGTGGGACGTCGTCGCCAGTTTACAAAGCCATGCATCTGGCATGTTCAGGCCAGCCAACCGCCAAGTCAAGCAGGCCACATGGATTATATCCAAACCTCCAATCCGCGCCCGCACCTGCCCTGAGGGCTTCTGAGTAGGCAACAACAATGTCGTAGGTCTGGCGGGCCAGCTCGCGGGAGGGGCAGATGACCATGCCGATGGGGCCCTCCCCGCCCTCCAGCCGCATCCTGACCTCCTCCTGGGCGAGGAGTGGAGACGAGACGGGGCACGTCATGTTGACCAGCAAGCCCAGAGCACAGCAGCCCGTAAGCATGCCCCTTTGTACGCCACAGGGTCGATTGACACAATGCACAGACTCCCACTCCCACAAAGAGATGCCCTCCTCACCTGGTAGGCAGCGAGGACCATGGGCAGGGCAAAGGCCAGGGTCTTGCCCGAGCCGGTGAAGGCGATGCCAATCATGTCCCGCCCTGACAGAATGGCCGGCAGGCCCTGCATCTGGATGGGCGTGGGCTTCTTAATCCCGGCATCGGCCAGGTAGCGCAGGATGGAGGGCGGCAGCCGCATGTCCTCGAAGGCGGGGATGGGGGGGGGGAGGTGGTGCCCCTCGCAGATGATGTAGAAGTGGTCCCTCACTCGCTGCATGGGTATTGAAGGAGAGGGGAAGTGGTATTAGCCAGTGGAGAAGGGGAATCGTTGGGCTTGTGGGTGAGATATCATAGAGTTGAATGCTCTGGAATTGCAGGTGCCAGCAGGAGAGCACGCAGGGCTCCCAGAGCATGTCCTTTTGCAAGACTCCTTCCCCCTCCACTGCCAAAAAGAAAAGACAAACAAACACGAACCTGATGCTCGTCCTCGGAGGTCAGGCGGTACTTGAGGGGCGGCTTCCACCCCGTCTTCATCACTTGCGTGTACTTGATGTCCTTGGCCAGCTCCGCATAAGTCTTCAGCGCCGCCTTCTGGGTGATGCTGCGCATCAGCTCTGCTTCCTCCTTCAGCACGCGCTCCTGCTCGGTCTCGCCCAAGCCCTGGCAAGGCAAGAGTGGCGGGAGGAAGGGATGGGATGGGAGGTCACAGGTCCTCGGGCTGGGGCGAGGCGCGCTCCCTGCGCATGCAGTGGTCCCATGGTCCACCCACCTCCTGCAGGGCCTTGGCCTTGAGGATGAGCAGGGACTCCTTGCCACGCTGCTGCACGGCCGGCTGTTGATCCCTGGGTGCTGCCCCCGCGCCATCGGACGACCCGCCGTCCTTGTTCCGGAGAGGCTCTCCATTCAAGGGAGCGACCAGCGACGGCCGGCCGAGCCTGGACAAGCGGGACTGGACCTCCAACTGCCGCCGTTTCTTCACCGGGATGTACTCCTCATACCTGAGAACACGTATGCGAGGCGTCAGTCATGCTTCAAGTAGTTTGCATGGCGTTGCGCGGCCCTATTCAATGCACACTCGAGCTATGCCTACTCACTCCTCGTCCTCCACGGGCAGGGCCTCCGCCTCCTCATCCCTGGCCATGCCCAGAATGCGATGAAGCTCGCAGTCAGAGGCTTTGTAAAATTCAGTCTGATTAGCAGATGCGAGGAGGATCCCCGAACGTGGTCGTGCAGGACTGGAGATGTGTCGGAGAGGCCCTCGGGGTCTCAGAACAAAGGGCAAATACCTTGAATCGAAGTGAAATTTGAGCTGATGGTAATAATGAAAACCTTGGCAGCGCTGGCAATGCCCACAGAGGCTGCATGTTGTAGACGCACGGCTCGGTCACTGAACCATCGCTCAATCTGAAGCGCGCGCTCAAACTTGGGGAGAGACGGCCTCTTCTGGCAAGGCATGCACCGGCTGTGGAACCCAATTTTGAAAGCGTTGTATTACATAACCACCAGTGCCATTCACTGGCAAACATGTTGATGCTGCGCACTCAGCAGCCTCCCCGCAGCGCAAGCACCAGGTGGAGGACCGAGCCTCCCTCGATGTTGTACTCCTTGGCGAGCTTGTCGTCATTCATCTGCTTGCCGGCAAAGATCAGCCTGGCAGGGGCAGGGCCAGGAGGGGGAGTGTTCAGATATTCTCTTACTCAGGGACTGCTGGATGGGTCAGGCTCAACGCGCCTGAGCTTGCTGCAGACAGCACTCGCACGACCTCCTCTCCAGGATGCTTTGGGTAGACCCCATGCATGTGCCAGCCTTGCCAGCGCTTGCAGCCGCAACATGAGGAATCTGATCACCCATACCTCTGCTGCACGGGTGGGATGCCCTCCCTCTCCTCCACACGCTCCTTGATTCGGGCGATTGAGTCATTGGGCTCGATGTCGATCTCGATCTCCTTGCCAGTCAGCGTTTTGACCTGGTGTAGGGGGATGGAGGGAGGATTGCGTCAGTCGCTCTGGACCAGTCATGCAATAGGTGTGACCAAACCTAGGCACTCTGGCACCTTGATCATCATGCCACCGCGGAGTCGGGGGACCGCAGTGCACTCTTGGGGGCACCGGGCGTCCGCCACGTGGTGCAGCCACTCCCTGCAGCCTGCATACAGGCGAAAGTCCTGGATCCTCCACCCCGTCAAGGTGGCTACGCGCGCCTTGACCGCATCTGCAGAGATGAACTGGGTGAGTCACGTCCGGTGAATTTCGAATGGCGGCAGAGCAAGGACGCGCAAGGTCTCCCCCACCCGCTTGCCTGGGCTCAGGACTTCTCCGACGTCGAGGACGAGGGGACCACCCTCCTTCAGATTTGCAAGCACTCGCATATTACAAGCTGGTAGGCTCCTCAGGATCTCAGTCGTGCCCGGCCTCCCTGCCTGTGATGTACAGCCCTATCTGGCCTGAAGTGATCACTTCAGACCTTGCTGTGTCAAAGGCTCGTTTGCTGCTGGACCAATGAAGTGCGTCGTGCCTCCTCGACCCTTGCATGTGAGTGATGCGTGGGGTCCTGTGATGCGTGAGATTGAGGGGGCAAACGGGTAGATGGAGGTGAGTCTTGCTGGCGTGGCATCGGCTGACTGGCGGGAAGTCCACCCCTGGGCAGTGACTGGTTGTCAGGCCAACATGACGAGCACGAGCGGGGCGCGCCCGTTATGAATCCTTTCCGGAGCATGTTGGTGTTTGAGGGAGTTGAGGAGCGAGTCCATGAATTCTGGGATCAACTACAGGTGAGGCGAGGGCGTTATGATCTGGGCGAAGCCGACCCGGCGCGAACCCAAAGAGCCAGGAAGACGGGGATTGGTTATTGATTGGGAACATATCCATTGATCATTGGGTATGTTTCATAAGCTGCAAACAATCTTGTGGCGCCTTTCTTTCGCGCAGACCTCTCGTACAGTCCATCATGCCGTTCGGCACCAACGAGTCCCTGCAAAACCTCACATGCTCTGGACCCTCCACCACCGCAGCGAGCGCTACTACGACGACGTGTACGAGTATAGGCATGTAGTGCTCCCCCCCGAGATCGCGACTCGGCTGCCAAAAGACCGCTTGCTGCATGAGCACGAGTGGCGCTCACTGGGTGTGCAGCAGTCCCGGGGCTGGATCCACTACACCATCCACCGCCCCGAGCCCCACATCATGCTCTTCCGACGAGCAAAGGGGTACGGCACAGCCGCAGCCGTAGTGCCCATGCAGCAGTAAACACGCGCTGTAGCATGGCTCTCCCAAACCCTAGGTTCTGACTGGACCTGCTGGAGTAGACAAACATGCCGGCCCCTGAGCCTAGCACCCCCTTTTCCCAAGTCAAAGCCTGTGATGGGATTTCCCCCCCCTCATCAAAGCTCAGCCCTCCCTGTTTGAGAACCCCTTGCTGCACCCCACCCGATTCCGCCAGCCCTCCAGCGCGGGTGACCTTGCCTCAAAGCCTTCCCGATTCATGATTCACTGGATCCAAATCGCCCCTGTGACCTTCTCTCGCCATGCGAGGCTGCCAAGCTGATCCTCTGCTGTAATGCAGGGTGCTGAGGAACGGTGAGTTATTGGGTCTGGCAATGAATTGGAAGGGGATGGTGAAAACCACGTCGCGGAAAACAGTGATCGCAAATTCTGCGCGGGGGGGCCTCGGCCACTCCAGGTCAAGCCGAGTGGCCAGCAGGGGTGGACAGCCGCACCGTCAGTCGGAGCCCACCACGCGCATGAGCTGAATGGCACCGGCCGAGTTCGCTGCGAGCAGGTGCTCCGCCCCCGGCCGCCAGGCCACTGCGGAGACAAAGGGCTGGGGGGGTGCTGGCCGCATGCCGCCCGGGGCTGGGGCGGGGGCCGGCACCGGCGTCTGGATGGCCTGGCAGGCCAGGGGCCGCGGCAAGCGGGTTCCATACACGTACACCTCGTTGGTCTCGCTGCCGCTCGCAATGAGGCCGTCCTCCACTGCAGACGGGAGGGGGAGGAAAGGGGGGAAAGGGGAGGGTGCGAATGCGTGGAGAAGAATGGGTTGGGCATGCCCCGACTGACCATGGCATGCCGAGGTGCTGGACATGATATGCACAGGTCCGCATGTCCCCTCCATCTCCTCCGTGTCCTGCGACAAGCTCCCAGCGCACTCTCCACACCCTCATACCACTGCCACTCCCTGACTCACCGCACAGACCCACAAAGTTCTTCTCGTTGGTGTGCCCAGTGTAGCTGGAGGGCCCCGGCCCGGGGTCGGCGCCCAGCATGCCCCATCGCCGCAGCGTGGAGTCGGTGGAGGCGGTGATCAGGCTGCCAGAGTCCAGCCAGCGCACGTACGACACCGGCTTGCTGCCAAATGCGGGGGTGGGGTGGGGGAAAGCCAGGTGGTGGGGGGAATCTTGGGGACAGGATGGACATGAACACGCACCCCGAAACATGATGATAGGAACAGGCAGAGCCGTGAGGGCACAGATCCCAGACCAGCCAGCCTGCCCAGGTGCCCCCTCATCCACGGCAACAACAAGCACCCGGCGCCTTGACCACAGCCCGCGCCGCACCTGTGGCCTGACAGCGTCTCCAGCGGCCGCGCCACATGGCGCGTGTCGTACAGGTACGCGTGGTGGTCCGAGCAGCCCAGGGCCACATGGTGGCTGGACCCCGGGCGCCACCGCACGCAGCACACGTTGACGCCCACGTCGATCTGCAGGGGAGGGGATGATGGGTGGGGAGGGGGGTTGGCCCTTCTACCGCCTTGCATCCTGTTCCTTCCCTCCTTCCACCATTGCCAGCCTCCCCAACCCCCCCTCCACACACACACACACACACACACACACCTGTCCGACCATGGTGGCGAGGCTGGTGGACCACAGCTTGACCAGGCCGTCGTCGGAACCGGTGGCCAGCAGGCCCTGGGCCGCCGCGCAGTAGTGCACTGCCCAGACGCGGCGCACGTGCGCCTCGAATTCGTGCACCAACGCCAGACCCTCCACGTCCCACAGGCTCATGGCGCCGTCGTAGTCAGAGGCGGCCACACGGTGCTCGCTGCCCGGGTCCCAGCTCAGGGAGGAGATCTTGGAGCGGGCCATGAGCTCCGCCGCCGGCGGCTGCTGCGCCGGCGAGCCCGGGGCCAGCACCGCGGCGTGCTCGTACACGCTGTGGTGGGACAGGGGGTCCGGCATGGATGAGGAATGACTGGGTGTTTTCCTTGGGAAAGGGGGGGGGGTCCCACCAAGAGAAAGGGGAAAAGCACTCCCAGGGAAGGAGCAGAGATGGGTTTCAGTATGGAGCAGTAGTGTCGAAACCTTGTCCAGGAGGTGTGCACCGTGGATCGGGCATCCGCCCAGGCACCCGCACACCCCCGGCTCCCCACCTGATGCGGCGCGACACTCCCGCGCAGGCAAACAGGTTGCCGCGGCTGTTGTACTCCAGCCCCGACACGATGCTGTTGGGCCGGGCGCCAGGCGGGCGCGGGATGACGGCCACGGTCTCCAGCGCCGCGGCGCGGTGGACCAGGTCCAGCGCCCCCGCCAGCGCGCCCAGGCCCCCGCCGTCGCTGCCGGGGACGGAGGCCCCCGCGCCCGCGCCGCGCCGCGCCTCGTAGGCCGCCAGCAGGCCGTCCAGGTGTTGCGACAGGCGGGCGCGCTTGCCGCCAGGAACGAAGAGCGGGGCGCCTGCCAGGTCCTGCGTCGGGTCGGGGCCGGGGGCGGGGTCTCGGGGCGACACGCCGCTGCCCGAGGCGTTGCTGGAGTCCTCACCCTCCTCGCGGCTGGACCCAGTGTCCTCCAGCTCGGTGCCAGGCAGGCAGCCAGGGTCGACCCGCCGCGCCACAGCGCGGATGTCGGTCTCCAGGCAGTCCAGCCGGTCCTGCACCCTGTCCAGCTCCGCCTCCTTGGACTGCCTGTGGGGTGAGGGGAGGGGCCGCCATGACTGGGGTGGGGAGGAAGGAACGATGGGCAGCGACACGAGTGGTAAGGGAGGTGTTGGGGTTGCAGGGGATGTGACTTGATCGGGCGAGGAGCGAAAGAGCCTGGCTTCAGGCCAGGCTGGCAAGGCTTGGTCAGGGAAGGCATGATGGGGTCGCCGCGCCAGCCAATAATCATCATGATAGGGTAGCCCCTCCAACACCACAGGACGCAAAGACCCTCCCCCCCCCCTCTCCCCAAATCATCCACCCCCTCGCCTCGTCTTCTGGAGGAAGTGGAGGAGCAGGTGGGGTGCAGGGTCGCGCTGCCGCTGCGTCCAGAGCAGGTGCAGCGCGGCGTCCAGCTCCTCTGGCAGCATGGCGGGGCCAACCTCCTCCAGCAGGCGCTTGAGGCGGGCGATTGGGGACAGGCGCGTGCGCGCGCCTCGCACCTCCAGCGCCTTGCACACCCCGGCCAGCAGGTGGTTGGGCCAGACCCGGGCCTCCGTGAGGTAGGACCGGCAGCAGGGGCAGGTGCTGTCCCGCTGGACGTGGCGCAGGATGCAGGCGTGGCAGAAGGTATGGCCGCAGGGGGTCACGCACGGGCTGCGCATCACCTCGCGGCACACGGGGCAGGAGAAGTCCGCATGCGAGGCCACATCCTCCCCTGGGCCCGCGGAGGACGCATGAACCGCTGGCATGTCCATTACATGGTGCTGTAGGCCGGTGCGCTGCCTGCTTGAGGGGGCCGGGCGGTCAGCAGGCTGGTTTGATCTGCCGGTTGGGACGGGTGCGAGTGCCATGCAGACAGCCCTTCGCCCATGGTGCTATGGTGTTCTTGGAGCCGGGTGGAGGGACCAGATCCAGCGAGATAACTGAGAATTGGGGGCATCGAGGTGCAGGTCGCGCCCATGCATGCTCGTATCTGGGACTGGTGGTCAGTAGGGGTCCTCTGAGGTGGCCAGGGACTGATTGAGGGCGCCGGGGACTCCTGTCCCCAGATGCGCGGCTTGCACAGAAATGGGATGATCCCTCTGCCAGAACCACCCCATTTATGTCTCAGCCTTCATTATTGAGCACACTTGTGTGTCACACAACCCGCTTCTTCGCTGTGTTGCCAAGGCGTCTGTTAGGGGGGCTTGGCCAAGGCGTCCCTCACGGCGAAACAACCGCGGGGGGAGAGTTTCACATGGCAGGCACATCTGAGGGCATATAAGACCACAAAGCATAATCTTCTTCCGCAGGCCTGCATGAGCATGCAGCCTTCACTCTCTGATCCGCGTTACTGGTGCCCACATCGGACCTCCCGGAGAGATCCAGGAAGTTGGTCGGACTGGTTTGTACCACGACCCAATCTCCCCAGGCAGATCTCGACACCCACACATCACTCAGAAAGGCTCTCGAACCTATCTCTGCATACATTAGATTGTCTCAACACCACCTTGAAGCAACCTTGGTGCCATGGAGAGACAGGATGCCCTCACCCTGGCCGCCCTCCCGCTCCTCGGGATATGGTTGCTAGTGGCTCGCATCCTGTCCATGCTCACCCCCCTCCTAGCCCCCTGGCTCTCGTACCTGCTAGCACAAAGACTGTACTATGCCACCCCCTTCGCGGTGTACGCCCTGAGGAGCGGGGGGGGTGCCAAGGCCATCCTCACCCGGCTAGGTTTCGAGGCCTCATATTGCATGAATGGTGAGCGCCGGATGGTGTCGGAACCCAGGCCCCCTCTGTCGGGTGGCGTGGAATGCTCCTACCGGCAGAGAGCGACAAGTTCCGTATATTGTCGACACCCCCTCCCCCCCCCTTCCCCTCCCGTAGTGGTGCGACGGTACCTGACCCTGCCCCTGCGTCCCCACCTACCCCACTTCTACATCGTGGGGTTCCCCAAGTGCGGCACCACTTCCATGTGCACCTACCTGAAGCAGCACCCGTGCATAGACGGTCTGGACGGGCTTCCCTACCACGAGATCTTGGAGAAGTGGGTCGGGCGCGTGTCGGGATCGGGGGCGGTCGGGACCCTGGGCGGGGGGTGGGCATGCCAGGAAACCCAGTCTCTGCCCAGGCTCTGGGCACGCCTTCCCCATAGCCATTCACTCACCCACCCACCCTCCCTTACTCACCACCAAATTTCCAACTCCCAAACTCCCCCCCATCTCTCCCCCAGGGAGTCCCACTTCTATGTTGGGGCCCTGGGCCGCTCCTCCACCACCAGCACCTCGGCCTACCGCTCCTTCTTCCCCACCATCGTGGCATCCACCCTGGCGCGCGTCCGCCACGGCAACTGGCTCTGCTTTGACGCCTGCCCCGTGCACGCCTGCCTGCCTCATGTCCCCGCCCGCATGAAGGCCATGACGCCCAACGCCAAGCTGGTCTTCATGATGAGGGACCCGCTGGCGGCCGTCATCTCGGGCGAGCTCATGGTGAGCGTGTGTGGGACGGGGTGTGAGGAACCTGGGGCGCCCGCGGACATTGTTGTGAGGATCCAGTTACTGAGGATGCGGCAGTGGTTGGATACTAGGAGACTGGCTGAGCTGCTCTTCCTCTGGCGTGGAGAACGTCTGATCTGCTCCAAACCCATCAAGAGGCGGCGCTGGTGACCCGCCCCACGGCCTCCATCCCTGCTGGCTGACCATCACACCCTCTCTTGCACACTTTCCTCTGCACAATCACAGCTCCGGGACCTGGGCATGCCCCTGCAGTGGTCCACGCTGGGCGAGCACGACCTGGCGGGGGACAGCCTGGCCGAGACGGAGGAGGACAGCGCGTACTGGGCGGCTGTCGAGAAGCTGCCCCTTGATGAACCTCTCCCCGCCGACCTCATGCAGCGCTTCTACAGCACCACCGACCCGCGGCCCGCGCTGCGCGCCGCCAAGTATGCCGACTGCCTGGACCGCTTCCTCCGCGCCTTCCCCAAGGAGAACATGATGTTCGTAGACTTTGCCGACTTTGTGGCGCAGCCAGAGGCCACCGTGCGCTCCGTGCTCAAGTTCGTGGGCGCCGACGCGGCGCTGCCGGCCTACGCCTTCAAGCCCATGCCGCCGGGGATGCAGGTGCGGCGGTGGGAGCTGTGGAGCAGCAGGAGGAGGGGGGCGGTGGCGACTCTGTGTCTGGAGGTTGGATGCCCACTGGGCAGGATCACCCTGCCTCCCCCCAGGTCTGGGCTGGCCCAAGCAGGCCCTTGCATGGTGCGTCAGGCCCCAACACTCCTGCATCCCTGCGCGCCCCCAGCCCCTGAATCAGTCCGTAGACCTCTGCTCATGCCATGAATTCAATCCCTTCTTCAACTCCAAACTCGCTCCGCAGGGCAAGCCCCGCGGCAGGACGATGCACCCGGCGGTCAAGCAGCGGCTGCGCCAGTACTATCGCTCCAGCAACCTGGCCCTGCAACAGATGCTGGGCAGGTCCCTCTCTTGGTTTGGCGAGGACGTGTGAGGCATCATTCGTTGACGGCGCACGCACTGGCCACGCTCAAACGGCTCAGATCGCTCCACGGCCGCTCCTATGACTCGCGGGAGCCGCCGTTGGAGCCAGCCTTCAGGCCCTTAGCAGGCACACAACCCCCTTGGTCCTTTCCGTTGATCTATGCAATGAACCTCTTTTCCCCTGGCATATACACTTCTGGTGCTGAGTGAAGGTGTCAGGGCTGGCTTGCCACCTCAGCTCGTTCCTGGGCGGCCTCACAGTCAGGCAGCAGCATGCCTTGCGGCACCTGGCCTCCCGTGGGAGTTCTCGACGCGGCTTCACGTTCCCAATGTTGGCATCTTGGCATCCTTGTGTGTAAGAGACTTACCACTCCTGGTGTGTGTGCTTGTAGGACCCATGCGACGATGACTCTCCCTGCCAGAGTTGCTCAAACAGTACCCAGATTGACCAATCTGGACGCCAGTCAGGATTGCCTGCTCTTACAGAGGGCGTGAGGGTGATGAGGGAGGTATTCCCCCAAGCAATGAGCCATATGAAAAATGAATGTCGTGAAATGGGAGATGCCCACATCCTCGAGAGGACGAGGGGAGGAGGAGGGCAACCAACCCCCTCCGAGAGCCCGGGGGTTCCCAGTGCAAGTGCAATGCCTGAATGAGTCCTCTCGGGCCCTGTGCGGCTCACCGTCTCCCCAGCAGCCGACCCAAGGGGGCCACTGGGGTCGGGCCGCTGCGGCGCCGCCAGCCCAGCGCCGTCAGCGCAGCGCAGAGCCGGCATGCATCAGCGCCTGTATGGCCCGCTCGTGCTGACGCAGCAGGATGGAGGGCCCGCTGATTCTGCGGAACAGCCCGATCTTCTGCAGCAGGTGCTTGAGCCGCTCCACGTCCTTGAGCTCGCACCAGCCCTGTGGGGTGGAGTGGATGGGTGGGGGCCCGGCGTCACAGCGGCGCGCCACTAAGGGTTGGCGGCGGACAGGGATGGGGTGGGGAGTCGGCCCTTGATCGACATGAGCATGAGGGCCGGCGCAGGCGAGGAGCAGCCATGCGCACTGCCCTCTTCTCCCCCACGTTCTATTGGCACGCCGCGCCCTCTGCGGCGCCTCCCCTACTCTTCCTCCCACCCATGGATTCTAGCCCCCCCAAACTGCCCCTAAAAGTGGCCTTCAATAACTCCTCCCCACCCTTCCCAAGATATGGAAGCCGGCTCACTTTCAACTTGGTCTCCGGGTCGGTGCAGCGGACGCTGACCCCCTCGCTCAGGACAAAGCGCGAGTAGAAGAAGTCGGTGACGGCTGTGGGCCCCGCCGCCGCCGCCATGTAGGCGTCCTGGTCGGCCTCGATGACGAAGCACTCGCGGACCTTGGCGCGGTCCCCCGCCCGCGCAGCTTCCAGGTAGCTGTCCGGGCAGGAGCGGTGTGCCTTGTCCACGACGTCGGAGACATATGAGTAGGGGTAGTGCAGGATGACGCTGTCGTCGGAAACGAGGTTGGTGAACTCCCCCCCCGGGTTGTCAGCCGACTGCCAGCGCGGCGAGGGATCCCCCGTCCAGAAGTGGGGCCCCAGGTGGCGCACCCCGGGCGCGTCCACGCGCACCGCAGCCTTGCCGTTGGCGTAGAGGAGGAGGAAGGAGGTGGAGGCGCCCAGCTTGAAGCGGGAGCGGTACCAGTGCGCCTCGGGGGTGATGAAGTGCTTGTGCACCCGAAACAGCGTCACCTGCTCGTACCGGTTGACCACATCCCCGGCCTCGGACTGGCCCTCGAAGTTCATGAAGCGCAAGGAGGCGACGTGGGGCGGGACCCGCCCCAGCACCTCCGCCAGGCTGCCCGAGGCGTCACCGGGCTGGACGAGCTCGTCGGGGTCCAGATGCAACAGCCACTGCATGCCGTCCTCCTTGGCGCGGCGCAGGCCCTCGTGCTCGCCAAAGCCTGTTTCAAATGGGGGGGGCGGGGGGGGGGGAGGCGGGGGCGTGGGGAGCCGTGGTGTCGTGCATTTTTGTGGGCGGCAAGGGAATGTGTGTATAAAGGAAGAAAAGGACTCGAGAAAGCATCCGCTCCTGCTGTCAGGCCACCGGGAAGGCTGCGGAACCGCGCGGCGGCGGCACACCCAACTCTCGCGGTCCCACATGCGTGGTCCGCCCCGCCCTCCCATGTCCCTGTTCCTCCCCATTCCCAGGCACCCCACCCTCCCCACCCACACGAAGCCTCACCCTGGGTGACCATGAGTGCATAGTTCCCCGGTCGCCCCTTCCACTGCCTGGACAGGCCGGAGTAGAGCTCTACCAGGGCGCTGTCCACGCCCTTTGCCCAGGGCTCGTGCACGTGGATGAGGCGCACATGGCGGATGGTCTCCAGCGCCTGCACCGCCGCCGCGTCGTGCCCATTGTAGACGATGTAGAACCTGGACACGCCCATCTCGGTGTGGTACTGCAGCCAGGGCAGTACCTCACGCCGCACGCCACGCAGATCCACGCCGCTGGTGGTGACCACCGCCACGCGCGTGGTCGCGTACGGCGCCGCCTCCTCCGCCAGCGCGTTCAGGAAGGCGATGCGCGCGGGGACGCTGCTGGTATCGTTGAGCGCATCGCGCGCCGCCACGCCCATCTCTGCGGTCGTGGTGCGGTGCTGGCGGCGCACCGCGGTGCCCTCCACGGGGGTCATACCCGCCAGGCTGGCAGCCATGAGCGCCGCCAGCTCAGCGTGCACGTCCTGCACCCCCGGCACCGACTCGCTTGATTGCACGCCGTACCGCGCATCCACGGGGAGGGGGACCTCCCGCCCCACGATGGCCCTCACCTCGCCCCTGGTCAGCTGCAGGTTCAGGGGGGGATGGAGGTGCGGGGGGCTTGAGGGTCTGAGCGTGTTTGGAACGAAGGCTCCCAGGGGACCTGGCCCTGATGCCTGCGGGTCAGGGCAAGGATTCAGCAGGGAGGCAAGGGCAATTGTGCATGCAGATGCAGCATGCTTTGCGAGGGGTTGGCATGCTCAGGCCCCTGGCACAACAGTGCTTCCATGATTGAAACCCTCCCTCCCGAGTCCACCTACCTGGCCTTCCTCGGCGCTCTCCATCATGGTGCCCATCCAGGGGTTGGTGTCCGCAAGGGAGCGCACCATGGCCTCCACCCGACCCTTGATGAAGGCAGCGTCGGCATGGGCCAGGTCCACTGTGCAGTTGGGGCCCAAGGAGAAGGGGGCGGCCTCCCGGGACTGAGCAAGGACCTGGGAGCTGGAAGGCGAGTCGGCGAACAGGCTGCGGCTGGTGAGCAGAACGATACCAACCACCAGCTGCACGGCAAAGAAGAGGGCAATGGTCCGCCGGCGGTCCCCCGAGGGCAGCAACCGGGGACTGCCGCGCTTCATGGTAGGGGCACCACCTCACTCCCGACGACGGATGCAGACGCGGTTCAGCGCGGCATTCGATCACATTAGCCTGATCAATAAGTCATTACAAGTTGTTACCATACATAGAATCCGACGAGAGTCCCAACACAGGCACTTTGTGAATACGCCGGGGATCCTGCAATTTCGAACTTGCCCCGAGGTGGTCGCCATTTCCATAGTCCGACTGTTCCCCATGTGCCAGGTAGCTTTGGGGGGGGGGTCGAAATATTCTTTATCCGCAACGCTTTCAGAAAGGCTCCTGGATTGAGATGAATGGGTCGGAGCACATTGAGGGGTGGGTACATGGTTAATCTTGCACAGTGTAAGCAGCCCTCAGAGCAGCACACCAACACCTCTGGCCACTTCAAGTATGCACCAACAATTTTATGGCCATCTTCCCCAAATGCACTTGCCACGCAGGTCTTCACAGGATTTGTTGGGCAGGAGGAGGCTCAGCGCGATTGCCGCTAAGCCTGTAGAGGACTGGCAAGGGAGGAGTGACTCTAGTGTCAGCCGTCTCAAACTCTTCAACCCATCACGCTGTATGCTGTGACACGAGGATTGCTCATTCGCAAATGACCCTTCTGCAAGAATGCAAGTGCTCTCAAAAACCAAGATGACCCAGAATCTTGCTGACGTGGACCTGCGCAAGAGAGAGCTCGCCCCCTCTCGACATCGAGAGACACAGGACTTGCCGCTCGCCAACCTCATCGGGGAAGGTATGCGCAAATCTCGCAACAAACAAGATGGGGCAGACAATGAGCTTCGGTCTGTCTCAGTTGGACGTGGAGGAGATGGTCCAACACAGCAACGGGGCGTGTGCGCAGGGCGGAGAGTCGTGGAGGGTGCTGTCAACGCTGGCATTTACTTGACTATTGACCCCTAAATCAACGAACGAACCCAAATGCAGTCGATCAGCAAGAGATTGAGGCTCTGTACAAGCGGTTCAGGAGGTTGGACAAAGACCGCAAGGTGAGAGGGGCGAATGCCGTCGGGTCGCCACTCGCCACTCGAGAAGTGCACCTCCTTCCTATTCCTCAGCGCGTCTTACGCTGCACCAGGTCGGGGTCCTCACTACTGATCCTCGATGCCGTGCTCCAAACAGCTCCTATTCTGTGGTGTCTTTGGCGCAGGGCTTCATCTCATCTGAGGAGTTCCTGAGCATTCCGGAGCTCTCCATCAACCCCTTGGCACAACGCTTGTCCTTTTTTGTAGAGAGCATCAACTTCAAGGAGTTTGTCACCTTCCTCTCCGGGTTCAGTGCCAAGGCGGGGCGGGAGGAGAAGCTGAAGGTCATGTTTGATGTGTATGACGTCGACGGTAAGAGACCGAGGGTTGGATGGGAAGGGAGTATGGAAGAGGGGGGGGGTTCAGACTCCTGGGCTGTATAATGGCGCGCAAAACGTGTTCATGGATTGCTCAAGGTATTGTGGCCGCCAATGCCAGGTGGACGTGTAATCTCTGGAGTATGGGCGGTTGCTGCCAAGCTGTGCTGGGCCGGGGACATTTCGCGACTGAGGCCACTTGTGCCAACCTATCTTCATCCCATCTGTTCACTCACGCAGGCGACGGCTTCATCTCCGAGGACGACATGGCGCAGACCCTGCGGTACCTCATTGGCAGTACCCTGGCCGAGGCCGAGCTGCGCAGCGTGATCGAGCGGACCATGGTCGCCGCAGGGGCTGATGCCAAGGGGCTGACCTTTGCGCAGTACAAGGAGGCGCTGGGCGACACCCAACTGGCCCTCAACCTTGAAGTGCCCACCGGGGACTAGCCTGGAACCCTGGGTGCTACACAACACTGCTACGCGGCCAGACAGCACGAGGAGCTCATGGTGATTTGGAGTAACGCAGGGCCCGGACCGGTGGCCACTTTCCTTTGTGCTTTTCATTCAACACATCATTGAACACGGGCCTGGGCGTTCTTTGTCTTTACATTCCAGTTTTGGTCCCAAGTGTCCTGCCCCGGACGCTCTGGGCATTGCAAGGAGGTCCCCATGTCTTGGCTGAGACTCATCACGGCGCTTGTCTTCGCCAAGTCCCGAAGTAATGTCTCCAAGTCCTCATGTCACATCACAATGCTGCTTCCCTCGAATGCGGGAGCATACATGGAGTGGGATGCTGGGAGAGGAAAGCGATGCCATACACTACAATGATGGTCTGGGCAGGTTCACAGGGGTCCAGACCCTCTGCACTGCCGAGCAGGCATCTGAAGCCAGCCTGTCAACCTGTCCCCCACCTGCTGGGGACGTGCATCACACGGCATGCCCCAGAGCGATGCCATGGTCCAGTCAGGCCTGGGCAGGGCCCTGCGGCGCGCAGTCGATCAGGCGGCCCTGTGACCCGGGGACGGGGCGCACGATGCACCCGCCCCCCGTCCAGCTGCCCACCAGCTTCCCCTCCCGGCCCAGCCTGGCAGCCAGCGCGTCCACCGCCGCAGAGGGGGGCGGGAAGCGGCCGTGTGATGCCCGCTGCAGGAGCATGGACAGCGCGGCCGGCAGGCAGGGCCCCGCCGCCGCCGCCAGGGTGGGCGCATGCAGCCGGCGCGCGGCGGGGTCCGAGGGAGTGCCCGGCCTCCTCTCCCCCGCCACAGACGCCGCGTCGAGCGCGGCGTCCCCGCGCTCCCGCGCCTCCCGCGCCACCCGCGAGCAGGCCCGCTGCAGCGCCTGGAGTGCGCCATGCACCTCCGGCCCCGCCCCGCCCAGCAGCGCGCGCAGCCGGTTGCGCTGGTACGCCGGCGTGGCGTTGGTGGGGTCGGTGACGTGGGGGATGCCCATGGCGGCGCCAAAGGCCAGCAGCTCCGCCTTGTGCACGCTCAGCAGCGGGCGGAGGAGGAGCGGCGGGGGGGCGTGTGTGGCGGGGGCCCTATGCCGCGTGTTGGAGGCCAGGGGCCAGGGTGAGAGGGGCGCCATGCAGGCCAGGCCCCGCAGGCCGCTGCCATGCAGGAGGCGCAGGAGGAAGGTCTCCTCTTGGTCGTCGGCGTGGTGGGCGGTGAGCAGCCCGGAGCAGGCGCTCGACCGGCAGGCCGCCAGGAGGAGCGAGTACCGCGCGGCGCGGGCGGCCGTCTGTGTGGCCCCGCCACGGGGCGCCGCGCCGCGCCAGTCGACGGCCAGCACCCGGGGTGCCAGGCCCAGCGCAGATGCGGTGGCGGCCACGGCAGCCGCCTCCCGCCCGCTCTCGGGCCTCAGGCCATGGTCCACGATGAGGGCTGGGGGTGGGGGGAGGTCGGGGGAGACCTGGGAGGGACGGCGGAGGGTGCAGTCGAGCGGAGAAGTCAGGGGTGCTGGCGTGAGAGGGAGGACGGGGGCCACAGCGAGGCCGGCACTCCCCGTTCACGGGCGCGCACCTCCGCATGCCAGGCAGACAGCAGGGCGGCGAGGGCCATGCTATCCGGACCTCCCGACAGGGCGATCGCGAGCCGCGTGGTGGGTGGGAGGCCGTACGAGAACATGGCCTGGCTGAAGGCCGACACCACCCTCCCAGCCATCCTGTTGGAGCAACGGTGGGCCCCTACATGTCGTGGTCAATACGATGTGCCCAGGAATCTCATGCAGTCGAGACTTTATTGTCTGTATTGGTGGTGGTTCGCGGGCGATGTAGTCGGAGAAGTTTCACGTGGAAGTTCCCTCGAGATCCGCGCGCGTGGACTGATAGGGTTGCTGACGGAGTTGGCACTCCGACCTACAAGAACGATAGCTCAACGAGGAAGTCCTCATCATACATCTCAATACGAGCCTGAGGTTGAAGCAAGGTACATGTTGCGCAGATTGACACCCAGGGCCGTTCCATGTCAAGTATACAGGACAGGGCGTCAATGGTCCATGAAGTGATCTATCGCTGCAGAGAAGGCCGCAAAGGTGCCGCACCCCAGGGCCATGGCCTTGGGTCCGCCGCTATGTGCCAGCACTGCGCCCGCGGTACACCCTGCGTAGACCGAGTTGTACCTGTCGTGCTTGGCGCGCATCTTTTCGATCACGCACTCGCTCCCGGCAAACAGAGCGCCCATGGCACTGAAGCCCTTGGCATAGGACCTGCAGACAGGCATGGCGGCACGTGTGTCAAGACAGTGCAGACATTGTGATGGGTGAAACTCCGGTCATCGACTCTCTGGGCAGCTGCTTCGTGACAGGCACCAGCATCGAGGACAAAGGCCCATAAATACCGCCCCAGCTGCTATCGGTGATGCCCTGGGAACATCATTCATCATATCCCTTTGCAACTATCCATGCGTTGCACTGCAGATCATCCCTGTTCACCCTCCGATGCTGCGCTGCACCTACCAGCTCTTGGAGCTAGTGTTGCGAACCATGTCCTTCATGATCTGGCGCACATTCTGCTTCTGATTTTCCGTCGCCAGCCTCCCATCTATGCCTAGACCCTGTACATTGATGGAGTTGGAGCGGAGTGGATGATTCTGACAGCACAAGGCTTGGCCCACGTCAAGGGGTGTCCTCGCTTCCACCAGGACCAGTCAGCCACTCTGAGCGCCCTGGAGATACGACACCCAAAGCTCCCACTCACCGCGCCATCCATGGTGCCCATGAACAGCCCAAACATGGCACCGAGCCCCGCGCCCATCACAGCGGACAGCACGGTGCGCACGGCGCAGTTATTCATTGCCTCTTGGCCGGCCATCTGCTCCGGGGTGGGCAGCTCCAGACGGGTGTACTTCTTTCCGCCCAGCGCATGCCTCTGCTCCGGCCCAGAAGTGCTAGGTTCTCCATTGTCCAGAGCCCCGGAAGCCTCCGGCACGTCGGACGCCGTGGACATCGGCCCAGCAACAGGGTCACGAGCGTCTGCACCGCCGGGCCTCGTGCATGCAAGCCCAATGTATATGCAAAACTCGATATGACTTTGAAAGATAATATTGGGCTTCGGCCACAGGCCTCATGGTCTGTCAATGGTGCGAATGTGTCCATGTCCCTGTGGGGAGCGCGCGCGACTCCACCCCTCCCGTTGTGTCATTCGTACCTACCCACCTATGGGGCGGCTGCCCTGGCCCTGCCACATGATCATCTCCTTACACATGTGCCTTTGTCTCGGGCGCTTCTGACCCACCAGCAGCGGGTTCATCCTTGCCCGCTTCCACCTCCTGCTCCACCTTCTCCTCGCTGACCTCCGCTGCCGACTCAACGGGAGCAGGCTGCTCCTCGTCAGCTCCCTCCGCATCCTCGGCCTTGGCCTTACCCTCTCCCTCCTTGGCTTCCTCCTCCTCTGGTGGTGTGGCCAGGAGCCGTATGTTGTACTTGAGCAGCTGCTTGAAGTCTTCCACCACCGCGAAGCCACAAGTGGTCTTCAGCACATTGATCAGGATTGTCTTCTGGGGCGCCGACAAGTTGACCTTGTGTGGTGGCTACAGACCAAGGGGGGAGAAGGATCCTCAAATGACTTGGCTGCACCATATGGTCCTGCAAGTCCCCATGTGAGGCCTCACAGCATTGACAGACTCTCCCAGAGCCCGAGTCCACATCGGGAGACCTCACACCAGGCCGCAGCCGGCCACCCACCGTCTTGATGTTGTTGACCACGGCGTTGATCACATCCATCCTGTCCAGCCCCGGTGCCGCCCGATGCTCATACTGCACTGCAAACTGTTTCAGAGGATGGGAGGGAGGTAGATGGGCGTCAGAGCACTTATTCCAGGATAGCGGCTGCACATTTCCTATTCTTTCGCAGCCGATTGGACCATGTCGCAGCAATCCCGTATACCGTTCTCATCTGCCTGTCCACCCTACACCTCCTTAACCCGCCCTGGTGCGCTCCCCCTGCATCAAGGCATGACGTGAGATACCCTGTTCCTCCCAAGTCCCCCAACTCATTCCCCCTCACCCAACCTCAAGCCCACAACAACTCCCCACCTGGATGCCCTCCTTGGCCTCAGCACCGGTCGTGGGAAAGCGCTCTCGCGCCAGCGTGGCCCCCGCCTCCCTGATCTTCTCCAGGCTGGCGTAGCAGGTGCTCTCCACGGGGTAGAAACGGTTGCACAGCTTGGTCCCCGCGCGCCGAGACTGGCGCGCCGCCTCGCAAGCACGGCTGACCAGCTCACAGGGGCCGGGGGAGCCGGGGTACTTGATCTCCACAAACACGGTGGAGTGAATGCCGGTGGGGTGGTAGTAGAACAGGGACTTGCGGTGGTCCTTCAGGTCCGCCACCTCAGCGGCCAGCAGGGCTGCCACGTCACCGCCCGAGGTGCTGGGCGCCGCCGCGCTTTCTGGATGGTCCGCTTCGTACAACTGGGCGGTGATGAAGAGGAGAGGGGAGGTTGAAAGGGGGGGGAGAGGGAGATCCTGCAAGCAAGGACGCGCTGCGGATTGGATGTGGGAAAGAAGCTGGTGCGAATAGCACACATTGGGGTGGAAGGTGGAACAACGCAAGCACAAAATATGCAAGAGCGCCACAGTTTCAAGGGAATCATGGCGAACCTGTTGGCACCCCACCAAAAACACCATCATGTCGACATGCTGTAACCTGTGTGAAGACGTCGATGGCCTCCCTGGCCGCAATATTCTCCTTTCCACCAGCACAGGACACCAGGATGCCTCGGCTTCCCAGGGGGATGCCGTCCTTCTTGGAGCTCTGATGGGTGGGGGAGGCCAGGGATGTGCAAAGTCCGGCAAGGTAGCGCAGCGGTGTATTATTCCGTGCCGACACTTGCCCACACATACCGCAGATTCACCTCGACCTACATTGCTGGGAAAGTACTTTCGTTTATTGGCCCTCGACTGGCCCTCTGCTCCACGCTTACGATTGGGAGCCTCACTCATGTTGGCCTGGGTGGTAGGCCCCGTGAGCCGCGACTGCTCACCAGTCTGTGAAGAATGTAATACAGAGTAATGGTGTGAGCATCGTAGAAATGGCAGGTGTCTGCATTTCTGCGTTGTTAGACCTCCTCGACAAATTTCGTCACTCCGCGCGCTTGGGCGCCCGCGGGCGCCGTCGACCGTCTTGAGGTGAAGAGCTTCTCCAGGGACGGTGCAAGACTGGTCAGGTGTCACAACTCGATCCCTCTTTCCATCACACACATCCTGCCCACTGATCTTTATCGAATTTACAAGGAAGCAAGGGCGGTGCTAGAATTCGGTGCTCGGTGCGGCGACGCTGGCAGTACCAGGCACCGGCCATGCAGCATCCCCCTCTTTGAGGGGCAATCCGAGCGCAGAGAGGATCGTCGGGATGGCGGGATCGGCAGGTTTCCAGTTCCAGTACAGATATTCTGCAGAGCATGTGTGGTTTCAGGGGAGCCCAGCAGCAGATGTAGAGTGTGTCTGAAGTACAGTCATTGTGAATCCCGCCAGTGAGGTTATCACACCAAAGCATACCGCCTGTTCACACGGACGTGACAGGCCCCGGGGCCTCTTCCAGCTCCCCATCGTCGCTGGACTTTGTGAAGGGCTCCGACGCATCATCCAGCTCCCCCCTCTGTGAATGGGTGGGGACGGTGAGACTTGAGCGCTCTGCAGACATGGCTTCAGGGCAGGAGGAAATTCTCTGCCTGCTGGTGCCTCACAGGCTTCACACCAGCCGCGCAATGAGCTCCAAGCCCCCCATCCATACGACCAGCCTCTCCTGCACCTGATAGGCCTCTGCCAGGCAGGCCGTCTTGACGGCCACATCCACATTGCGCACTGGCCCCTTGAACCACTTGCGGGCGCTGAGCAGCCACCAGCCGAGGGAGAAGATGAGCGTGACCCCGACGGCCACGGGCGCATAGTTGAGGGTCTGGGAGTTCACCGGGTACTGGTTGGGCAGCGCAAACACGACGGTGATGAAGGCGCACCAGAACACGCCGATCCAGCCGATGACCAGCGAGAACTTGCCCAGGTGGAAGGGGCCCTGTGGTGTTTGTGGGGGGTGTTGTTTGGGTGAAAGGGGGCGCCTGTTTGTGGAAGGCTCTGTGCCGTGCTGTCGGAGTGATCCACAGGCAGCATGGTGCCATGTGCAGGCAAAGCGGCCTCACCGGCACGGGGGCGGATGCTTGACACAAATTTGTCGCCTGCCAGGTCACAGAGGCCTGTGCCACCCCATCCTTCCTCCATCCTCTCAACCCCCTGCCCCCTCCCCCCCACCTTCTTGAACCACTTGCGGGCGACGGTGAGGCGCAGGAACTGGGGGATGGCGTAGGAGATGTACATGCCGATGACGCCGATGGAGGACATGGCGGAGAAGGCCACGGTGGAGCCCAGCAGCGAGAGGCCCAGCAGGATGGCGGCGGCGCCCATGGCGATGATGGAGTTGATGGGGGTTCCCGTGGTGGGGTTCACCCGCTTCCACCAGCGCGAGCCGGGGATGCCGTCGTCGCGGGAAAAGGCGTACAGCATGCGCGAGTTGGCGGTGATGCAGAAGGTGCCACACCAGTTGGAGGCGACGAACAGGATGAGCATGAAGGCCAGGGCGGGCTTGGTGTTGCCGTTGAACCGCGCGGCAAAGGCGTCCATGAAGATCTGGGATGTGGCGTAGCCTGGATTTGGTGGATTGGGGGAGAGGTTGGTGATAGGGGTGTCTTGCATCGTGAGGGTTTGGGTTGTCCTTGAAGCACAAGAGGTGCCGTGAGTTCAGGAAAGACGATTGCAGCAGGTGGTAGCATCTGGGTCCTCAACACGTGCACGGACAGCGCGGCTGGGAAAGGCCTGCCCACGCCATGCAGACCCCACCAGCACGCCCGCTCGCTCAGTCACAGTGCCATCAACCTCCCCCTCCCTGCAGCCTTGCCCATGCGCCCTCTCCCCATGTGTGGTCTTCCAATACCTCCCCCTTTCCCCCTCCCAAACAGCATTTCTATGACTCACCCCCCGAGATGGTGTCTGGGTTGGTGATGTTGGCGGGGTCCTGGATGGAGAAGGTGAGGGAGAGCAGGAACATCCAGCCGCAGATGAAGGAGCCCACAATGGCCATGATGAGGCCCACCGGCCCCGCGATGGCGGCGTTCTTGGTTTCCTCCGCGATGTGTGCGGAGGTGTCGTACCCCGTCATGGCCCACTGGCTCATGAGCAGTCCCAGGAGGAAGAGGTAGAAGGGGTTGTTCACCCCCGTGTCGGGGTTGGGGATGAAGGTGCCGAACACCCACCCCGCGCTTTGGTGCACGGGCGCGATGACCAGCAGGCCGATGACCACACCCAGCGTGCCCAGCACGTGCCAGTACACCGACACCACGCTGAGCCAGCCTAGGAGCTTGACGGAGATGGCGTTGGCCACGCCGTGCAGGATTATAAAGCCACAGTACAACCCGTACTGCTGCGCGCGGGTGAATTCGTAGTACCGCCCCTCGCTGATGCTGATCACCTGCTGCAGGTACATGACCACCGTGTACTCCACCCCCGCGGTGATGCCCACCTGGCCCAGCAGATTGAACCAGCCGGTGATCTGGAAAAGGTGATTTGTTATGGGGGGTTTCAATCTTAATATATCATTGGGTGGTGGGGGGCTTTGACAAAATCCCAGGGACGATCGGCTGGAGCGTGACCGAACCAGTGAGAGGTGGAGGGAGGGGTGGAAGCAGCAACTCCCCATCCAGGCTTGCACTCCCCAGCGGGCCAGATCCGTAGTCCAAGGCGGACAGCTTTGCCGATGGGATCAGGGGCTCGCGCTTTACACCCCTCCTCCCCATCCAAGCAACGAGTCCCAGAGTCTCCCCCTCCCTTCCCTCACCGCACCCAGGAGTAAAGAGGCCCGTGCCGGCCGCCAAGGGTGCCCGCCCAGAAGTAGACGCCGCCGGACGTTGGGAGGGCGCTGCACACCTCGGCCATGGGCAGGGCCACGGTGAGGGTCATGGTCACCGCCAGGGGCCAGCCCCAAATTACAGACACGGGGCCGCCATGGGTGAAGCCGTAGGTGTAGAACCCACCCAGGCCTGTAAGCATGGACAGCAGGCCAAAGGACACCGCGAACTGTGGTGGTGGGGTGCAGAGGGGAGGGGACGTTCATGGCTCGTGGGATGCGAGGAGGAAAGTGATGGGGTGTGCACACCGCCGCGGTCGACCAAGGAGGCCTCGGCCGGTGTACAGGCTGCGAGGTAAGTCCTCCACGAAGGTTCCAGCCACCCACGCCCCTCATCCCCGTGTCAGCCCATTCAGTCAACCTACAAACCTCCTGAAAGCTCACGTTCTTGAGCAGGCTGAGCTCGCGGGTGAGTTCCTGCTTGTATCCCAGCTGGCGGAGGCGGGCCTCGTCGTCCAAGGGTTCGGCGCTCAGCCGGGCAACCGCGCTGGGGCGCTTCTTAGCAGTGGTCAGGTTCAGCTCAACCATGGTGTTAGTCAGAGCGAGACTGGTGATGGGGGCCTCAGGTGTTGTGGGCAGGCCACCGGGTGGTGCCGTCCAAAGCCTCGACGGGAGGCTGTCGGCGGCAGGGCGGTCGGCAGGTCCACACAGTCTTGGCCAAGAAGATCGGGGTGTGGGTCCTCACAAACGGTCAACAGATGAGGAACGATGCTGGTACGCAGCTCGACAGACGTATAGGCTCCGCCTGCCAGGAGCAGAAGGGCCCAGCGTTCTGTGCCTCCGTCTTTGAACCGACTGGTCTGTACGCTGCGCTGCCTGTGTAGTGACGTGCAAACCTTCTCTATAGCCTGCTTGCTCTTCAAAAGGGTACCCAGTATCTTTCGGAATGGGATTAGGGTCGCGGACTATGGACGCCCCGGAGGTCCGAGTTGGCGCCATGGGCTAAGCATCTAATCAGTAGTCGGGCGAGAGTGAGGTTGCACGAGTAAGAGGTTGCGTTTGTCTGCCTGGAAGTTTCGAAGATTTCAATGGTACTCCCAACTGACGACCTATGCCCTTGCAGTACAAAGGACGACCACTCCATCCTGGTTGAGTTCTGCTGGCATGTCACTGCCTTATTGTGCTGGGGGGGTCCCAGAATGTTAGATTGATTCAGATTCACGAGACTGGCAGATTGTGTGTAGTAATCAAGCAGATGCAGAACAGCGTTGGTGGAGCTGCGGACCCACCCACTCTAAATGATAGCTGCCAAAGATGTCTTGGTGATCGAGTGAAAGAGTGTGGTGATCAAAATGATCTCCCACGCGGTTTGAGATTCGCCTTGGCAGTCGCTTCTACGCAAATATTACAAGCCCTCCAGCACTCGCGCAAAACAAAAAGCTCCAGCTTATTCTCGATCAATGTTACGATTTCCCTTCAATCGGACATTCCATCTGGGTTTCAAACGTTCGAGCAGCAGAGCATTCGGTTTCGGAAGCACTCGTGCCATGCCAGGACGGCCCAACCTCGGGAGGCTCACAGCCGAAGACCTGACGGCCCTCCGTGCCGAGCCGCGAGCTACTGCGGTTCTGAATTTCTGGTGAGACTGGGTTTAGGACTAGGGGATTGCCGGTTCTATTCCTCGATGGCGGCCCAGTGTGTCCTCATGGAGCCTATGACGCCGATCACTTCGGGACGAGCCTGATCATTTCCACGCACGTGTACCAGGTTTGGCGAGAAGTGGGAGACGGAGGGTCTTCCCAACCCGACCGAGAGGCTGGGGGTCTGGTATGGGAAGAGCGATGCCCTGGACTCCAGCATTCGGCAGTCCTTTGGCGGGGACCTTGACCGTCTCCTGGAGGGCCGGCTGGATGGCTGGCGCTCCTCCCTGCTCCCAGCAGTGGCGGGCATCATCCTTGGGGACCAGTTCACTCGGAATGCGCGTCGGGGCACGGCCAGCATGTACGATGCTGATGCCAAGACGCTGGAGTGGACGCACGCCCTGATAGCGGATGGCAGCATTGCTCGGCTGCCGTACGCGCTTCGCCACTTCGCCGCGATGCCCCTCATGCACAGCGAGAGCCTGGCAGACCAGGAGGTGAGTGGGTCGCTGGCGAGGCGGGTCCCCAAAACTTGCACGGGAGCTGGGGCTTGTGTTGCCTCTCTGGACAGCCCCCCCACCATACCATCCATGCTACTGGCTCGGAAAGCGAGATCGATGACATTACATACCAGAGCATGAGCGCCATTGTCCGCTACTGGGGCCACTCGCAAACCACTATGCCCCCCCCTCCCAATCCGTCAGCTCATCTTGGAGCTCCTCAAGAGATGGCATGGGGAGCTGTCCAGCCAGGGGGGTGATGACGAAGTTGTTGAGTTCGTGCAGACGGCAATCCCTTATGCAGAGGGCCATGTAGATGTGGTGAGGAGGTGGGGACGATTCCCACACCGCAATGCGATCCTGGGCCGGCCTTCCACACAGGAGGAGGAGGCAGGCCTCAGAGACGGCAGCATTGCGGCCTGGTGATCATGCTCGCGACCTGGCATCCTGAGGTGGAGTTGGTTCTCTCTGTCCCACCATCACTACCTTGCTTGCTTCTGCTATCAAATCTTGCTGCGATGACAAACCTGAAGGATTTGTAATCGATCAGAGAGTCCACCGGCTCCACCTTTTCTGCTGGGCTGCCGGTCACCTCAACAGACTGTTAGAACGGTGCCCCAGGAATTCCCCACAGATACCAAGCCGGTGCATGGGCAGCATTGATGCCATCCAGCAGCTTCCATAAGATCAGGTGTGGCGGTGTGCTCCCCCAAGCACCCAGCCCCACCCCTCCCCCACATTTCAGCTCCCTATGCACACCCTTATCACTCTGGTTGAATTTGCAATCCATAATCATTCTTGGTCGATGTTTGAAGTCAGGCTTGCAATAAGGAGGCTGTCGTGTAAAGCCTTGGGTCCAAGGCCAGGGTGAAAACAGCCCAGTAGCGGCGTGGCTGCCGTCTGCTGGTTTACATCGTGAGGCCGCCACAAGTTGTGCCATGACCGCCCTTCTTGCCTGAGTCAGCCACCCAGACGCCCCTCGAACTCGATGAGAATGGTCACACATCACCACTCAGCAGGCGGCGCCCACAGCCATGACGGATGGCTGCTTTGGTGGGGAACTTGTGTTCAGGTCTTTGGCCGTCCCTAAATGAGGTGACCCGATGCACTTCGCAAGGAATTTCTGAAAAAGTGGGATTTTGACACTTTGTTGCATGTGGGGCAACTTCACTGCCGTCTTTCAATAGGTCCTTGAAAGGACAGATTATACAACCCATTACTGTAAAAGCACACAACCAATCTACCAGTTCAGAGTCAGGACATTTGTGCTTCCACCTGCAGTTTGGTAGGCCACTAGTTGGGCATAGGACACAAATTGTGCAGTGGCATAGTCCAACATTGTAGATACTTTGGCCGGGGGGCCAGAATAAATATCCGGCGAAGCTCTGTACTATCGCACCATCTTCTTTAAAGAAAGCGTAGTAGAAGCCATCCGGAACTAAGCTGCCAAGTGTCAACGAGAACGTAAAGGTATTGTCGGAGCGAGTGGCGGTTCCACTGATAGACCCAAATTTTGGTGGTGGAGGGGCGGCTCCCGGAGGAGGTGGTGAGGGGTTGAGCAGCTTCAGCGGCACCACCTCGCGAAGGGTGGTCTTATCTGTATTTACAAATGCAGAGCCAAGAGAGTAATCTGTCATATACGTTGCATCCAACGCCACCATGATGTAAGTGACGCTGGATTTGGGGCTACCTTCCTCCATGGTCGTAAGCCTTTGAAACATAGACATAAACAGCCGGCATTTGACGGAGTAAGGTTTGTAACCCCAAGTAGTGACAACACACGTGGTGCTGACCTTCCCATCTGCAGGAGCACCGAACTGAAGTGTGGCAGTTGCTGGTCCTGAGGGTGGTGGTGGCGAGGGAGGGGGGCTCGGTGAGGGAGGGGGGCTGGGTGGAGGAGAGGGGCTGGGTGTAGGTGGTGGAGAGGGCGAGGGAGGGGGGCTGGGCGGAGGAGAGGGGCTGGGTGTAGGTGGGGCATTGGGAGGAGGAGGGCTCGGGCTTGAGGGTGGGGATGACATCCTTACGGGTGGTGGTGGAGACTTCTTGGCGGGAGGCCGCGGAAGCTTCTTGGCAGGAGGCGGTGGAGACAACTTGGCGGGCGGTGGGGGTGGCTTCATGGTGGGTGGCGATGGAGGAGACTTCCGGGTGGGTGGTGGCGGTGGCTTCTTGGCGGGTGGTGGCGGAGGCTTCTTGACGGGTGGGGGTGGGGACTTCTTGGCGGGTGGAGGTGGAGACTTTTTGGCGGGTGGGGTTGGGAAGGCAAGGACCCATGCATACTTCCGGAACTCGAGCAGGCTGCAACCCTGTAAGTTCTTGCGGTTCCCAGACATGTTCAAGCAATGGTGGCTGGTGCCCTCATTGTTATATCCCCAATTGGCAGTGCCCACATTGGAGCTACCTGCAAAACACAGCACCGTGGTACTTGTGAGTCAGCTCCACCTAGGGTTGCAGCGGCTGTGCACATCTTGCATGTCATCTACATCCTACCCCTTGCTCACCAATATTGTCATCCCCAACGTTCTTCGTGCCAAAGTTGTTCTTGCCCTTGTTGCCGGAGCCAATGTTGCCATTGCTGTCTGCTGTGCACGCCTTCTTGCCCGGCTTCAGGCACTCCACGGCGGTAAGGACCAACGTGGCGCCAGACTTCAGGATCTCCAAGTTGCGCACACGGATGGCTGGCATGGACAGTCCCACAGCACTCAGGGTCGAGGTGCGAACGGACCCCGCTTTGCTGAAGCCCTTGTGCCTTTTATTTGTGAGGGGCAGACGTGTATAGATGGATGTGTGCATAGCAGGGCATATGTGAGATGGTGTTTCTGCTAGATGGCGATTTTCACCTCAGGCAGTCCAGTGATGCACAAGCACACGCTCTGCGCCGCAATACACTCCTGTGCTACTTACTTGCAAGTGGCATCTGCACTGTCGACCGTCGTCAGGTACAGATGGGCTCCCAGACTGTACGGAATCGAATAAAAGCGACATGTTGGAGGAGCATCGGGAGCAGACTCGGACCAACAGGCCGACTCGAGCACAGTGGGTTATATGCGTGCCTGACCGAAGAAGCAATTTCCCCGACCCCCAAAAATGCTGAGTAGGGACACGGATGTTGGGGGCCCGGCCGGAGGCATGTGCGCGAGGGCTTCGTGAGAATAGGAAGGTCACCGATGCCGCTGGTGAACCCCGAGCCCCTTCCCTCATGAACATACCACACGGCTCACATTGCACTGGGAAGCGCGACGAAAGTGGAGCTGCATGTGGCCTGCGGGGGGCGGGAATGCTGAGGAAGTGGTTGTAGAAGGGGCGACCGCAGTCCGGCTGACGCGGGTGCGAGATTGACCAGCGAGCACTCCAACTCACCGCAACGGCGCATCTGGTCAGTAGCAGCACGAGACCAGTCACGAAGATCGAGTTCCTGGCGGTCGGTGACATCCTGCACCTTGCGGCGCTGTCACTGTTCCGCCTACTGGATTCACTTGTCGGGTATTGGGTTTGTTGCCTTTGAGTTAGGACCCCTTTCCTTTGCAACACCTAGGTCGATAAATAGAGTTCGAAAGTTGTTTTCTACCTGTTTTGTCCTTTACTTTCATCATTTATGTTTGTAAGGGTATCAGGGAAGACGGCGGAGATGCTTGTCGCGGCATTCCGGAGGGATCCATCCGGAACCTGTGATCAAAAACGATGCAGGGTGCGCGGTAAGGAAACAGCTTGCAAGGGACATCAACCCAACTTTCAATTCCGCTCTGGGCTCATTCGGGCATCGTCACTTATTCCAAGCCGGACAAGTCACCCGATGGCGATTGCAGCTTCTAACCCCCCTCAACGTCGCCTCAAGAACAGCATCTCCGCGTCCGGAAGAACCTCTGCCATGCGTCAGGTCACGCGGAGCATGATCGTACATGAAGAATCCCAATACACGTCTCGAATCGATCACTATCGCCCACGAATTTTGCAAACACCGGTTGGAGTGGCCACCATGTTATCACTCCATAGGTTTCACGTCGTTTTCCTTGCTGTTGAGGAAATGGTGAAACATCCACCGCTGAGGACTCTTCGGCTGATGAGGCCAAGTACAGTTTCACAAGCAGAGGCGAACTAAGCGGCAGAGAGATGGGTGCTAGCAATGACTCTGAATCTTGATACTGTCCGAATATATGCATATGAAAGTATCCGTGGTGGAGTAAATCACTGAGGTTACCAAAGTGTAGGGAGACAGTGACCTCACTAACACTGCGAGGCAGGAGCCCCCTGTTCTGCAGCCGTTCGCTGCCTGGGATGTCGGCATCGAGGATCAGAGGCAGATGGGTTTGAAACACTTTGTTGCGGGTGGGCAACTTGATCGCCATCTATTCTTGTGGTCTTTGCAAGGACATTCATAACCTATTCACGCACAAAGATGAATGCCGAGAAATAGCAGCAAACTACCAGGTTCACCATTTCAGGGTCAGGACGTTTGAGCTCCCGCCTGAGAACTTGAGGGCCACTACTTGTGCGTATGACACAAAGGGTACCACGGAAGCGTCCAAATTCAGCACCATTGTGGACGGGTTGCCAGTGTCTTGGCTCATTATGTTCTGAACTACTATCCCATCTGTCGTGAAGAAAGCGTAGAAGAGAGCGTCTGGGACGACGCTTCCAAGCGTCACCGAGAATGTAAATGTTTGATCTGCTCTGGTGACGCTCCCACTGATGAACCCAAATGCTGGTGGTGGGGGCGAGGGTCCCGGGGGAGGTGGTGGTGAAGGGTTTAGCAGAGTCAGCGCCATCACCTCGCTCAGAGCAAGACTGTCTTTGTATACCAATGCAGAGCCAGTGACGAAATTCCTCATGACCGTTCGCGGGAGTGACTCCCCCACAATGGTAGTGACTGTGGATGTGGGGCTGTATTCCTCCAGGAACCCAATTCGGCCCAAGAGGGATGAGTACAGATTGCATGCAACCATGTAGGGAATGTACCCCACCGTGGTAACAACACACGTGGCGTTGACCTTCCCATCTGTAAGAGCGCTGAACTGTAGTGTGGCGGATGCACGTGGTGGTGGAGATGGAGGCGATGGGCTTGGTGGAGGGGTGGGAGGTGGCGAAAGAGGTGGGCTGGCTGAAGGTGAGGGTCTTGGCGGAGGAGGGGCCCTGGGCCCTGAGGGTGGGGGAGGAGGTGGTCTCGAGGGTGGGGGAGGTGACCTTTCAGAGGGAGGCGGTGGCGACCTTGTGGTGGGCGGCGGGGGCACCTTCTTAGCGGGTGGGGGTAGAGACTGCTTGGAGGGTGACGGCGGTGACTTCTTGGCGGGTGGGGGTGGAGAACTTCTGGGGTGTGGCGGTGGAGACTTCTTGGCAGGTGGGGGTGGAAGTTTCCTGGCAAGAGGCGGCGGAGGTTTGCTGCTTGGGTCTGGCGGTGACTTCTTGGCGGGTGGAGGTGGAGACTTTTTGGCGGGAGGCGGCGGCAAGGCAAGGACCCATGCATGCTTCCGGAACTCGAGCAGGCTACAGTCGTTCTGAACCTTGCGTTTTCCATGTTTATTGAAGCAGCGATTGCCAGTGCCGTTATTGTTGTTTCCCCAGTTGCCAGTGCCCACGTTGGAGTTGCCTGCAACAGGCAGCACCTCCATAACACTGATTAATCTCCATCCAGGGCTGCAGCGGCGGTGCGCAAATCGGATGCCATTTACATCCCACCCCTTGCTCACCTATGTTCTCATTACCGACATTGCTCGTGCCAAAGTTGTTCTTGCCTTTGTTGCCGGAGCCGATGTTTTCATTGCTGTCTGCCGTGCACGCCTTCTGGCCCATCTTGAGGCACTCCACGGCCAAGAGAATTTTCGTGGAGCGAGACTCCAGGATCTCCAGGGTGCTCACACGGATGGCTGCCATAGACAGTCCCATGGCATCAAGGGTCGAGGTGCGAACGGATCCCGCCTTGCTGAAGCCTTCATGCCTGCTTGCAGTGGGTAGTGGACGCGCATAGGCTGAGGCATGCATAACTCGGAACACATGCGATGCTATGATTGCTTGATGTGAAATCGGTGGGGTTGATTCACTGATGTGCAAGCAGATGCTCTGTCTCACACACACACCATCGATTGCTCACTTGCAAATGGCATCTGCACTGTCAACTGTCGTGAGGTACACATGGGCTCCTAGACTGCGGGGGGTCGCACCAAGTGCGAAAAGTTGGGAATGCGTGAGGAACAGACCAGAGATCATAGGCCGACACGAGCAGATTGTACGAGTGCATGGCTGAGCAAACAGGTTCTTTGAGCCCCAGAAAGCTCGGTCATGGACATTGGAGCCTAGCCCAAGCCACACGTGTGCGAGTGCCCTGTGCGGACAGGAACGTCATCAGTGCCGCACACATTCAGTTTCAAATGAACAAAGTGGATGTCTCACACGTTACTGGGCAGCGCGACGAAAGTGGAGCTGCATATGGCCTGTGGTGGGCGAGGATGCTGGGGAGGTCAGGGAATCACGGGCACAGTATGAGTTGTCGGACGCGGGATGGGCACCCCGAGCGAGAGCGCCAACTCACCGCCAAGGCACATTTGGATAGCAGCAGCGCAACCCCAGCAAGGACAAACGTGTTCGGGGTAGCCGCCGATGGCATGCTGCAACGTACGGAAGTCTTGCAAGTCCGCCTGCCGGGGGCACTCGCACCCTGAACTGGGTCCTCCGCCTCAAAATTGAGTGTGCACTAACTTTAGTGCGCCGTATTCCAGCAATTTGACGGCAAAACCGAGAATCTCTGGCCCATGCACCCGTCTCTGAACCACTCAGGGTTGCGGTCTGACGCCAGGCTCCTCCCGGAGACCCCATGCGCAACGAGGTATGGCCCTGCACACTCCTTTTGACCCAGTGGCCGGTGATAGGTCATCCACCCCTCACGGCTCCGAGCACATTGAACCCGGGATTGACAAGGTATTGACCCTATTCTGAACATTCTATAGGTAAGGCTGACCGTTGACAGAGTGTTGCCCCCCGGTCCTCGCGGGGATCTGGAGGCAGAGTGCATCTGTTCGGTAGTACCCGCCCTCCCGTTACACCCGTGGCTGACATCCGGAGCGTGCTTGCCGGTCCGGAACATCCAAGCTTGCTGGAGATCACAACACGTCGGCTTGTTGAGTACGGCTCATATAACATCCAACGCCATTCTTGAACCCCCGAAAGGATTCGTGCTGGCATAGTATCCCCACATATCCCCGCACGGTAAGCGTTAAGAAACCGACCGCATCAGCATCCCGCCCTGATTCGGGGAATGGCATTTCCCATCACACATAACCATCCGACCTTGTCGTGGAATACCTCTATAGGTCCAGCGCAGCATGAACATACGCAAGGAACCTCCCATGAGAGTTCCGGGCATCCTATTTCGCCTGAGTATTCTTGTATACACCTTCGGTAGTGAAACATTCATAGATCGTGCAGTACTACCACGCCCGTTCCCATGCCTCCAAAACTGGTGGGGACCCCTCCACACAGGAGCCTGGGGAGTTCCGCTTGCCTCACCCGATGGTCACGGCAAGCTACATATCTCCCACTGCGAAGCCAATCGCTCGTAGAGTGAACTCTGGGGCGACCTGCGCTGGCACCAGGCCTTTCCCCTATGGCTTTCCAGCTTGCCCAGCACAGGCTATGTTGGGCCGGCCCACGCCGCCACGCCGTACCTCAGCATGTCCTACTTGTATGTCCCAGCTTCCCAAGCCCTACGCGCTAGTGCGAATTCACACCAGGGCATCCTCGATCAGACTGTGAATATAGTATCCAAGGGCAAACAGCCCAACCTCCCAAGAAATCTGGCCCAAAAATGTTTGGAGAGGGCCCGGCGCCAAAAGACATGCCGCCACCATGCCAATAATGCACTGCATGTACGACCGCAACCCAGGCGATCCTGTGTGTAAAAACAAAAATGGCGCTGTCTGTTGCGAGGGGTAAATGTGCCCTTCCATAAGAGAGCATCCTGTTCTGGCACACAGTGTGCCCAGTTCTTGCCGACCACCATCTGCAGTGCTTTCTGGAGAAGAAACTGGGCTCCATCGAGGAAGGCCTTGACCGCACGTGAGGCTGTGCAGGAGAGCAAAGAGGCTGCAGCAGATAAAGGTGAGCCTGCGATATGCATGGAGTCTCTGTTGCGTGGACTGCCCCCCATGCCTACGTCCAGTGTCACCCCGTCATCCCATCCTTCCGACAACACGCTGCGGATGCTCCCAATCATCTGTACACTGATATGGGGCCATCGCGGCATCCTCGGCTAGTCCCGGCGGAAGGCAGGGCGAGGAGCCTGTGCCAGAGTCAGACCCGACACTCGGGACGTCTCCCTCCCTGGCTTCCACACGCGGGACCCTGCGACCCAGGGACAAACCAGTCCTGCCCTCCTGCGCCTCCTGGACGAGGATGTCGCACCACCACCGCCAATAAGCATGCCGGTGAACCCGGCCCTGCCACCAAATGGTCATCCAGAGGTTGGCGAGGAGCACACGAGACTGGCGGCCAGCGCCATCCTGATCACAGAAGGGGGAGTGCAGGGGGCTCGCACCGCATGGGACAGTATCCTGACAGCATCCTTTGTCACCTGGGATGGATGCTCGAATGGCTGAGACCATTCTCTACAAGCGGCACAGCATGGGTAGAGCCCCACCGCACCATCTCCCACCCTGAAACGGGGAGCGGCAATGGGCGTCATACTGCATCTGAAGGGAAATGAGGGTCAGGATGGCCTTGCAAGTGTTTCAGATCGCGTTTCCTCTTGATCGCTGGACCAGCACCCAGGAAGGGATGTCGTGTGTGATTGGGGGAATGCTGTTTGCCCAGGGCAGGGCAGAGGCTGTGGGGATCCCTCATGGCCTATAATGGGCGGCATGAGGGACATCGCCCGGTGTGTTCCAAGTGCGGCTCAACGCCTTGGCACTTGGCCCCCGACCGTCCTCATGTTGCATGGACATAAGTGGTTGCCTTGTGCGATGCGTGGGCAACCCCAACCGGCCCCCAGCAAGGTCTCGCGACGTGGCAAAGGAGAGGTCCCGTCTACGGGGGGATCCCCGCAGCCCGATCAAGTGTTCAGAGGCGCTTATTGTAAAATTTGAACATGGGTCGGGTCGATTTGCGGCATGAATGTTCCCGGGATGGCAGCACCAAAGGGCTTACATGATTGCACCCCGCGCCAGTTTGTAGCGATCTGTGTTGATCGACGCCAGGAGATAGAGCCTGGGTGTCTGGGCATCTCTCACATGCAGTCAGTATCATCCCTTCGCAGCTTCATGGTCCAGATGTTGAGCATGAAGTGCACCGGTGCGGGCTTTCAGTCCAGGTGCGGCTGGGGTGGGTGCTGGCTTACTGGGTTGCTTGTCCGTCGAGGCGCATGGCGCGCGGCATGCCATTGCGATCCTGCTCATGCATGATTCGAGTGATCTGTGCTGTGCAGGTGCAGGGCCATGCGCCCTCGGGCCGCGGGCCTGAGGGTCCACGCAGCGTCCTCGGTGGCCCAGGTGGGTGCGGTGGCGATGCTGGGTGGGGTGCGACCGCGGCTTGGGCATGGCTCCTGGGCATCCACGCATGGTGTGGGACCCCGGATCTGGATCTTGCCGCGCGCTGCTCCTCCTCAGGCGTGCTCCTCCCCGTCTGCCGATCGCTGATTCCTTGGTTGGGGGCTCCGTATGCTGGTGCCCAACCTCTATTCTCCTCATTGGTAATCCACAGCCCCCCTCCTATCCCTCCCCAGACGCACCAGGCCCCCCCCCCGGCGGACAGGAGGTTCGACGACTACCAGCCCCGCACTGCCATCCTCTTCCCCGGCCAGGGCGCGCAGAGCGTGGGCATGGCGGGAGAGCTGGCGAAGGCCATCCCCGCCGCCGCGGCGCTGTTCGACGCCGCCTCCGACCAGCTCGGCTATGACCTGCTCCGCGTGTGCGTCGAGGGCCCCAAGGCGCGCCTGGACAGCACTGCCGTCAGCCAGCCCGCCATCTACGTGGCCAGCCTGGCGGCGGTGGAGAAGCTGCGTGCGGAGGGCGGGGAGGAGGCACTGGCCGCCATCGACGTCGCTGCCGGTCTGTCCTTGGGCGAGTACACCGCGCTGGCCTTTGCCGGCGCCTTCTCCTTCGCCGACGGGCTGCGCCTGGTGGCCCTGCGCGGCGCCAGCATGCAGGCCGCCGCCGACGCCGCACCCTCGGGCATGGTCTCCGTCATCGGTCTGCCCTCCGACGCGGTGGCCGCGCTGTGCGAGGCCGCCAACGCGCAGGTGGCCCCCGACCAGGCCGTGCGCATCGCCAACTACCTCTGCGACGGCAACTACGCCGTCAGCGGTGGGCTGGAGGGCTGCGCGGCGGTGGAGGGCCTGGCCAAGGCCCACAAGGCGCGCATGACGGTGCGCCTGGCGGTGGCGGGCGCCTTCCACACCCCCTTCATGCAGCCGGCGGTGGAGGCGCTGAGCGCGGCGCTGGCGGACACGCCGCTGGTCGCGCCGCGCATCCCTGTGGTCAGCAATGTGGACGCCGCGCCGCACTCCGACCCGGGCACCATCCGCACGCTGCTGGCGCGCCAGGTCACCAGTCCCGTGCAGTGGGAGGGCACGCTGGGCGCGCTGCTGGGTCGGGGGCTGGAGCGCAGCTACGAGGTGGGGCCGGGCAAGGTCATCGCGGGCATCTTCAAGCGCGTCGACAGGAAGCACCCCGTCGTGAACGTCACGGCCTGAATGGGGTGGGGTTGACCCCGGGGCGGAGAGGCACGGGGTGGAGGCTGAGCCCCGATGCCGGCGGGACCGGGGGGGCCGAGAGACCGCTGTCCTGTGCTGGACCTGGACAGCCCTGCGACCCCGCCGCAGCACGGCAAACCCACCACCCGCCGAGCACCCAGTGAGCCAGGTGGCATCCGCGGATGTGAGCAGGGCGCCTTTCTCCCTTCAACTGGGCCATGCATGCTCTTGCCTGGCAGGTCGCCCAACCGCTCTTGCCTTACATGGCGTCGGACCGACACGCACCATCACTCGCACACACCCCTGGTTTTGGGGGCAAGCGAGCAAGCATAACGGTGCACCCAAGCTTGCCGGTCACACGATCATGCCTGTAACGCGCAGCATACCAAGCCATGCAGTGTGCTCCTTCAGGTCTATCACACCCATGAATTCACTGGGGGATCGGGATAGACCAGGAGGTCAACAACAGTGATTGGAACCAGTACTTGGGCACCAGCCAGTCATCAGGCTGGCGGCCACCATGGAGCCACATGGCGAGGCAGTGTACGGTGGCGGCCCGCTGGCTGCCTGGCGAGGGCCAGGCCTCGGCCGCGGATGCATTGCAGCCACCTGGTGGCAGGCATATCGTCATCAAGCTGCTTGACCATCACTTTCGCCACAGGAAGCGGCGCAGTGGTGGCCGTAAGAGCCCTTTGTAACCCCCTTTCCAGAGAGCACTGCCAGCTTACAGCTGGAGCAGTGGGCTGGGCTGCAGGTTCTCGGCGCAGACCTCACGCGCGTCCGCAAAGAAGCCGGCGTTGACCAGGAGCTGAGCCAGCCAGCGGCAGGTCACCGCATCGTCCCTAAGGCAGGCGGTGAAGGCGGGGGAGCGCAGCGGCTCGGGCGTGCAGGCCCGCAGCGCGTCGCGCGCACAGCGGTTGTCACTCAGGCGCAGGTAGCAGCGCACGATGTGCTTGAGGAGGCGCACCGAGGGCGCCTCCACCAGGCCCTCCACCATGCTGGACAGCACGGTGCCCACGGCGAAGAAGCGCTCCGCGGTCGCGCAGATGTACGCCAGGCCCTCCTGTGCGCATCAGGAGGAGGAGGTTGGGGTTTGGGAGGGTCACAGTGGGTGGGTCTTTGAGGCTCCCGCGAGGGGGGGGGGGGAGACAGTGATAGGTCCAGCTCCCACCACTGCAATGAAACTGGCACGACCCCCCCGGCCCCAGGGCCCATAGCCGCCAGGGACACCCCCGCCAGCCCACCTCGTCCAAAAGGATCTTCTGCACGATGAAGGTAGCCACGGTCTTGGACAGCTCGCTGCCGGTCTCCATGGTGCGGAGGCAGAGGGGGATGATCTCGGTGTTCAGCAGGAAGCTGATCACCGCGGGGTCGTCCACCTTGACCAGGGCGCCAATGACCCCCAGGCTGGTCAGGCGCAGGTACTCAAAGGGCCGGGCCTTGCTGGTCGAGTTCAGGAAGGGGTACAGGAACAGCGGGATGTTGGCTGTGGGGATGCAGACGAGGGAAGGAGGGCGGAAGGGGGTGGGTACGGAGAAGGAAGAGTGGGCTGAGGGCAGCATCCGCGCCAGCAGCACATGTGTAAAAGGCAGGGCAGCAAGTGGTGGCGTTCCGCCACACCACGCAGGCTGGCAGCTGCTCTACGAGCAGCCCCTGGGAGGAGTGCCCAGCAGCTGCAATACGTCCCCCTCTCCTGTGCAAATATGCATGCGCATCCAGGCCACCAGGGTCCCACCTTCCAGGAACAGGGTCCGCGTCTCGGGGTGGGAGGCCACACACTGCAGTAGGGCCAGGGCATTGCACACGCGGTTAGAGCCGGAGGAGGTGAGCTGCGGGGGCTGGAGCAGGGGGTAGATCACCACGATCTCCTGTAGCAGGGCAGCCACCGTGCCAAAGCTGTGCCACAGGTAGGGGGCCAGCTCTGGGAAGGACTCCCGCTTCTTGCTCAGCTCCAGCAGCGCCGTCTCCTTCTTCACAGGGTTGGTCAGGTCCAGCACGAGTTGGTCCTGGGGAGGAGGAGCGCGGGTGCGGGGGTATGTGAGGCCTTGGGGGGCGGCAGAGACTGCCGTCCCTCTTGGAGCGCCTCGGACCAGTCCACCAGCCGAAGGGACACATCTCGGCACTGGGGCCCATGGAAACACAAAATACACACCATGATTCAGATTTGTGGCAAGCCCTGCCGCTCCTGTACGACCCTCTTCCCGACCGAGTCCGTGATGTAGGGGTGCAAAACAGGGGCCCTTCTCTGTTGAGCGTGCGTCAACAGGGGATGGATCTCCGCATACCAGGACTGACGTCCGCCTTCTCAACGAAAGGAATCGGTTTCGCGCTTTGTGGCACGCGCTGAGTACAGAGTGACTTCAAGCCCCTCCCTGCCCAGATCGCAGGGATTGGGCGCCAGCGCGGGGACCGTGGAGCTCGACCGACAGTTCCTGCGAGCATGGGCCACCAGCTGCTTGCATTGGGCGCCTTTCTCTCCAGCTGTCCTCGTCATACTCCTCCACCGCTCGAGGAGGTCTCGCCGGCATGGCTTCCCTGCAGGGGGCCAGGCCCCTGGGCCCCACCAACGCTCGCGACCGGACGTCCGAGTTCATGGCCGTGGTCCAGCGCCTGCAATCCTCGCAAGGCCCTAGTTCTTCAAATAGACAGGATCTTATAGGTATGATGGAGAGAGTGTCTTTGCCAGGCCTCGCGGTGCCCGGTCATTCGATTTCGCTCTGGCCTGCAGTGGGAACACCCGGTGCAGAGCCTCCCTCACCCCCGCTCCCCCCTGCCCCGCACGCCATCATACGCACCTCCCTCACCCACCCCTGCCCCAGCCTCGCCCACGCCGGCATCCCACTCCGCCTTCTCTCGCCACGCGGCTGCCATCGGGCTGGGCATCCACTCCACCAGCCAGAAGCTGGCGCAGCTCGCCGCGCTGGCGCGGCGCACCTCCATGTTCGACGACCCCGCCCAGGAGATAGGGGAGCTGTCCAGCCTGGTGAAGGCCGACATCCAGTCCCTCAGCGCCGGCATCGCGGAGCTGGCGGCCATGTCGGCGGGCCCCTCGGCGGGGCCCAGCCGCCAGGCCGCCGACCACTCGCACACGGTGGTGGACAGCCTGCGCTCACGCCTCAAGGACGCCACCAAGGAGTTCAAGGACGTGCTGACGCTGCGCACCGACAGCCTGCGTGTGCACGCCGACCGCAGGAGCCTGTTCTCCGCCGAGGCTGAGCCCCGGTTTGGGCCCCCGCTGGGGGCCCAGGCCAGCTTCCTGCCCACCCAGTCTCGCCACCCCCTCGTGCAAAGGGTGCGAGGGGAATGCGTGGGAGGGCGCGCTGGCATGGGCAGGGTGACCTCGTCCGGGGATGCTTCCAAGCGTGACCCAGGGCCGGGCTCAGTGAGCACCCTTTTTGGTGACAATGACCAACGCCTGCTCCCCCATCACCACCACGATCCGCGCAGAGGAACGCCGGGCTGGAAAACGGGCATCACCCCCCAGGCGACGCCCCCGCCGCCCCACCGCAGGCCCAGACCCAGCTGCTGGCGGTGGCGCCGCAGGACACCTACCTCGACTCGCGGGCGGGGGCGCTGCGCCAGGTGGAGAGCACCATCACCGAGCTGGGCAGCATCTTCCAGCAGCTGGCGCACCTGGTGGCGGAGCAGGGGGAGGTGGCGCTGCGCATCGACGAGAACGTGGACGACACGCTGGCCAACGTGGATGCGGGCCAGGCGCAGCTGCTCAAGTACTACGACACCATCTCCTCCAATCGCTGGCTCATCCTGAAGGTGTTTGGCGTGCTCATGCTCTTCCTTGCTTTCTTCGTCACCTTCATCGCCTGAAGCATGGTGGGGAGGTGGGGTGGATACGAGGTGATTCCGAGCCCTGCTCCCCCCACCCGTCCTTCTCCTTGCTGGTCTCGTTTCTCTTTGCCACCCTGTTATCAGCCGCGGCGGTCTGTATCAAGCCTCGCAGACATCTGTGCGTCCCGCCGATCGACGGGGGCCACCACACTGGCCACGGAGGGGGCCATGGCATGTGCAGGGTTTTATGTCGAGGCGTTCAGCATGCGGATCGGAGCCCGGGGAGCGCCAGAGAGGGTCAGAGTCTGCACATCCACTGCCGCACAGGATGCAGCGACCAGGAGGTGATGTTTCTGCCACCATGCAGCCTGTGTGGGCAGGCATGCCCAGAGCACCCTGTGCAGGACACAGGGGGAAGGCCTCGAGGCCCTGTCAGAGCGGCGCTGGCCAGCCAGGGGAGCACGCCCCCTCAGACCATGCTGTCGATGAGTGAGGCCCTCATCTCGTTCACAATCTGGGAGGGGTTGCTCGTCCGCAGCTTCAGCACAGACTCGATCACGGAGAGCTCTGTTGTTGTTGTGTCCAGGCCGCAGAAGGCGCTCCAGTCGTTGCACACCAGGCCTTGGAAGGGGAGGGGGGCAAGGAAAGTGAGGAAGCGCGTCCAAGGGTGCAGCACGCCGCCGCACCTGATGCCATGCTTGAGAGTGCCTCGCTGTGTGTCCACCGATGATGCCCATGCGTCCAGCGCCGGGCCTGATCACAGAATGCACGAGGCCCCACCCTGCGCCTCTCCCTCCCCTTTTCCGGGCCTGCTCCCGCCACCCTGATTGTCTGGGTGTCTGTACTTGGGACCCCCTCCAAACCGACACAGAGCCAGCTCACCCGCGCCGACGACATCGCTGCCGCGGTTGACGGTCCCCGCCACCAGCGGGACCTGGAGGAGGGAGGACAGCTCGTCCAGGTCCTCCACGGTCGTCCCGGGAGCCACCACGCCCCCCTGATTCGTGAAGGCCGCGTAGGAGCCCACGAGCGTGTTCCCCGCCACCGTCTGGCGGAACACCTCCAGGCCCAGCACGTCGGCCACGATCTCCTCGGTCTCGCGGTCGATGTCTGGGTGGATGAGGCCGACATAGTCGTTGCAGGCGATGACGTTGCCCAGCGCAGACAGCCGCTCGTCGATGCGCTGCACCACCACCTCGTCGGGCAGCGAGTTCCGAATGTGCATCAGCTCTGCGGCGGGGTGTCTGCATGGGGATGGTGGGAGCGGGGAGCGGGGGGCGGGTGCTGGGAGGCCGGGGAGGGCAGTGGTCGCAGCAAGGGCACAGATGCCAGGGACAGCCTGGTCGTCAGGCAATGGAGCAGATCACCAAGAGCCCAAACTCCCCGCAAAGGCTGCAGCCGTCAGAGCCCCAGCCCCACCCGGCACGTCCAGCAAGGCTCGAAGCACCCCCCCCCCCTACCTGGTCTGTTGTGGTGTTTGGCAGCAGGAGGCCGTTCTTGTTGCCCACGGACATGCGTCCCACCAGGCGGGTACCTGCCAGGGAGGTCTTGATCACTGGTATGTGGTCCGCCAGCTCCGCCTCGAACACACTGCGTGAGGGGGAGCCAAGGGGAAGGGGAATGGGAGCTGGAAACCTGCAGGTCAGTGAGACCAAGTCCCGCCCCTGGAGCACGTCTGCCTCCGCATGCATGCACCTGTAGAAGTTCTCTGCTGCGCCCAGCGCCACCAGGCAGTAGGCGTTTGTGAGGCGGGCGAACACGCCAACATCATTGCTGTTCTCGAACTGCGCGCGAGTCGCCATGCTTCCGGAGGTGAGACTGGTGTCCTGCAGCAGGTGACCCTCCACTTCGTATACCTTGTGTCGATGAGATGAAATTCGAAGAAGTACAGTGTTGCCATGGCCTGTCCCACCTCACGTCTTAGGACGGTCTCCTAATGCTGCGCCACATCCCTGTCGCGCCTGCGGCGCCTGCGGGGAGAGGCCGAGCTCAGGGATGCTCGCGCAGTAGGACACACTGCTGGCCGCGGACGTCCAGGCTGTCAATGCATCCAAACTTAGACTGTGAGAGATAATTCAGGGAGTGGCATCCACTCGGGGTGTGGAGACTTCCCTTGGCGTGAGCTCAGGCTTGGCCACGCCACGTCCGTCATGGCAGGGCGCCCAGTCCTGCGGGTAAGCGCCTGGTCCTGGGATTGCGTGGGGCGAAGTTGCTTGCAGCACCTCTGATTGTTGCACCTTGTGAGGAGGGGGTGACCAGCGTTGCGGAATAAGATCAGGGCCTCCCTCAGCCTCGCCGTCCTACCCCTCACCCACCCCTCGCAGGGCCTCGTGACGGAGGGCCTCCGATTCCGCGTGGTGGACGCCAAGGGCCAGGTAGTGGGGCGCCTGGCCAGCCAGATCGCCAAGGTGCTGACGGGCAAGGACAAGCCCACCTACCTGCCCCATGTGGACGGCGGTGACGCGGTGGTGGTGGTCAACGCTGCGCAGGTGGACTTCACGGGGCGCAAGTGGGACCAGAAGCTGTATCGGTGGCACACTGGCTACCCCGGCGGGCTCAAGGAGCGCACGGCGCGGGACCAGCTGGCGAGGGAGCCGGAGGCTGTGCTGCAGAAGGCGGTCATGGGCATGCTGCCCAAGAACAACATGCGCAGGGTGGGTGTATTTGACGGGGGGCCAAGTAGCGGGTGCCTGGCATTCTCAGGCTGTCGCGGGAGCCTGTGAATACCTTTTTGCCCACGCATGCATGTAACACACGGCGTCTTACGTTCTACACCCCTCAACCTTCCAAACAGGCCATGGCGCGCAAGCTGCGCATCTTTGCCGGGCCTGAGCATGGCCTGGAGGGCAAGGTGGAGCTGGTCCCCTTGGACATGCCACCCCGCGCCCTTCGGGTGAAGGGCCCCGTGCTGGAGCTGGAGGAGGGCTTTGAGCCCTTCAACCCCGAGGCGTATTACAAGCGATTCGGCCATCGCCTCGCCGCGGCAAAGGCCGGGCAATGAGGATGGTGCAACGCGCCCCTGGGGCATCCAGCGGGCGGATGGAGAGCAGGCAGGCTGGTGGCGTGCCTTCAGCGGTGGGAGATCCAGGGCGGGGTTCCTCGCACCGCAGGCACCCAGTGCTCTCCACGAGCGCAGCGCCAGACCCTGGCGCTGGCTGCACGAGCCTTGAGTGCCTCCCCTGGCCAAGGATCAGAACCCGTCGCCATCCCTGACGCTGCATACCCTCCCCTCCTCCACCTCTTCTCTCGAGGCGCTGAGGTTGTCATGCGCGCCCCTGCCCAACTTCCTTGATGCTATGTCTCCTTGCTTCTCACTCCTTTTCAAAGAATGGGTTCCCTGCTTCTCAGTGCCGATATGCGGTGACAGGTTGTGGAGGGGAGCAATGCTCACCAAACAGGTTGGAGGGGAGCAATACTCACCAAACAGGTTGGAGGGGCGCACAGAAGGGCTGCCCACCCCCCAGCCATACCTGGTAGACGGGACGCAAGTGCCAGGCTATCTCCCGCCCCATCCTTCGCCATCTGCTCCTTGGCAGTCACTCGTCCTGCATCGCACCATCGGCCTGGGGCTCGGGGATGTCCTCGGGCTTGCTGGTCAGTCCTGCCGCCGTCAGGGACAGCTCGTACAGGGTGTTCTCCAGCTTGCGCAGGCAATACTGGCAGGTGGGGGGCGGAAGAGGTGGGTCAAAGTGGGGTGGAGGTGAGCTGGCACACATGTCAGGCTTGTGTCCTGGAGGCTGCAAGAGGCACCCTGCCAGCAGACACAGCATGGCTGGAAGGAGGTTGTCCAGGTGTACTATACACCCAGGCATTCACGCTTCCCCCCCCCTCACCTTGAGGGCATCGTATTTCTTCCGCAGAGACCCATTGCGCAGGTCGAACTGGATGAAGGCGAAGAAGATGGACTCCACCAGGTCCTTGGCCTGCTGCACTGCCACCACATCTCGCTTCGTCGCCCTCAGGATGGCGTAGCGGTTTAGCTCGCCTGGGTGGTGGAGTGGGTGTGAGGGAGTCGGTGCGCTGCCAGGGCAGATGCAGGCGGGGCAGGACCCTGCGAGGCTCGCACCGGGCGGAGGGTGTGTCCCGAGGGTCCAAGCTGACAGCACGAAGCTGGCAGTGCTGCTGCTGAACGCCCGGCACTAGCACACACCCCACACCCCGCTCTCAACCTGTGAAGTCGAGCACGCCACCCAGGTACTCCTCTGTTTCCACGTACTGCACGGAGGAGCTGGGGGGAAGCCGACCTTCCTCCAGGTAACCCTTGAACACCACTGCCTCTGCGTACTGGGGTGAGAGGGAGGGGGAGCTTGAGATGCAGGGGCTGCTGGGCTGCTCGCTCCGGGGCAGGAGGTTGGGCTGCTGAAGTCATTTTTGGGTCACAAGGCCCTTTGGTATTTCCATCCTCTGCCCAGACAGAGGGAAATGAACAGAATCAGGCATTTACCAGCACAGGGCAATACAGGGCATGGTACCCACAATCCCTGCTGGCTGTCAAAAGTGCGCGCCAACAGAGCGACGAAGTGTCTCAAAAGTATGTCGCGCACCTCCTCCATCGCGTTGGAAAACGACCCGTAGCGCAGTCCCGGGCTCTCCTTTATCACGGGGAGCAGCTCCTCGGCCGCCTTCTCTGCCTGCTGCAACCGCGCCGCCGCCTGATCATTCTCGCCACGATGCAGGCTGAAGATCGCCTGTTTGGCCGCCTTTTGGATGTCGCGGCTGCGCTTGATCACGCGCTCCCGCTGCTCATCATACCCCCTAATCTGCTTCTCCAGAGCCTCGAAGTCACTTCAGCCGTAGTAGAGGGAGGGGACATCCGTGGTGTGGGTACAGTGCTGCATGGACCTGAACATGGTGTCCAACCATGGCAATCACATCTGGTTTGGGTGTGCTGCACGCCTGGCTGGGCACAGCACCGCAATGGCGTGCATCGCGGCGTGAGCAACTCATTGCAAAACGACTTACACGAGGTCCATGAGGCTTGATTGTTTGCGGGGGACACCCTCGGCCATCGTGCTCCTGCGCTCTTGTATGGAGCGCGGCCGACGTTGTTGAAATGTGCAGATGGCAGGCGGGGGTCCAATGCTGCTTCTACTCTGTGGAATACGATGCTGCATACGATGGTGTATACTGCAGCGCGCTATTCTCGATATCAGGCACTGCCATTGGTGTTCCTCATGTTGCTCTCGTACTCGATGAGCCCGCGGCGCGCAGCAGCATGCCTCCTGTAGCTCTAAACATGCATGTGCATTGGCTCAACCCGGCTCTTCAAGGTCGCATCACTCTCTTCATCCATAGACAGAAGAAAGTCACGAATACTCAGTTCAGGAAGAACTCAACGCTGCATAGGTCTGCCTTCCAACGTGGAAGTGATCGAGCAATGTTTGACGGCGAAGCCTCGACGCCGGGTCCTAGCCCCCGCAATGCCATAGATTTTCTCACCGTGGTGCAGCAATTAAAGGTACCAGCACAGGGCGGTTGCTTGAGCTTCGACGGCGAGAGTTTCTGTCCATACCTCTGCACACACATGTCCACAAGCACACCGCCGCATCTTCCCCCCTGCGGCATTGCCCAGCTCACCAAGCGAACAGGATGGGTCAAGCGGGGCGTCAAGGGCCCAGAAAGCATCGCGGATCACATGTACAGGATGGGGGTAATGTCCCTCCTCCTCTCTGGAACAGGGTATGACTACAACAGGTATGGTCTTGAAGAAGATGGGATGCATCATGTTGGCAGAGCGGTGCCCTCAGCATGGCATCCCAGTAAAACCTCACACAAGCAGCCACCAATCCCCTGATGCACAGGTGCATGAGACTCGCACTGGTGCACGACATCGCTGAGAGTGAGTTCTGCTCTGCGTTCAATGACAGGTGTATTGGTGGGGTTGCTATGGAGAAGTACGCTGCGTCGCCAGGGACATCTCTCTGCTGCTCAGGGGACCAGATCGTGGTCCGAATGGCCAATGCCCCCTCTGCAGGCCTGGTGGGAGACATCACACCAACCTGCGGCGTTTCTGATGAGGAGAAGCACGCTTTAGAAAGTGCTGGTATCCAGAAACTCAAGGCCATGCTCGGGGGAGGGCCGGCGGCTGACGAGATGGAGGAGCTGTGGAGGGAGTACGAGGCAGGGGAGTCCACCGAGGCCGCGTTGGTCAAGGACTTTGACAAGGTGCGGGGCCTGTCACGGATCGTGACACTACACTGGCTCGATCTGACTGGGCGGGGCCCCTGTCACTGTGGCGCTCCAGGCTTTGACACCAAAGTCTTTCGAGCACCTTCTGCCGCCCACCCACCCACCCACATTCCTCGTCGCAGTTGGAGATGATCCTGCAGGCGCAAGAGTACGAGGCAGGGCAGGGCATGGTCCTCCAGGAGTTCTTCGACTCCACCGCCGGCAAGTGGCGGACCGGCCTGGGCCGGACCTGGGCGGCGGAGATCGCGTCCCGCCGGCCGGGTGCCGCCGCTCAGGAAGATTAGTCATGCCCCAAAGTCGTAGGCTTCCAGGAGCTCCCAAGGCCCGCCCTTGTAAATGTGCAGCTCCAACCCCTGGACGGTCAGGGTGTGGGGCTGCCAGGTGCCCCGCAGCTCGTCGAACAGGCCCCGCGCCTCCTCGGGGGACACCTTGTTCTGGATGGTGATGTGGGCGCGATGGCCCTGGCGGTCCTGGGGAGTGAGCCACGGCTTCCACTGCCCGGCCAGCCTGGCGCGCAGGGAGTCCAGGGGCTTGGAGGGGGTGCGCAGGGCCACGCCCTTGCCCAGGAAGACGGGCTCCAGCACGGGGATCACCATGGGGGAGCTGGTGGAGCAGGCAAAGGCCACGTCCCGGCGCACCGCCGCCTCCTGCCTCCGATCCAGCTTGTGGAACAAGGTCAGGTGGGCATCCAGGTAGTTTCTCTCGGCAGGGAAGTACTTAGTTCGCAGGCCGGTGAACAGGGCCCGGGAGGCGGGGTCGAGCTTGGCCGTCAGCAGCAGGGGTTCCATGTCGTCGACGTCACTCGCCTGTGCCATGCGAGGTCTTGGGATGCAGTCATGTGCGGAATATGCGACAGGATGTTGATGTCGCATGAAGACCTGCCTCATCCCTCCCTCTGATAGGGGCGTGTGTGAGGTGACGAACGCCTCTCCGGCACATGGGCGGAACTCCGGGGTGCCTCTCATCAACCTCTTGGGGCATCCTCTCGGAGTGCCATCATGACATTACAAGGTATCAGTAGAAGGAATGGCACACGATTACATAAAACTAAACAAGATCGCCAACCTCACGTCGTTGCCTTCTCGAGGAGGTGCACGGGCGCCAGCACATTCGATCTGTTGGTCTCCACAATGCACCCATTCATGCACATCTCGTCTAGGATATAGTGCGCCTGGTCGCGTGTGGAGGAAAGGAGGGTAAGATGAGGGTCTGCAATGCAACCTCGTTGTATGCAGCGAGGGGTTTCGCACTCAAGCCACATTACTAATGGACGCGCCTACCATTGACACAAGAGGCAACTCACCGTTTCCAAGCTATACATGATGTCCAGTTCGCACACATTACTAAACCACTTGTCCAGGGTCTCCACCACGCAGTGGATGAACTCAAGGATGCCCAGCTCATTCTGCAAGGAGCATTGCCATAACTAAGATGTGTGAGCGGAGGCCAAGGTCAGGTCAAGCCAGGGAGCCAGGGCTATGCCAGGAAGGCCAACTCCCCCAGCAGATACGCATGCTGACTCGATCTCCAGGCAGCCCGGCCCTGCGGTCCCCACCTCCTCGTTGTCGACGCCAACAAGGAAGAAGAGTGACGCATATCTTCGGTACACAACCTTGTAGTTGTCATGATATACAATGTTGCACTGCAGGAGAGAAGGAAGCCAGGGTTACTACACGACTCATGCAGTGACGTCACAATCATCAGGAAGAGAGTACCCTTTCTTGACGCGATGAGAACGCCTGCAATCCTCTTAGCTGGGCCTCCCCGTCAACCTGCAGCCCTTCCACCCTGCGGCACCTCGCACCTGCTTGTCGGAGCGGACGAGACACTTTCGCACGATCTCGGCTTCCAACGCACACCTATCCTCTGTGCCCAACATATTCTCAGTGTACTTAGCGAGGCGCGTCTGGCCCTGTTTGTTGACTAGGAGGATGAACTTGATCGTCATCGTCACGCCAGGGGCCGGGCCGACCCCTTACTAAGACATCCGTACGCTTACACTCGCAGGAGGATAGTGAATCTGATTGTATCTTCCACAAGGGATGGAATAGGTGAGGTCGGACCAGCGAGTGTGGGTCTATGGCATCGAGCTCGCGCCCTATGGTAGTAGTTCCCGCGCGCTGCACATTGCGCCCCCTTGATTCGCATCGGCACCGACGGTCCTGCACCAGCATCCCAGTCCATAAACGAGCGATCTTGGCGTATGTCATTAAATTTGCATATAGAGGTTTCGTCTCCAAGCAGTCCTGCACGGGAGAACTACACACATTGCAGTCGGTATCTTACCCACCAGACAACCCAGCGCAAAGGGCCATGGTGGAGCCCGTGTGCAGATTCTTCGGCGTGGAGATTCCTGCAGGTATTTTTGGGGCTGCATAACGTATGGTAGGCGGCCGTCAGCACGCATGCCGACGGGTGTTGTTGGGGGGGTGATTGCCCTGAGGCACAGCAGCCGGCCTCGCGGCGATGTGGTCTCTGCTCCCGCCCACCTGCCTCCCCGTTGCCCGTACCAGGCAAGGAGGTGCAGATCGTCGCGGCCGTGGATGCTGACATGGAGGGCTACGAGGTCGTGCACGTGACCCAGATTGCACTGGGCGCCGAGCCTGACAAGGGACCCCACACCATCTTCATCAGCACTGAGGGTGAGATGGTCAAGAGGCGGGTGGGTTGTCATCCATGTGCCTGACTTATCGAGCACGAGCAGGCGTGGGGTTGTTCCCCCTTCCAGCTGTGCTAGCCACCGCATGCATGCCAGCCATCAATCCAAGCGCACCACAAGATGGTCCTGCCCTCTTTCCCCATGTCCCCCGCTTCCCAGAGTACAAGGCAGCCGTGGGCACCCTGGATGCGGTGCACCATCCCCACATTGGCGTCGACTACACTGTGAGCCTGGAGGGCATCACGCTGAGCCACACGGGGCGCTCCTCCGTCTTTGTCTCCGGCTACAAGACCATCGCGTCCTTCATGAGCGATGACGACGACGACGAGCATGGCGGTCGGGGCTCCTCCTCCGACGAGGACAGCGAGGACTTCGACAGCGAGGATCAGGATGCGCCCGCGGGCGTGCCCCTCCGCCCGCGCCCGGCCGGCACCTTGGAGAGCAGCGATGAGGAGCGGCTGGGCGAGGGCAGCGACGGCGACGACAGCGACCTTGGCAGCTTGCTGGACGAGGATGACGAGGAGGAGGAGGAGGAGGACGACGACGACGACGATGAGGAGGACGATAGTGAGGAGGACGTCCCCGCGCCCCGCGCGTCGGGCAAGCAGGTGCGCGCCCGCCCCGCGGAGCAGGAGGCCGCCCCCGCGTCGGCGAAGAAGGCCAAGGTGGCCGCCGCCGCCACGCCGGCCCCCGTCTCGGCGAAGAAGGTGAAGACCGCAGCAACGCCGGCCGCCGCCGCGCCTGCGCCCGCGGCGGCGTCACCGCACTCGCCCTCGCCGGCTGCAGTGGCTGAGTACGTCGCCGCGCTGAAGGCCGTGCTGCAGGCTCAGGGCCCGCAGCGGGTGTCGGCGCTGGGCGCGCTGGTCAAGCGCCCACCCCAGGTGCCCAAGCTCAAGTCGACGGTGGGCGCCAACCCCGCCATCTTCCTGCACGACCTCGTCACCGACATCGTGTCCCTCGTGGAGTGAGGAGGGGAGTGGGAGATGGCGGCGAGTGGGGGTGGCGAGCGTCGGGCTGGCTGCCTCGAGCCTGGGTTGGCCGGAGCCACAGAAAAAGGGGCGCTGCACTCGGTCTTCCTGATGATGGTCGCTGCGGTCATGCTGCCTGCGGCTGGAGGCGCTGCGCCCCTCTTCACTGTCGGGACATCAGAGCATGCTGGCGCTTCTGGCCGCTGTGAAGCACATTCTCCCCCGTGAAAGCGCATCTCACCCTCCCCGTCCCCTCATCACGCTGCTCCTCTCTGTGCTGCCTTTGACGCATACGCCAAGAACCAGACAAGGGAAGGGGAGCAAGGTTCCAGAACACATTGGGGGCTGGTGGGGAGGCATTGCATGAAGTCTCAGGCCCGGCATGGGAAGGCGGGCTCGTTGTGACATGCAAGCCTTCCCGCCGTCGCCCGGCCCGCTAGGCACCCACTACTCCATGAGCTGGACCTGCCAGGCCTGGTCGTCGTCGAAGAGGGAGAGGTGCAGGCTGCCGTCCAGCCCCCCCAGGTCCACCGTCAGCAGGCCCTCGCGCGGCAGCGAGCCCAGCACCTGCGCCTCCCGCCACTCGGCGCCCGCGCGCCGCACCAGCGCGCGCCGGCCCACGGCCGAGTCGCCCAGCTCCAGCGCGGCGCGCAGACCCCGGCTGCGCTCGCTGGACTGGCCCACTGCCCAGCGCCTCGCGCATCAGCGCGCTGGAGCGCGCGCTGGAGCCGGCGGGCTGCATGAGCCACCCGGGACTGTCGCGCCCGCCCTCGGCGCCGCCGCCGGGCGCAGCGCCGGCCGGGGGCGGGGCGTGGGGCGCCGCGGGGCCAGTGCCCAGCAGGCCTGAGAAGCCGCTGGAGAGGGGGGAGGCGGCGGGGCCCAGGAAGGGGCTGGCGTGGACGGGGGCGCCGGGGCGCGCGGCGTCGCGCGAGCGCGGCGCGCCCGGCGCCGTCAGGTCCACGCCGTAGGCCTTGGGCGGGGGGGGGACTGGCACCAACGTGGAGACGCCTGGCGCGGGTACCATGGCACCCTGCAGGGACGTCCCCACCCCCACCGAGGGCGCCTTGAGGGGGGACATGGGCGGCGGCGCGGTGGCGGGGGAGGGCGGGGCCGCGGCCACGGCCGCCGGCCCCGCGCCAGCGAAGCTGGCGCCCGTGAAGCTGCCGGCGCTGGGCCTGACGGCGCCCGGCTCCGCCTCCTCATCGCTCCCCTGCCTCGCCCGCTTCTGTGCGCCGGCCTGGGTGCCCGGCGCCGAGGGCGGCTCCACCCAGGCCACCTCCCCCGCGGCCACCAGCTTGGCCAGGTCGATGCTCTCCTCGTCCCCCGTCTCGTAGAAAAGCACCACGGAGCGGCGCGGCACGTCCACGGCGCGGACCACCGCCGGCCACCACAGGTTGTCGTCCGGCCAGTGCAGTTGAACGGTGCGCCCTGCGGTGGGTTAAGAAGGGGGGGGGGTTCGGGAATGTGGCAGGGGAGGAGACAGCGGAGGGAGGAGGGGACTGCCACGCTGCGCTCCTGTGCTCAAGGCTGCTTGCTGGAATGCAGGGCAGCCACCCAGCAGGCGAGCCCCTTTAGACCGGTCCCGCCCAGGCCGGGAACCCCTTCAAAGACCTCCCACAACTCAAAAGCAAAAGCTGGCACTCCAGGCCAAGGCATGCAGACTCCCAGACCCCATGACAAGAGAGCACCGCACCGGTCAGGGCGGGGGTGATGTCCTTGAGCTTCAGGCGCCAGCTCTTGGGGGGGGTGCGCCGGCTGGGGCCCCGGAATTTGTAGCCGGGGGGAAAGAGGGAGGCGTCCACGCCCACAGGCACAGGCCCCGCATCCCCGGCAGGCGCCGCCGCGAGAGAGTCGCCGTACTGGGGAGCGGCGCGGCCGCCGGTCTCCGAGCGCTCGCGCGGGGATGCCTGCAGGTACTGAGCGTGTAATTGGAGGAGGGGTGAGCGACGGGGAAGGAGTCGAGGTGATACACAAGGTTGTGCAGGAAGCCAAGACCATCGCTCTGAGACGGGCCGGTCATCGCGTTGGAACAGGCGAGGCCCGGGACATCGCGATGTGGCACCATGCGCTCAAACTGTCGTCAAGACGCTACCCTGCGTCCCGGCCTCCAGTCCTGCCTAAGGCGCCCGACGTGGCCCCAAGCTGCTGCCTGCAGCCTGATGCAGTCGCATGGAGTCCCACCCCTGCCTTCCCATGCGCCATGAAACCAGAGCCCAACGGTGCGCCCATTTCCCCAGAGGCAACCCTGCTCACCGCCGGGTAGTTGGCGGTGAGGGTCGTGTCCGCAGAGGAGAACTGTGTCTGGTTCAGCCCCGCTGAGGCCAGCGGCGTGTTCTCCTGCGAGGCCAGCCCGCCGTTGAAGCGCGGCGAGCCTGGGCCGCTGCTCTGCACCCCGCTCAGGCTAGGGGCGCAGTCCTCGGAGGCGTACCGGCCGAGGGCCGGGGACGAGGGCGAGGCGCCCCCCGCCACGGCCGCTGCGGCGGCGCGCGTAGCCTGGGCGGCGGCGGCCGCCGCGGCCGCCGCCTCCACCGCACACACGTCGAGCTTGGGGAAGGCGCCCGGCATCTCGCCCTGCCCCAGGCCGGGCGGGGGCTCGAAGTCCAGCCCCGCGGCGGCCGCCAGCTTGGCGGCACGCTGCGCCGCGCTGCGGACCTTGGCCAGCGCCTTGGCGTGCGCGGCAGCGGCAGCGGCCTCGCCGGGCAGGGCCTCGGGGCGGGCGGGGACCAGCCGGCGCTCCAGCGTGGTCCGCCGGATGAGGCGGGGCAGGGGGATGTCCACCCAGTCCTCCTCCCCGCGCGCTGCCGCGGGCCGGCGCCACATGCCCCACAGCTCCCGGGCGCGGCGCATGGCCTCCGCCCCGGCCTGCAGGCTGCGCAGGGGGGCGGGGAAGCCGCGCGGGTCGGTACTGATCTCCAGCCTGAAAGGGGTTTGCGGGCGGGGGAGGGTGTGCGGAGGGAGTGAATATTGAAGCACGGCAAGGTGCAGGACAGGTGTTGTTGTGAGGTGGCCGATGCATCACATTCGTTGGAGGAGAGGTTTGCATTCGCATGGGTGGCAGGCCCTTGCGAGCACCGTCTCCATGTCTCAAAAGGAAGTGAGAACCCGAGTCGCAGTCCCACGCTCTCGGATTGGACCCTTGCTGTACTGCCGAAAAGCCCGTACCCCCCAACCCACCCGTCCGCAGTATGGGCCAGATGAAACAGTCCCGGGGGTGGAGGGTCCACGCGCATGCTGAAGTAGGTGCCGTGTAGATTATGACAGCTGGAAACCGCACTCCCCCAGCGTATGTCACGGGGGGCCTGCTCGAGGAGGAGGAGCGGAGCGGAGCTACACGCCAACAGCACCGGCTTAGGGGTGCAGAGTCGACGTCAGGTAGATACGCATCGTTCGATTTGACATTTGAGCTTGGTGTAGGTAGTCACGACGAGTTATCCTGGGCAACAGTGGGAAGCGCAGGGCTTCCGGCATGTTTTTGAAGGCTCCCTGCCCTCCAGGTCGTTTGAGCGCGCGCGCGCCAGCACAGAGGATCGTGCGCATGCACGGTGACCCTTCGCAACCACGAAAACAATACTGGCCCGATAAGAGGATAAGATAAATATATTTACACGATACATTACATCGTGAGGCGCCGCTGGGAGGGGGCCCTGCTGACACGCGTAAAAGCTCGTAGTGCGGAACCTGCCCCGGGACCTCAGAAACTACGCAGGGAGTCTCGCGCACTGCAGATGCTTGTCGGTCTCTGGCACATGTAGACTTTGGATTCTCCCAACTCATATCCCTGGTTGAGAGCCTCTTGCCTTCGTCGTCATGGTGAATGAGGGCGCGCCCTCCCCTACCCGCCGGACATATGAGGAGGTGGGGCCGACGAATGGTGTGCAGATCCTGGGTTGCACTGAATAGCACCACTGTGTGATGTCAAGCTATGAAATGTGCACCATGCAAGTCAGGGGGGCGCACTCGATCCCCTGGTTGGACCCTGAGCGGCTGCACACCCACTGCCCTCCCTCCCCTCCCCACTACCAGGAGTCGGCCTTCATCACCAAGCTCAGCCCCTACCATCACCGCATCGAGACGGGGTTCGTGCCCAACATGAGGGTTCCCGGCATCTTTTATGTGAACGGCGCACTGCGCAGCATCCTGGACGACGAGCTGCGGGCCTACTGCGATCGTGGCCCCGCCGGCGGCTTCCTGCCGGCCGTCAAGCAGATTGCCAACGTGGCAGCCCTCCCCGGCATTGTCAGGGTGAGGAGGGGTGGTTCTCAATTGCATGCCCCGTCCTGCGGGACTTTGGTTTCAGTTCTGCATTTTTGCCATGCCTGTTTCAATGGAATGTGGAGGCCGGGCGCGAATGGGATGCGTTGGGACCGCAGCAGCTTGTATGATCGCCCAACTGCCTTGACCTTGCTGGAAACCCAACTCCCTCCACCCATCCTCACCACCCTCTCTCATCCCTCGCCCCCTGCAGCACTCCATCGCCATGCCCGACGTGCACTCCGGCTATGGCTTCAGCATCGGCAACGTGGCCGCGTTTGACATGTCGGACCCGGAGGCCGTCGTCTCCCCTGGCGGCGTCGGCTTTGACATCAAGTGAGTTGTGTTGTCGGTGGAGGAAGGAAGGTTCTGGGGACTGCTGGAGATGGAATTGGACTGCGAGTGCGTGATTCATGGAAGCGATGGCATCATTAACACCCTCCCTGCCTCATCTCAGTATCACACACAACATCAGCCCCCACCAAAAACCCTAAATCCAGCTGCGGTGTGCGCCTGCTGCGCACCAACCTGCGCGAGGAGGACGTGCTGGGCGTGAAGGAGCAGCTGGCGCAGGCCCTGTTCGACCACATCCCCGTGGGCGTGGGTTCCCAGGGCATCATCCCCACCACCTCCCGCGACCTGGCGGGGGCGCTGGAGCTGGGCATGGACTGGAGCCTGCGTGAGGGCTACGCCTGGGCGGAGGACAAGGAGCACTGCGAGGAGGCAGGGCGCATGCTGGGCGCGGACCCGACCCGAGTGTCCCCCCGCGCCAAGAAGCGCGGCCTGCCCCAGATGGGCACGCTGGGCGCGGGCAACCACTACGCGGAGATCCAGGTGGTGGACGCCGTGTTCGACCGCGCGGCGGCGCGCAAGATGGGCATCGACGCCGTGGGCCAGGTCTGCGTCATGATCCACTCCGGGTCTCGCGGGTTGGGCCACCAGGTGGCCACCGACGCGCTGGTGGCCATGGAGCGCGCCATGGCGCGCGACGGCATCCCGGTCAACGACCGCCAGCTGGCCTGCGCGCGCATCGCCTCCCAGGAGGGCCAGGACTACCTGGCCGCCATGGCCTGCGCCGCCAACTTCGCCTGGGTCAACCGCTCCTCCATGACCTTCCTGTGCCGCCAGGCCTTTGCCAAGATGTTTGACGCCACGCCCGACGACCTGGACATGCACGTCGTCTATGACGTCTCCCACAACATCGCCAAGGTGATTGGGTGGGTGGTTATTGGGGGGAGGGGGGGAAAGCGGAAAAGCGGGACGGCGACGGATTCATATCGAGCCAGGGGCTCCCGAAGGTTCTGCCTCCCTCTCTCTTTCTCGCTGCAGCTGCCAGAATTGGTAGCTGCAGCTTCTGTAATCTACCTGGATTGGCCATCCAGTCGCTAATTCGCTGCTCTCCACCCCCCTCTCCATGCACCCCTGAATCTCCGAAACTATGAACTCCACACCCCATCCCTGTAGGTGGAGGAGCACATGGTGGACGGGCGGATGAAGAGCCTGCTGGTGCATCGCAAGGGGGCGACGCGCGCCTTCCCGCCCCACCACCCGCTCATCCCCGTGGACTACCAGCTGACGGGGCAGCCCGTGCTCATCGGCGGCACCATGGGCACCGCCAGCTACGTGCTGACGGGGACAGACAAGGGCATGGCCGAGACCTGGGGCAGCACCTGCCACGGCGCGGGTCGCGCGCGCAGCCGGAACGCCGCGCGCAACAAGCTGGACTACCAGCAGGTTCTGGATTCGCTGAAGACCAAGGGCATTGCCATCCGCGTGGCGAGGTGGGCGGTGTGTGGGGGGGGGTTGAGTGGGTTTGGTGGGAAATGGGGTGACTTGTGTGGCACTGTAGGCTCTAAGGGTGGTCAGGCACCTGGTGCTTGAGGGCCCCTCCCCCCCGCATAATCAGGACAGGGTGACGGCAAGATCCCATTAACATGTCACGGAGGGCATCTTGCCCTCATCCCCTGTCATCCTCTTCAACAGCCCTCACCCCCCCCCCCTTCAAACCCTCCCGGCAGCCCCAAGCTGGTGATGGAGGAGGCGCCGGACTCCTACAAGGATGTGGACGACGTGATCGAGACGTGCCATCAGGCAGGCATCTCCAAGAAGACGGTCAAGCTGAGGCCCATCGCCGTCATCAAGGGGTAGGACGGCGCGAAGAGCAACGATCAGTGTGATATGTGCTTGGTCAGTTGAAGATTCTGCTTGCGTCGCGCTTTTACCAGGGCACCCGCATGCCGCCCGCTCACTCTGGCAGGAAGAAACAGCATGCCAGATTGTTTGTGTACTCTCAAAGAGGCACCCAGGAACCATGCAGACCGGGTGCCCTGCCCGTGATCCACCTGTGAGGCGCGGTGTAATTGCCACATGTAGTCGTCGATGGGCATTGGTCAGCATGCATACTCGCCCCCTCGCGCGTCACTCGACCTCGCCCGCCGCGCCCCTTGTCGTCATCCTCAGCTGCGCAGCAAGGCCCCTGCCCTGCCGCCCCACGAGGATGTCCAGCTCGGCGAGCAGCTCCACCAGTGCCGCAGCGCTCCTCGCCTCCTCATCCGTTTCCTCCCCTCCGCCCTCCTCCTCTGTCTCCATCTCGCCGTCCCCGCCCCGCCCCGCCCCCTCTCTCGCAACCAGTGCATCCGAGACCATGGGCTGCAGTGCATAGAGCAGTATGCGCGAGGGCGCATAGCCCATCGCCAGGTGGCCCCGCAGGACGAGGAGCACGCTGCGCACGCTGGGGCGCGGCCCGTCGCCGACCCGCACCAGCGCCCTCCCCGCCGCGGCGAGCAGGGGCGGCACCGCCACGGAATCGTGCCGCAGGCGGGCCAGCGCTGCAACGATGACCGCGGCGTGGCTGGGGTCGAGGGCGCGTTCCCTGGCCTGGCGGCAGGCGAGCCCCGCCACGGCGTCGAGTGCGGGGGCCAGCTCGGCAGCCAGAACCCTACCCCACCCGGCACGCGACCTGCCGCCCAGGTAGGCGGCCAGCGCGTCCAGGGTCTCCGCCGCCTCCTTCAAGCCGGCGGCGTCGGGCGCCTGAGCGCGGTCGGCGCAGCGGCGGCGCAGCAGGGTGCAGCATGCGGCCGCCAGCTCGTCGGCCTCGGGAGATCGCGCTGCCAAAGCCGCGACGTTGCGCAGGCACAGCGCGGCGTAGCACCAAAATGTGCACAGCGCCAAAGTGTCTGGCCCAGGCGGTATCCCGGAGGAAGAGTTGTGGCTTTGGAAATGGGACTGCGCTTCTCGCAAGAGCAGGCGCGTCGCAGGGAGTGGGTCGATGGGAAGTAGGTTGGAGGAGTGTGTTGTCAGGCCATGCCTGCCATACGGAGGGAAGCAGGGGTCATTAGCAATTTGTTTGGTGTCAGTCAAAGGTGGGTGATACAGCACACCCATGCACCAGTTCCACCCACGAGGCCAACATGCCCACAACCCCACCTCACCGTCCACTGGCGGCCTGCAGCAAGCTCATCTCTCTGTGCAGAGCCTGTAAGCCCTCTTGAAGTGGGCGCTCGGCATGGCAGCACACCCTTTCCCTGTGCCAACTACGCGGTGTGGCAGCTAGGGCTGGGCGGCACGCATGAGGGTTGCCCACCGCCCAGCGAGGTCCTTGCATATCAGAGTGACAGACTTGATGTTCCAATTCTATCTACCATTATACATGTATTCTATCCAAGCAAGTGACGACAGGAGTGAGAAGAGCCGATTGTAAGACGGCGACATGGGCGTCAGTGGGAGGGCATACAGTGCGCCAATGGATATGCTGGCAGCCAATACACGCCATGCAACATCCTCATGACTGAAGCATCACTGTCTCCTATGTATGCCTGTTTTTAAAGGCGATGAAGATCTGAGATCACACACCCCTGCTCGACCTGAAAATCGCGCGCTCCGGCAATGGCGGAGGACTCCCGACATGCTCGCAATCGCAAACATCGCCTGCATACCGCCAGGTCACATCGCATGTGGAGTAAGAGCCATTCACGAACTCTCTGATGGATAATCTGGACCACTGCATGAGGGTCCTGTGAAGGGCTCATGAATTGCTGTCGGAGCTTGGCTCAAGCCACAGATATCTCCGGGACCCCTGCCCCGGTCCTGACATCAGTCTGTTGTTGAGTCAATTCTAGGATTGACTAGCAGAGGTCCCGTCAGACCCCTTGACTCGAGTCAGGGGCTCTCGCCCGCATAATGCGGGAGAGTCTGGACGGCCTGCCTGATCCTCTGGTAGGCTCCATCCTACACAACCTGTCCGACACCGACCTGCTGAACGTCAGGGTGAGAAGAGCCGGGCCTCTCTGGGGGGTCCTGTGCGGCGTGCGCGCGAGCATCTCGTGCCATGTCTGCGCCCACTTGGCTGCAGCGCCGGCAGTGGTGGAGGGTGCGCTGCAGCCTCCTGTGGTCCTCATTCCAACACCACACACAATGCTCTGGGGCGATGACATGCCCCCCCCCCCCTCCCACTCCCCCAGGCCACCCAGCGCCGGCTGAAGGCGGCCGCGGACTCCCTGAGCAAGGCCAGGTTCCACCAGCGTTGGGGCATCGAGTCCGTGTCGGAGGCCCCCCGCTGCGCGCCGCTCTACCTTGCCGCCCGCGCCCGCCACTTCGCCTGGCGCCACGAGCTGGGCCCCCACGAGACCCTGGCCTCCGTGGCGCTGCGCTACGACTGCGAGGCCGCCGTGCTGCGGCGCTGCAACAACCTGATGGATGATGCAGGTGCTGCGTGCCGTACTCACCTCTTCATCCCAGGTATATTGTTTGTGGGGGGGGAGAAAGCTTTCTTAGCGAGCGGGAAGGGTTTTGAGGAGCTGCCTGGCAAGCGGCTCCTGATATCAACATCTTCCCTTGCCTGGCATGGATTCATGATGGCTGGAAAACAGAGTGCCCTAGCTTTGATGCCATACCTCTCAGCACCCGCAATTACCCCCCCCCCCCAACCCCCCCCACACACACAACCCCCGCAACCCCTGCAGTGGAGGACGTGGCGGCGGTACGAGGCTGTACCGCCGCCTTCGTGCGCTGCCAGCACGTTGGCCGCCGCTTGTCGTGGCCTTCGCGCCGGACGCGCGTTCCGCACGCCCCGCCGGCGCCCCCGCGCCGCGCGCGGGGGCCAGCGAGAAGCTGGTGGGCATGCTGGAGCGCAGTCTGCGCGTGGATCGCTTCACCGCGCTGTACTATCTCTCGCACGGCAGTGGCAGCCTGCGGGCCGCCATCGCCGCGCATGGTGGGTGGGGGGCTCAGGTTGTCGCTGGTGAGGTGCTGCCCTCTGTCGCCCTGATTCGCAGTCATGCCTACTCCTGCCGCTTAAAAAAGCAGACGCCGGGCCCATTGGGCAGGCCCTCAACCTCTCAAGTCTCACACCCGACTACCTCGCAGAGCGGGATGCAGGCTGGGCGGCGGTGTCGGGCTCGGGCCCGGCCACGCGTCGTCAGAGGGCTTGATGAGGGCGGTGGTCTGCGGCCCTTTCACATCCTCTGGACCAGGGCTGCAGCCCGCGGTCTTTCTCCAGACACCGAATTTCTTCCTGTACACTATTGTGAGAATCCCTCTGTTGACAGGGCCGCGAGGAAGGGGCTGATAGAGGATGCGGCAAGGCGCTTCAATGGTGATAACAAGGGGGAGAAGGAGTTGGATGGGAGTGTGGGCAATGGATTCTGGGAGGTGGAGTGGAGCAGGCTTTGCAAGCCAACTCGGGCGTGGCCCTGCCCAGTGCATCGTGGGGTGGTAGATCGCGAGGCAGTCGCCTGGAAGGTATGCCGCCGGCGGGCGGGGTGGGGTGGGGTGACATGGGGACCCCTCGCGTGCCAGCCGAGGGCGCTGCCGCCGTCACCTCGGCCCCTGGCCCCGCCCCCCGCCTCACACCCGCGCGTCCTTGGCCAGCTCCACGGCGGGCTGGTCCTCGCCCGCGCGGCGGGCCAGGCCCAGCAGCGGCGCCAGCGCGGCCAGGTCGGCGTCGCGCGTGGCGTGCAGCAGCGTCGTCCCGCACAGGATGGTGAGGAAGCCCGAGGCCTGGCTGGCGGCGGCCACGCCGCCCGCCGCCTGGCCGAAGAGCACGGCGGAGGCGAGGAGGGTGAGCGAGGTGAAGCCCGCGTAGTACAGCGGCGTGACCAGGGCGGTGCTGTGCAGGTCCAGCGCGCGGTTCAGGTACGCCATCTGCGTCAGCACCGCGACCACCACCGTGGCGGCAAAGGCCCAGGTGGCGGGGTGGCCCAGCTGGCTGGAGCCGGCCAGGGTCAGGCGCACCGCCAGGCCCAGCGCCTTGCAGGCCATCACCGACAGGCTGCCCACCGCGGAGCAGATGGCGATGGGGACCAGCGGGTTGCTGGCAGCCACGTCGGGCGGCACGCGGAAGATGAGGAGCAGAGTCGCCGCCACCGCACTCGCGGCATACAGCAGGAAGCCTGGGAGGAGGTTGGCATGGGTGTGGGTGGGTGGCGGGATTTGGGAAGGGGGGGTGGGGCTGGTCAGGATCCCAATTTTGGACTCACCATCCCATACTCTCATAACCCCCTCCCCTCCCCCTCCAACCCCCCTACTATGTCCCCCCCCACCCCCCTCAAAACAACATACCCTACCTGGCTGGACCACGAGCGCCCAGACCTGAGGAATGGACTCAAAGACCTGCTCCTCGGGGGCATGCAGGATGATGGCCAGAGATCCTGTGACGCAGAGTATGCAGCCCATCACCCCAAACCCGTTCAGTCGCTCGTTCAGCAGAAAATGTGCCAGGACGGCGCTGTTAGGGGGGATGTGTTGAGGGTGGGGTTGGGCAGGGGCGTCAGCAGGGTGCCACTGTCGTTGCTTCAGCGTGCAACATGACTCCACTCCTGCAGGGGACTGGCACCCAGCTCGCTAGACCCTGGCCTTGGAAAAGCTGTGCCTGCCGCCCAGGTCCCCAGCACCCAGCACCTTCCCCTGCGGCCTGCCCGTCCACGAGCAAGCCCCCGAATCCCCCCACACACCTGACGAGGATGCTCAGCGCTCCCAGAGGGGTGACGAGGATGGCTGGGGCAAAGGCATATGCTGCAAAGTTGGCCAGCTCCCCAACCACCATACTCAGGAATCCGGCCCACCATAGCGGTTCGTAGAGGTAGGAGTAACCCCCACTCCCTGTTGTAGGAGGGCGTACCGGTCGTCGCACCGCGATGGTGGAGGGTGGGGCAGTGCGGGCGTCTGAGGCTGCTGTCGAGATCACTCTGGCCCCGTCACACACCTGCCCGGAGGCCCGAGGCCCCAGCACGACGCAGTCCCTTCTTTTTCACGATGAAACTGGAACCGATGAACACAGAGGAGCTTATTGCCAGGATCAAGCCCTTGGTCTGCTCCATGGCATACTCGGGAACAGCCGCGACGGCCTAGGAGGCAGCCATCCTCAGGCTCAAGGCAGGTATACCATCCTTCTAGTACTTGCAACGGCGGGTGACAAGGACCGTGCTGTGTCCTCAGGCAAGGTGCTGGCGGTATTGTTCTGTGTCGCGCCCCCCACTCTCACATTCACATATCTACACATATCTACACCAGGGATCTGTTTTGCTTAGGCAATTAGATCCCTACCGGGCTTGCGCCGGTTGCACAGCTGCTTCCCGCGGACGGGATATCGCTGGCGCAGTTGGTTGCCTCGATCGGCGAACCAGAGGGGGTGGGGGGGTGGGAGGGTGGGAGAAGACGAAGCAGGGGGTCCACCAAATGCTGTGGGACGAAGTGCATTCTCAAAAAAACACTTGAGCTACATCAGGATGTTGACCGCCCCGTTGACGTCGCGGTTGACAACGTTGACCTTGCAGGCCCTGTTGGTGCACCGCTTCGTGTCGCACAGTTCCGTCCACGACACACCGCATCACTCCTACTGTACCAAACCCCCTCCTCAAACTCCCCCTCTTCCCGCAGGTGCCCAACCCACAAGACAGCTAGCACCGAGGTGCTGCTGTCGCGGGTCGTAAGGATCGTCCCAAACCTGCGACGGGGCCTGGCCTGGCACATGCACGAGAATCCGTTTCGGAAGGTGCGCCACCAGGCCTACGTCGGCAGGGAGCGGGCCATCACCCAGCTGGCAGAGCAGTTCCGCGCCCCCCCGGGCATGACTACCATTGTCGGCGTGGGCAACTGGTCGGCCCAGGACCGGGGGGGCACCATGCGGGGGACTCCGCCTGGGCCCTGGATACGCTTCTTGCGGCGCCTGCGGCGGGTGTGCAGGGTGGTGGTGGTCGACGAACACAGGACTTCCAAACTGTGCTGCGCCTGTCACACCACCCTGGTGCAATAGGAGCAATATGGCCACAGGTCAGGGAGGGGGTCCAGGCGGAAGCTGCTTGCACTCCACCCCACACATGGCCCCGAACCCTCCCCACATGCACGCCCATGCGAGAGGCGCACCAGCAAGAGGAGGGGTGTGAACCATGAGAACAGCAGATAGCTCAGCGGATTCTTGCGCAGTGGGACAGGCACTCGGGGTGGGGGAGGGGGGCCCCCGTCATGAACCGCAGCCTCCTTGTCCACCGCCGCATCGTTGCCATCAGACTTCCGCTTGTGGAACCAAGATTTTATTCCCATGGTATGATGATTCTGTTAATTGCCCGTGTCGCCCTGGTCTAGAGGAAGATGTGTCCCCGAGTGACGTGCGGGGGGGTGTCTCTGGGTGACGAACTACTTCGCCGATACATGCTCGTGGTGTGGGATCGGCAGACACATCCCCGCCAATTGTAAATGTGTGATATTAAAATGTCTAAATGGAGCCAAGAAGGAATAGCCATTTTCTGGAATCATCGTTCATCATTGTCCACACACCTGTGGCCGGGGGGGGGCTGGAGGGGCACCCGGGAAAGCACGGAATACCCTTTACCCCTCCTACCGGGCTTGCGCCGGTTGCTAGCAGCTTATTCCCGCGGACGGGATATCGCTGGCGCAGTTGGTTGCCTCTAATGGCGAACCGAGGGGGTGGGGGGTGGGAGGAAAGGAAGGGAAAGCATGGGGTCCACCTAAAGTTGCGGGACGAAGTGCATTCACAAAAAAGCGCTTGAGCAACATCAGGATGTTGACCGCCCCGTTGACTTCGCGGTTGACAACGTTGACCTTGCAGGCCCTGTTGGCGCACCGCTTCGTGTCCCACACGTTCACCAGCTTCTCCTCGCCGTTGTGCACCCGCATGTACTGGTGGGCGTGCAGGGTGGTGTGACAGGCGCAGCACAGTTTGGAAGTCCTGTGTTCGTCGACCACCACCACCCTGCACACCCGCCGCAGGCGCCGCAAGAAGCGTATCCAGGGCCCAGGCGGAGTCCCCCGCATGGTACCCCCCCGGTCCTGGGCCGACCAGTTGCCCACGCCGACAATGGTAGTCATGCCCGGGGGGGCGCGGAACTGCTCTGCCAGCTGGGTGATGGCCCGCTCCCTGCCGACGTAGGCCTGGTGGCGCACCTTCCGAAACGGCTTCTCGTGCATGTGCCAGACCAGGCCCCGTCGCAGGTTTGGGACGATCCACACCGCCCGCGACAGCAGCACCTCGGTGCTAGCTGTCTTGTGGGTCGGGCACCTGCGGGAAAAGGGGGGGTTTTAGGAGGGGGTTTGGTACAGTAGGAGTGATGCGGGGTGTCGTGGACGGAACTGTGGGACACGAAGCGGTGCGTCAACAAGGCCTGCAAGGTCAACGTTGTCAACCGCGAAGTCAACGGGGCGGTCAACATCCTGATGTTGCTCAAGCGCTTTTTTGTGAATGCACTTCGTCCCGCAACTTTAGGTGGACCCCATGCTTTCCCTTCCTTTCCTCCCACCCCCCACCCCCTCGGTTCGCCATTAGAGGCAACCAACTGCGCCAGCGATATCCCGTCCGCGGGAATAAGCTGCTAGCAACCGGCGCAAGCCCGGTAGGAGGGGTAAAGGGTATTCCGTGCTTTCCCGGGTGCCCCTCCAGCCCCCCCCCGGCCACAGGTGTGTGGACAATGATGAACGATGATTCCAGAAAATGGCTATTCCTTCTTGGCTCCATTTAGACATTTTAATATCACACATTTACAATTGGCGGGGATGTGTCTGCCGATCCCACACCACGAGCATGTATCGGCGAAGTAGTTCGTCACCCAGAGACACCCCCCCGCACGTCACTCGGGGACACATCTTCCTCTAGACCAGGGCGACACGGGCAATTAACAGAATCATCATACCATGGGAATAAAATCTTGGTTCCACAAGCGGAAGTCTGATGGCAACGATGCGGCGGTGGACAAGGAGGCTGCGGTTCATGACGGGGGCCCCCCTCCCCCACCCCGAGTGCCTGTCCCACTGCGCAAGAATCCGCTGAGCTATCTGCTGTTCTCATGGTTCACACCCCTCCTCTTGCTGGTGCGCCTCTCGCATGGGCGTGCATGTGGGGAGGGTTCGGGGCCATGTGTGGGGTGGAGTGCAAGCAGCTTCCGCCTGGACCCCCTCCCTGACCTGTGGCCATATTGCTCCTATTGCACAGGGCTGGCGGCGCCCCCTCCAGTTCGAGGACCTGTTCGTCATCCCCGAGGAGCTCACCACGGCGGCCGTCTTCCCGCCCTACACCGCCGGCTGGAATCGGCTGGTCCGCGAGGCACGAGACGGCGGGCCCAAGGGTCAGCGCCGGCTCGAGGACTCACGGCTGGGGCGCAGCACGGCCTTCATGCTCACCAACTTCATCCGCCTGCACTGGGTGCGGGTCAGCGTCGCGCTCAGCATCCAGCTGCTCTATTCTGCTACCACATTCGCTGGCCCGCTGCTGCTGAACAAGATCGTGCGCTTCCTGCAGACCCCCGAGGCGCTGCAGGATGCAGAGGGCCTGAAGCAGGCATACCTGTACGCCATGGGCATGTTCCTGGCGCCTGTCGTCGGCACGCTCATCAATGGCATGGCCAATCGAGTCAGTATCGGCACCCAGGTCATCATCCGCGCGGAGCTGAATGCTGCCATCTACGCCAAGGCCCTGCGCCTGAGCAACAGGTGCTTGCTTATGGATTGAGGGTGTGACAAAATCGATGGGGAGGGACTTGATGGTTGGAGGGATGTGTGAGCTCGGAACCCCGTGAAGGGAAGTGCTGATGGCTGTTGCTTGATGGAATTGTCAGAGTAATGTGCGCTGGCTCAAAATCGACAGTGCAGGCCCTTCAAAGGGCAAGATATGCATGGCAAAAGCAGATCATCACCGTCGCCCGTCACCCTTCAGCATCCTACTCCTCCTTTCATATCCACCCCCCTTGCCAAACCCCCATCTTCACCTCCTGCACGATTATTGCAGAGCCCGCCAGCAGTCTGACACTGGGCGCATCGTCAATCTGATGTCGGCTGATGTGAACCAGCTGCAGATGTTCTTCTACCCCTACGTCCAGCAGCTGGTCACGGGCCCCGCCACCATCATTGCGGCCCTGGTCCTGCTCTGGTTCCAGATCAGCTGGACCACCTTCATCGGTCTTGCCATCCTCCTGGTTTCCACCCCGCTCACTGGCATCTTTGTGGCCAAGCTGTCTGCCTACCGCCGCGAGATGCTCAAGTACACTGACAAGGTCAGCTGAATTGTTGTGTGTGTGGGGGGGACACCAGATTGTTGTTCATGCTGGCCATGGGTACAAGGCCAGTCAGGAGCATTGAGCCTCAGGCCTTGGGATGTGGCCAGACTACCCTGTGCTCCCGGGAGGTCATCTCGGAATGGGCAAGTCAAGCTGAGGGGATTCACTCTGTCGGTGTGAGCATGGCCACCAGGGTCTGCATTGCATGCCCCCCAATTGCACCTCCCCGTGTGCATGCTCTGCTTGCTCAGCAACTCACGTCCTCCTTCCCACCCCCATCCCCTCTTCAGAGAGTGAAGCTGATGAATCAGCTGCTCGTCGGCATCAGGGTGCTCAAGATGTATGCCTGGGAGGCGGCTCAGGAGGCTGCGGTGAGATGGGCTGGGGTGAATTAGGGGTTTTGCATGCCCTGCTGGCATATGTAATGACTTGCTGTCAGGCATGGGTGTCTGAATAAGCGTTTCCTCGCCTTGGCCATGTTCCCCTATGTCTCTCCAGCCCTTCACCCCTGTCCCTTCCCGGTTCTACCCCTGACATTTGCGTAGATCATGGAGGTGAGGAAGGACGAGCTTTGGCAGCTGCGCAAGGCCATCCCCTACCGCGCGGCCATGCAGTGTCTGCTCTTCTCCGCCCCCGCCCTTGCCATGGTCGCCTGCTTCTCTGCGTATGGCGCCACATCGCCCGACGGCTTCACGCCCGCGGCCATCTTTACCAGCATTGCACTGTAAGGGCATGGGGATGGCAAGGGTATATTATTGCCGTGGAGATGCTGTTGCTGTTGACCCTGCTTTGCATGGCTCCTAGGTCAATCACTGAATATGAACAGCGCTCAGGTCCCCAAGACTTCTCTCAATCACCAACCCCCCTTCATTACTCCCTCCAAAACAGGTTCGGGCTCATGCGCTTCCCCCTCATCTTCTTGCCGTTTGCGCTGGTCCAGCTGGCCAACGCATTCGTGTCCATTCGGCGGCTCACCGTCTTCTTCATGTCCGAGGACCGCATCGAGCATGTGGAGGAGTTGGATCGCCCCGGCATCGAGGTGGAAGACGCGTCCTTCTTCTGGGCGGAGCCTCCGCCTCGCGTTGAGATCGAGCAGGGCAAGAAGAAGAAGAAGGGGAGGAAGGACAAGAACGGGAAGGGCAATGCACCAGTAAAGGGCGCCAATGGCTTGGCCAAGGAGTCTGCACAATCCGCTGACGGCGGGTTGGGCGCTAGCAGCGAATCCTCCGCCCCCGACTCGGGGGCAGCCACGCCCGTGGTGACCAAAGGCCAGCCTCTGCCCGCCACCGACCTGGTTGTGGATGGCATCCTGGTCCCTGCCAAGCCGGCCGAGGGGGAAGAGGCAGCCAACAGGGGCCAGAAGGACGCTCTGTTCTGGCTGCGGAACATCTCCCTCCAGGTACCTGGGTGCTGTGGCTGGGGGATAGGGGGGGGAGGGGGACAATCGTGAGGATGGAAGCCATGCAGGGGAATCTGGGGAGGAGGAAGGTTAGCTGTTCTTATCAATTTCCAATGATTACATACGTTGAGAGCCTGTGGGTAGAATATCAGCCAGCCTTGGCATGTTTGTGCCAATGGCTGTTTAACCTTTTTACCCTTTATGCCACCAACCCAATTCAGATCAAGCCTGGGGAGTTGGTCTGCTGCGTTGGACGCGTGGGCATGGGCAAGTCGTCCCTGGTGCAGGCCATCCTTGGGGAGATGGACAAGGAGACAGGGCATGTCAGGGTGAGGATGGTGATGGGCGTGATGGGTCTGGTGAGGGGTGATGTCAGCCTCTGGCATTTCAGCTCACACAAAAGTTGTTCCTTAGGAGTGTGCAATGTCACGAGTTTATATTAGATGCTCAGGGCTGGTCTGTCAAACCAACACCCCCCACTACCTAATAGGTGGGTGGCTCGATGGCATATGTTGCGCAGCAGGCCTGGATCATTAACGCCTCTGTCAAGGAGAATGTGTCTTTTGGAAAGGAGTGGGACGAGGCCAAGTGGAATGCTACCGTGGAGGTGAGGTTGACATTCTGGACGGAGGCATGCTTGTGCTGGGGGAGGTTGGCTGCCGGCCATCCAAGGCGGATGATGGGGATGGAATGGAGGTGAAAATGGGGCTTTAGTTTTTATCATCGTTTCTCTGCATAGCATGCTATGTTCTTGATCAGGTCAGTAGCGTGCCCTCCGCTGAGAATGATTTTGACTAGCCTGTTGCAGCCTGGCACAGGACTTGACACCAACCTCCTTGCCACTCCACTCTATCGCAATCAGGCATGCTGCCTGTCCCAAGACCTGGAGACGCTGCCAGGAGGCGCAGACACGGAGATCGGGGAGAAGGGGATCAATCTTTCAGGCGGGCAGAAGCAGCGTGTCTCGCTGGCAAGGGCCATGTATCAGGTGAGGGCAGGGTGGGGATTATGTGCGAGGCCAATCCGCACCCCCGGCATGATCCGCCTGCTGTCTCAAAGACTTCAACCCTGGTTCACTCCCGTGAGGTTGCCCTTCACCTGACCTCTTCCCGCCCTTTGTCACCCCAGGACGCTGATGTCTACATCATGGATGACCCCCTGTCGGCGGTGGACGTCCATGTGGGCCGCCACATCTTTGAGAACCTTATCACGGGAGCCCTCAAGGTGTGCGGTGTAGCTTTTGGGATGGTCACCGCTTTGTCCTGGGACTTGCCCCTCCCTCGTGGCCTTGCCTTGAGCAGAATCTCGACGCTTGTGCTCGGGGATACCGAAAAGCTATCTGGCATGCAGGACCCTGCGACGCCTGGGCTGCATGCCTCGGCTGCTCCTCCCTTGTGGAAGATCTTCAGGTTGCATCGCAAATCTCAATGCCAATACTCAATCAACCCCCCCACCCCCCACCCCCCACCCACTCACACGCACGCACCCACACCGCACACTATACAGGGCAAGACGCGGCTGCTGGTGACCAACCAGCTGCAGTACTGCCACCATGCCGACCAGATCATTGTGGTGGACGAGGGCCAGGTGGTGGTGCAGGGCACCTACGAGACCTGCATGGCGCACCCCACTTTTGCTGGGCTGGTGCGGGAGCACGCTGCTGAGGCGGGGGCTGATGAGGAGGCCCCCGAGCCCGCCCCCTTTGCCAAGAAGGGAAGTGGGGAGCTTGTGATGCGCGCTGTCTCTCGCGGTGAGGTGGCGCTGCAGGAGGTGTTGGAGGAGGTGGAGGGGACGCCGGAGGACGCTATCGACGGCCCTCCGCATGGCCAGGCCACGAAGCCTGCCGTCACCGGCAGCATGCTGGTCCGGCCCTCCAAGGGCTCCAGCTCCTCTGCCACAAAGAAGCACGACGTCAAGGTGATGGTTGCTGGGTGGGACGGACGTAGGGGGGCGTGAGCTGCCTGCCGGTCAGGGCCTGGAGCGGGTTTTGGTATGGGCGCAAGGATGACGTTGCCGTACATGCTGCTGCCCTGGCGAGAGTCTGTCTGTTTGCCGCGGCGCATCCTACTCAGAATAATCCCAACGCCCCTCAGACCCTCCCCATTCCCTGCTCTGTTCCCTTCGTCACCCTGGTCCGCGATCGCTCATGACATTTCTTCACCCTCTCCCAAAATGCGCGCAGGCCCCCATGCCTGGCGCGCTGATGGTGGTGGAGGACAAGGAAGAGGGGCAGGTGGCGTGGAGCGTCTACTGGCGCTACATCACCTGCTATGGGCGCTGGGCGGCCCTGGCCCTGCTGGTGTTTTGGAGCGGGGAGGAGACCACGAGCGTGCTGACCAACTGGTGGCTGAGCAAGTGGAGCACCGCTGAAACCCTGAATGCGGTCCAAGTGCAAGCTGGTGAGGGGTTTGGTGGGGCGTGGATGTGTGGTCGGGTGAGTTGTGACAGGCACTGGTGATTGGAGTCATGCCAAAGCAATGCCTGCTGCTGCTTTGTCCTTGCTGGCAGGGGGTGGGGGCTGCTCTTTCGTGTCCCGGTATGGCCAGGCAAACATGAACAAGGTACCATATTGACCCCCAGTTCCACCCCACTCGTCCTCAATCGCATGGCCAAGGCAAACTCCTCACCCTCCTTGCGATAATACAGAGTTTCATCCCAACCCCTCATTCCCCTTGTTGCAGGCATTCCCTCCGACTTCAGCCGCATCAGCTACATTGGCGGCTACCTGGGCTTCGCCTTTGCTTACGTCATCCTGGTCACCCTGCGCACTATTGCCAACCTGGCTAGCTCCCTGACCGCCTCCCGACTCATCCATGAGCGGAGTCTGTTGTCACTGGACAGGTCCCCCGTCACATTCTTCGACACCACCCCCATTGGCCGCATCCTGAATCGGTTTTCCAAGGTGAGCGGGGCTGGGAGGTCGTCGGCATCGCGAGGGCAATGCCCGAGGTGCACCGATGAGGAATTGTCGCATGGGGTTGCCACATGGCGCACCTCCACACAGTATGCAATTCACCCTGCAATGTCCAAGGCCTACCTACCAGTGAGCATTGATGCCGAGTTCAAGCTTCCCTCAGACATCTCCGCCTTCCTCCCTCATGCCCACCTCCTGTCCATATTCTGCGCTGCGCAGGATACGGGAGACATGGACTTCATGCTGTCCATGTCCCTGTCACAGCTGGGAACGTGTGTGATGAACCTGCTGGGAACAATCATCTTCATCGCGGTCATCCAGCCCTGGATCCTGGTGGGCATAGCGCCCCTGACCATTGTCTACTACTTCATCCAGAAGTTTTACAGGTGGGGTTGTTCAAAGGGTTTGAGGAGATTCATAGAGAGGTTTGGATTGATGACAGAGTTTGAGTTTACCCTGGAGGAATGACCTCATCTGAGAAAAGGTCTGGTGTACTTCATGCAGCCAATGTCATTAATAGTGGCGAGGTGAGAAATTCCACATCCCTGATCTTCATCCTGGCGATCCACCATCGTTGACACCCGCCACTCCATTCCCTCACCCAGGCGCTCGTACATCGAATTTCAGAGGCAGGACGCCACCTCCCGCTCACCCATCTACGCCCACTTCTCGGAGACGCTGTCTGGCGTGGACACCATCCGGGCCTACCGTCTCAGCGACGCCTTTGCAGCCGACAGCCAGGGGCGGGTGGATGCGAATCATAGGGCATACTGGTGCCTCAGCATGGCCAACGAGTGGCTCAGTCTGCGTTTGGACTTCATGGGCGCCATCATTGTGTTCCTGGTGGCCATTCTGTCCATTGTCAACCGAAATTCCATCAATGTGGCCCTCATGGGTGAGCTTTTCAGGGTGACGTGATGCTCCACACCCAGTTTGATGGGCGCGTCGGGGCTCCTGTGTTCACAATGATTCCTGGCTACAGGCCCCTACTCCTTGTCCCAATGTCCAAGCTCCTTCTCACTTCCACTCCTCAGCTCCCGCATCCTAGCCCCTCCCCCGTCCCTGCACCCCTGCAGCGCTGACGCTGAGCCAGGCGCTCAGCGTCACCCAGTTCCTGAAGGTGGTGGTCACCACCGCCGCCCAGTTCGAGAGCAGGTTTAACTCTGTGGAGCGCCTGTTTGCGTACTGGGACCTGCCCCAGGAGGCGCCTGCCTACCTGCCTGGGAAAGAGTGCGTTTTCGTGGTGGAGGGCTGGGCTGGGGTTGATAAAGTATCATTGAAGTGGCATCAGGGCCATGCATGTCAAGCTGGGGAGGGAGAGGGGGGTGTCAGTTGATGAATGGCGATTCAATCTCTTGCTGAGTCCTTGAAACGACTCACAGTCGGTGTTGGGGAAGATCTATGGGATTCAGCAATCAATCGCAGGCCATGCATCGCCATGTCTCACCCCACTCCATGCTCGCTTCCGCTCAGGGCCCCTGATGCCTGGCCGGACAAGGGCGCGCTGCAGTATACCGATGTGTGGATGCGGTACCGCGCAGAGCTGGGCCCCGTGCTCAAGGGTGAGTGAGAGGTGTCGGTCGTAGTGAGAGGTGTCGGTTGTAGTGAGCACCTTTGGTGGGCAGTAACAGCCCACACTTGCACAATGAGTGTGTGAGGGGCCCGTTCCTCTTCCATACTGCTGCATCCACTCCCAGAGCTGGACACTGATGATGCCCCTCCTCACCATCCCGCTGCATATTCCCTTCCAGGTGTGACGTTCTTTGTGGCGCCCGGCGAGAAGGTGGGCATTGTCGGCCGCACCGGCAGCGGCAAGTCCAGCCTGATTGTCTCCCTCTTCAGGCTGGTGGAGCCGTACCAGGGCTCAATTGCGCTGGACGGCATCGATCTTCTGTCCCTGGGACTGAATGATGTCCGCTCCCGCATCGCTGTCATCCCTCAGGTGTGCTTTTCGTCGAGAAGTGATTAGGACCATTAAATCTTGGTTGGGAGGCTTGGAGTTTGCCAGATGGATCAGGGGGGAGCTTTTCTGGTAACCTGCATCGCTGATATCCCATGTCACCTGCAATGCACGATTCTTTGCGTGCTTGACTCCTGCCGCGCAGTTGTTCACCCCGTCCCGCACCTCCCCCATCTCACCGCCCCAGGACCCGGTGCTGTTCAGCGGCAGCGTGCGTGCCAACCTGGACCCGTACGACCGCTACACCGATGCTGAGGTGTGGGAGGCCCTGACCCATGTGGCGATGCGTGGTCCTGTGGCGGCACTGCCCGAGGGCTTGTCGGCACGCGTTGCCGAGGGCGGCGACAATTTCTCCGTCGGCCAGCGCCAGCTCTTCTGTGTGGCCCGCGCTTTGCTGCGCGAGCCTCAGGTGCTGGTGGCGGACGAGGCGACGGCCTCAGTGGACTCCGAGACAGACACACTCATCCAGCAGACCATCCGCCGCGAATTCCGGCACTGCACCGTGCTCACCATCGCGCACCGCATCAACACCATCCTGGATGCCACCAAGGTGGGCTGTGGGCTATGAGGTTTGTTGTACCATGAATAAGTTGGTGTTTTTCCTTTCGGATGGGGGGAAAGTTTCTGTCTGATGGTGGTTGTACCAGACCTTTGACTTTCATTCAGAGGTGCACCTGGTGAACTGGAGATTGGTGCCCTGGACAGCTTCTTTATGGCACATCCACTTCTTTCGTCACAGCATGCTGCCTCGCGCTGTCCCTGATCGCGTGCTTCTCCTCCCCCTCTCAAACCAATAGGTGTTGGTGATGGAGGACGGCAAGGTGGCAGAGTATGACACTGTGGCCCACCTCATGTCGCGTGGCACCTCGTCTTTCAGGGCCATGGCTCAGGAGGCCGGGGTGGGAAGCAAGTACCGGCTGGACCCTGGTCCGGAGTGATCCCAAACCTTGAAACCATTGTTCTTCCCCGACGTGCATGTCTGGTCTGTTGTGCGGTGTATGGTTTTTACTATGTTTGGGCAATTTTTTTGATATGCTGAGGTGATGGTTGCGAGGTCTATGCCTCCAAGCTCAGGCTCTTCTTTGTCCACCTTGGTCCTCCGATCGATCGAAGAATTCTTGCGGATGCAGCCCTGCTGCTTTGGTTGTACACACATGTAAATTCAGGAATGCGGGGAGTGAGGAACGTACAGGGCTGACAGTTGTCAGGGTAGCAGCTGGCAATGTGTGGCCGTCCAGGGGATCAGTAGGAAAAGGAGGTTGCCCTGAACTCTTGTAGCCACTTTCAGGCCAGCTTCAGGTAGTCGGAGAGCTGCACCTTGAGGTTGGCGGCGATGGCCCGCACCACCCCCTCCTCCACCCCGCATCGGTACAGCGTGCCCGGCTCCAGCGGGTCCCCGCCACTCATGCTGAGCATGCGCAGCATGACCAGGCTGGACAGGGCCATCAGCACGTCGGCATGCAGCACCTCGGGCGGGTAGGTCGCCGCTCGGTCCACCCCGCCGCAGTCGCCGCCCCGCGGCTGGCTTCCAGGCGAGCGTCGCCCTTGGCCCAAGCAGTCCCGGGTCACATTGGCGTCGCTCCAGTCCTCGACCCCTCCCTCCGCGCCGGGGTCGTGCCAGGCCCCGCCCTCCCCCACCTCCTCCCCCTCGTGGCTCGAGTACAACGCGTAGAATATGTGCAGGCAGCGCTCCAGGGGGAAGGGGTGCGGCCCCCGCAGCCAAGCCTCCTCTGCGGCCTCGACCTGGGCGGGTGGGTCGGGCGCGGGTGCTCGATCATGGGTTTGTGATTCCAAGCACGGCGGTCTCACAGTCGCCCTCTCTGCTTGACAGTGTCCCTACTCCCTGTGGTACACACACGAAGCCTCCCAATGGTCCCATCCTCTGCGCTCATGCACGCCCCGTCGATCACACACCCGGGCCCCAAGTCTCGCACTCCTGCACATGAGCCTCACCATGCGGTCGTGCGCCTGGGCGCCGCGCCGCGCCTTCTTCCTGAACCCCGGGTCGAACACGGCGCGGTCGGCGGTGGGCTTGTTGCGCGACGCCACGTAGGCCGCCAAGATGAGGTACTTGGACACGAAGGGCAGCTGGGAGGCCAGTGCCGGTGGCGCCCCACTCGACGAGCCTGGGGTCGCATCATGCGCGGCCCCCATGCAGGGCACGCCGCTCCCGAATTCCTTGGCCGCCGGCGCCGCAGTGTGGCTGCGCTCCGCGACCACGCGCTGGACCAGGGGGTTGACGCGCGCGTGGAGCTGCGCGGGCCGAAGCTCGCGCCCTGCATCCAGCGGCGCTCTGAATGCGGGGTACAGCGCCGCCACCGCCGCCTCCACCTCCAGCAGGTCCGTGGTCGCGCGGCGGTAGGTGGGCACGAACGCGGTGAGGAAGGCGCGGAAGGTGGCCGCGTCGCCGGAGGGGGCGGCGCCGGCGGGGTGCGTCGGGCGTCTTCGGTGCTCCAGGATCTGTCGGCAGGTTGTTGGATGTAGGGGTCGGTGAGGACGCCGCCGACCAAGGCTGGGGGGTTGCGCAGAGGGCGTGGGCCGGGGCAGTACAGCACCACCCCATCGCCGTCAAACATCGCCGCCCTCTGGTGCACAAGAGGCTTGCCTTGCCCCGACATTGGGTCTCGACTTGGCTCCCACATGCCAACCCCTGTCCATGCCACCTGCACCCAGCCCCAGTCCTCATCCAGCCCACCTGGATCATCTGGTCGCTGGAGTAGGCAGCCCACTCCAGCGTGGCCGGCGGCGCCAGGGCTTGCGTGGAGGTGGCGAACGCCGTGCTGGACCAGGGCTGCCTGGCCAGGAGCAGGACGGACAGCGGGACGTCCGCGGCAGCCCCCGCGCGCGTCAGCCCCGTCAGCAGGTCGCTGCCGGCCAGTCGCTGCGCGTTGTCCAGCACCACCCAGGCACCGCGCTGGGGGGGTGCCCGGCCATGACCCCGGAACAGGGCCGGCAGGAGGACCAGGAGCTCCGCCAGCGAGTCGCAGTCCTGGTCCTGGGCGTAGCCCGTGCCGCGCTTTCTTGCGCCGCCCTTGAGTTGGTGCAGCAGCGACTGGAGCAGGGGGCGGGGGGTGCTGCACGCCACGCAGTCGATGAACGCGTGGCGCATGCCCCATGCCGACATGCACGCCCTGTGGGGCGGGAACCATGGGTACTCGGTTACCAACAGGAACTCAGGCATGCCGTGCAGAATGCGCGGGATGGGTTGGGAACCATACAGTCCGGTCGCTGGTGCATTTTCGTCGTTATGCATGGCACAGAACCCACAGTCCTCGCATGGTGTAGTCCCCCCAGGGGTCTTGGCATGCTTCCGAAGGCCCCGCTATTCCAGCCATGAAACCGTATGCAGCAACTGACCTGACGATGGCGGTCTTGCCGGTGCTTGGGGGGCCATGCAGGAGCAGGGTACAGGCGCCCGCTTGCCCGGTCTGCACTGCCGTAGCCAGGGCATCGATGCTGCGTTCCCGGCATGGGAACCGGGCCTTGAGCTCTGCATCGGCGGCAGACGAGTTCACCATGGCAGTAAGTATCGATCGAAGCTCCTGCGGACACGCGTGCGCGTCTATATACCCTCAGATCTCGTCTGGTTAGGCCAGGAGATTTGGCGAGGACAGCCGAGGCATAGGTCTAGGATAGGAGTGCAGGAGCGATTATCACCGCGATGAAGGAGACTATCACATGAGGTCGGTCATCTACATCCTTTGAGACGCAGTCACTATTGTCCAAACGAGCGATCGCAGGCCTCGCACCGCAAGCTGCATTCCCGAATTCAAGATGCGGGGGTCATTCGAAATGCTATGCATGCTGCGAGTGAAACCATACTACTCCAGCCCGTCTGGTTCTGAATACCCAGTGTACAGCGACTGCTCCACAGTGCTTACAATACAGGGTGTCATGCAAATATGTCTGCAAACTGCTGCCGTGCCACGCTGGCGGTGGCAACCCTTTGCATCCATGCCTCCCTCCCTCTGCGCAGGGTGTCCACGTGGCACCTGTGCACGGGTGCACGTAGGGGCAGGTTGCTGCTGATGGGATGGCACACATCCATGGCTCACCTTGACAAATGTGGCTACCCCAACTTCGTGCATGCATTTTGGTGTCCCTGCCCTGGACTCTCTTGCCAAATCGTACCCCGCCACCCCTACTTACGATGCAAGCAGCCGAGGTCCATGATGCGTGGACACCAGGGCCTGCCTCCCTTTGAGCAGCTCCTCGGCAATGGCCAGCTTCTCGTCCATGTCCTGGAGTATTGTGTTGTGCTATGGTGCTGTCAGTTTTTCCAGCCATGGTCAAGAGGGGGATAAGCGACACAGTGGCGCCAAGTGCATGGTCAGGTACATTGTGGCAGTGTTGGGAGTGCTGCGAATCCTCATCATGTTGTTCACTGCACTAGCAATGTGGAATCGATACACCACACCCGACTCCCCCCTCTGCATCAGTTTTAACCCAACCTCCCCCTCGCCTCTCCTCCCCTCGCCTCACCGCCAGGTCGAAACAGGTCTGGACAAACTTGGCGCCCGACCCCCCCTGGGCGGCGAAGGCCCACCCCCCCCTCAGCGCCGCCAGCATGGCCTTCACCTTCTTGCCCGACTTCTGCACAGCGCGGAGGTAGGTCTCCACCACGCGACACCCCCCCGCGTCCCCCGCGACAAGCCTCAGCTGCGCTGGCGGCAGTGCCGCAAGCGCGTCGGCCCACTGGCCGCTGGCCTCCACAGGCAGCTGCAGCAGCTGGATCAGCAGCGCCGTGCCCAGCGGCGACAGCCCCGACTTGCCGCGCGTGCCTGCGGAGGGGCCCAGCCGCGCCAGGGGGACGGGCCTGTCCAGCGAGAGCAAGGCCGGGACGGGCCCGGCGTGTTCGCCGCCCAGTGCGCCGGCGGCGGCCCAGGTCGCGGCGGCTGCGTCGGCCTCCAGCGTGCCCAGCCGCCGGGCGCCGGCGAGGAGGGCGGCCACCACGCCGCCGCGGCGCGCGCGCAGGAGCTGTGCCAGGTGCGGGCGCAGGTCCTGGAACATGCGCTTGAGCTGGGCGGGGCGGCGGACAGAGGACAGTGCGGCCTGGACGGAGAAGTTGGCAAACGCGTGGCTGGCCAGGTGCACCATGGCGCCCTTGAAGCCGGTGGTGCTCAGCTTCTGGAAGGCCTCATCCGGCACCACCTGGTAGATGACCTG